TAAATACATAAAAAAATTCTTTTGTGAACACAACTGTTCTTTTTACTTAATAGACTAAAGGTCACAGAAATATCACCTTTAAATTTGTAACTAATTCCTAAAGAGTTCAACACTCATAGCATTACTACATTCAACTAAACTTTTACAGCTAAAAACGAATGTGGCAAATTCTCAAGAATAATTTTAATATTTTTGCAAACTACTCTTAAATCTATACATACAAAAAAATAAAAGCAAAAGAAATTGATTATAGCGAAAAATGATATAACAAAAAGAGAATGAGACTAAGTTGGAAGAACACCTTTCACGGTAATTTTAGTGCACGCTGACAATTTGGCACTGTCTCACTTCCAAAAAGCAAATTACGAAAATCGAGTTCGCAAACGAGAGCAAATCGTAAGAGGCGCGCAAGTGTGCTTTGCGAGAAAACCAAAGGGGCAAGTAAAAAGGGAAAGGGAGAGAGAGAAGAGTTTCTTCGGTATACAAGAGTGAAAAAGGAGAGAGGGGAAGAGAGAGAGAAACGAGTAAAGAAAGACTCACAGTGTAAAGAGCGAAGAGAGCGCAAAGCGCTACTTATGTGTGCAGGGCCGACGCAAAATTCCATTTTCTCTCTCTTCTATCTCTCTTTCGTTGTGGTACAAACCGCAGGACACACGTTTATTTATATCGCAAAGAAGAGCAACTTTAATGAGTCTAGGAACTGTCACGGAGAGTGAGATACGATCACAGCGTGTCAGCGGACTGGATAAAAGAGCAAACTGTCATTAGCAAAATGACTCTTGAAAAGTACTTTCGATAGAAAACCAAAAAAGGATGATGAGAAAAAAAAAATTCTCCAAGAAAAGAAAATCTATCAAGAAAAAATTCACACTAAAAATAATTGAAATTTTCTCACTCCAAATTTATATCACTTTCAAAAAAATAGGAAAAAAAAAACGAACATAAATTAAAAGCGCAATTTCAATAATGGAATAAGAGAATTTTTTTATTCCTTTTCTCCGCGTGTGCACCTGTAAAATCATAACGGTGGCACGTGTAATCAGTTATAAACGATAAGTTCCGAATGATAAGATAATCGACAAAGTTTTTGACAGCAATGATGCAGCCATTTAAACTAACACGCCAGAAAAAATAATAAAATGTCATTATAAACCGTTAAACAATTTTTTCATTCAAGAGAAAGTGTTCTATAAATAATAATAAATACCTAATGATAATAATAAATGATTATTATTTTCGTAATTTTTATTAATAAAAACAATAAATTTAAAATTTAATTTTTCTATTTCTATTCTCTAAAATTATCCACTAATAAAATTATTTTATTTTAATTATTTAATGTAATCACAGTTTTTCAAAGGATATCAAATTTTTTTGTCACAATTTGATATCCTTTGAGAAAATGTGATGGTGATAATAATAATAATATTAATAAAAAGCAATAATTACAAGAACAATAATAATAATGACAAAATAATATAATAATATTGATAATAATAATTTTAATAATAATAATTATTATTATCATTATTATTATTATTATTATCATCATAAATATAAACTTTAATAGAGAAAAGATGTCTTTTTTAAAATTTTAATCAAATGAATTAAATTTTTACTTGCTCAAAAAAAATAAACCCCATCTATTAATATGAAGATTAAAAATATAAATTTTGCATAGAATTATATAAAATCATCGCAATTTCGAGAATGGAATGAGAAAAACAAATTTCTACCTAATTAAAAATGTTAATACCATTGAATTGAAAATCGCAATTAAACGATAAAATGCATATATATTCGATATTAAATTTACGTAATGCCCACAATTGCGCTTGGCAAATTATTTTGATAGCCCACTGCGATAATTTCATTTTCGATTTAAATGTCACTTAGACAATTATACGAATCAATTTATTGGAATTGATTTGATAAAAAATAATTTTCTTTATCATCAAAGATTATTGATAATATATTTTTGTGTTAAATGATCTGAATTAAAAATTTACTACTTTTTTCAAATTAAAAATTTTAATTAATAAAATATTTTAATTGACTTTTGCTACCAAGATTAATTCAATTTTATTATTTTATTCTTAACATTATGAATATTATTATTATCATTATTAATATTATCAACATTATTATTATTTTTATTATTATTATCACCATTATTATTTTTGTCAATATTATTATTTTATTATTGAATATCTATTTTCTATTTTTTTTAACTATACGGATTAATTTCACATTGTTCCAAAAGTTCAGAACAAATTTGTTTGAAAAAAAAATATCATTATACTGCAAAAAGCCTACGAAACATTACAATAAACAAAGGCCAATCGTTAAAATACACTTAAAAAATCGTCTATTAAAAAACACTAAAAATTAATTAACTGTCAAAAAATTACTAGAATAAAAACTAAAAATACACCAAAAAAGAAAAAGAAATCAATTAACCACTATAATCGATAATTAACTAGCGAAAATTACTGAAAGACAAATTAGCCTTCAATAATCTGTCATTTACTTAACTCATTCTCTCCCCCACTTTAAAATTCGAAAAATATAGAAATTATTTTTTTTAATTTAAACGCCGAATAATAAACTAAAAAAATAATTAAAATTGACTATTAAATAAAATAAAGTAAATAAAAATGAAGAAAATAAAAAAATAAAATAATAAACTTATAATAATAGAAATTTGATAACGGGGCAAAAAATACACATGTATATCAATTGACATCAATAATGCATAAAACAATATCGAGAAACGTTTGATATATTAAAGTGTGATTCCAAGTGAATAAGAGTAAACAATACAAAAGTTTTTCCGCGAAGTCGTTTTCCACGGGAAAGTGCATTGTTCGACATCGAAGCCAACTTTGCGCGCGACTTTAAACTTCTTGGAAATGTCTTTGACTCCCCCCCTCCCCCCAATGCCCTCACTCAATCTTTTAAGAGCGGTAACCGCAAAAATACTTCCTGAATCTTGAATATTAGACAAAAATTAATAAAAAAAAAAGGAAGTAAAGAGGAAAGAAAATTTTTAAGGTCACTAGACAATAATAGAGTCATTTCAACTTTTTAAAATCACATCGCACAACTTGTCCGTCGGCAAAAAAAAATTTAACTTCCTTCTTAAAATGCTAAAATAAATTTTTTTTATCAAACTAATAAGAAATTTTTTTTTCACTAAATGACAAAAAAAGTTTATAAAATTTGTTTGAATTTATTATACACGAAACAATTTGTACAAGGAATTAAGTGAACATAATAAAATGTATTGTTTACCGATATTTCACATGAATCACCATATTTACTTGTTAGCAAAAAAAAAAATATATAAAAGAATACACGATGTTTAAAAAAAATTAAATTCACAATATTTATATTTTTCGAGTCTCTTCCCGACAACTTGTATTCAAGGAAAAAAATGTTTCATGTAAAAAAATTCTTGTTTGAAAAAAACAAAAAAAAATTCTTAACAATTATTTGTTAATAATTATTAACAAGAAGGTTAAAAATAAAAAACCAAAAGTATGAAAAACTATCAAAAACTAAAAATATTAAACTTTTCTGTTTTGTAAACTTTTTCCGCACCTTTTCAAAGTTTCTAAAAAATATCCACTCGAACCAACTAATACTAATAACCTCCTAAAAAACGATCAAAAAAGTAAACGGAAAAAATTATCAGCAAAACAATAAATACTCATTGTAAATCGAGTCGCGAAATTCAACACTGTTTTCGAATCTCACTCATTGAGAACCGCGGACTTCCGAGAAGCCAATTCACCTGAGCTAACAAAATAAAAAAAAAAAAAAAGAAAAATTCAACTCACTCCAAAAATAATGCACGGTATCCATCCAAATCGGGCAGAATTAGTGGTGGTCCAGTGCTCGCGAATTTGGCAAACGAAAAAAAAATTCGTCAGCCTTCTTCCGAGCAGTCCAACGCGATCTTCTCTTCTTCTTTTCTCAAAGATGTAGAGAGAAAGAGCAAAAAAAAACTACGCTCTCACGAATAAACAAAACAACAAAATCACAAACACAAACACCTTCACCTTTTTCTTATTATTGCACTCTTAAATTTTCAATTTTTCAAAAATTCTTCGATAAAGAAATCAAAAACTTGAAAACAATTCCAACTTTTTGGAATTAAAAAACGAAACCCGATCACATACGCCTTTTCCCGCGATTCTCAAAGGCGTCTCACACTCTCTCATGTCACTGTTTTCAACAACACATTTTTCTTTTATTCACATCCCAAAACGAGAACTTTTGAAAATGAAATTCAAAATCACAGTCAAATTTGAAAAAAAACACACACCGGTTTTTAAAAACTGGAAAATAATAAAAAATCGAAAAAATAACAACACAGTTGGAATAGTTGCGAAATTCGAGGTTATGTTCAACTGACAAGTGAAAATTACAAGTACCCGGTTAAATTTGTTTGATAGAAATTTTTTCCGGGTTAAAATTGGAGAGCGGGCCTTTTAGAGGTAAAGTCGCGTTGCCACCGAGTGCGAAGACCACGAAGACTGAGAGGGACGGACGAACGGTGGCGTGTCGGTTCTGTCTCACGCACGCACGATCGGTGTGTATACAACACGGTAGGTGTACTCGGGCTTTAACTTAAACTCCTCTCTTGCATCGAGAGACAAACTGACATCAGTTCACCAGTAAACAATTCACAAGATCGCCGGAAGTCAACACTGAGAAACATGTCAAGTATGCAAAGTATCAACGGAATCGCAATTTGGTACACATTTTTTTCTTCTTCTAAAATAAAGAGACAGAGAGAGAGAGAGAGAGAGAGAGAGAGAGAGAGAAAGGTTGCGAGTGAGTGAGTGTGTGTGTAAGAGAGAGAGAGAGAATTTTTCGTGTTTGTCGCCGCCGCTCTGCCTCAACCGAGGCTTTCTCGTTTCGGACGCCCGGGATTGCGATTATTGAAGGCGTCGTTTTACGTTTATATACTTGTTTGTTTAACTTGTACTTACCACAGGGCGAGTTGACGTGTTTCTACGCGGTGGCACACGGGTGTTTTCGCGAAAATTCACACGTTATTATTCCGTGGCCCCCCCTGGTAAATACGAGCGAGAGTCACCACTCTGTTTTTGGTATGTATGGAATCCAACAAAGAATCTGGACAACGCACACGCCTGGTGCGCAACCGGTCTGCGCACGCGGTCGCGGGAGAAACCAGACACGAATAATGACGAGAATCAACGATAATACACGAGGCGACGAGAGCATTCCCCACCCTTATTTCATTTCCCTCTCCAAGGCAGCCATATCAGTCGCGATGCCTGCCAGGATGCGTACATTCAGGGGCACTTGTTGATTTTCCAAAGCAATCAACATTATTTCTCTCCGACGGCAAACAAAAATAAAAAAATTGTCCAAATTAATTTTTCACAAGGAAAAATAAATCCCCTACATTTACAAATTATTTACAAAATTCTCCGCATTTTCCATTATTTATTAAATTAACTCTTCGACTAACACATTTCGTGATAACAAATTTATTTCCAATTCCTTTAAATTTAATTCAATTTTCAAGAATACGGTTTTCCTATTTTCGAATTTCATTTCTATATTTAAAACGAAAAATGAATCAACAAAGTGTAAAACTATTTTTGTTTTAAAAGAAAAAAATATTGTTTCTCTCTCTCTCTCTCTCTCTCTCTTTGCTACCGAAGCAAAATTATTAATGTTTCTCGTTCTTCTCCGTGAAGAAACGTTTATCGCAAAGACGACATCGGAGGACAAAAAATGTCTTTATTTCCAGGAACTAAACAAGATATTTGTGTAATTTACGCCTGAATTGAATACTGTATTATTATTTTCAATATTCCTTTTATAAATTATTTTTAATCAAGTGTTTATTAATGTATTTAATTTAATAAAAAGTAATATTGTATTTATTGATTACAATTATAATTAACCAAATTAATAGTTACTTTAGTAGTAAATTTAATTAAAATAATTATTAATTTAATGAACTGCTGAATTAATTGTTAATTTAATTAACTACTAAAGAAATTATTAATTTTTTTAACTAATAAAGGAGTCATTAATTAATTTCATTAACTACTAAAATAATTATTAAATTAATTAACTTTAAAAAGAATAATTTAATTAATTGCTAAAGTAATTATTAATTTAATGAATTAATTACTGAATTATTGATTTTAAAATTAATAAATGAATTAAATTCAATATTAATTTAAATTAATTTCTGACTACGTAAATTATTTATTTCAATTAATGAAATTCATTGATAAATTCATATTTAATTTAATTATGAAATTTAAAAAAAATTATTAAATGTTTGCATAAATAATAAATGTAACTAAATATTTTTTTAGAAAAGAGTTTTTTTAAATCTAATTTTAATGTCACTTCAGAGGATCAGAAATAATATTTGCAAATTCATTTTCCAAACTAAAAGTCAAGTTAATTAAATTTATCAATTTGTATAGGTAATTCAATCAAAATTCGAAGAATTGTAACGAATTGGTTTTTTCCCCTGAATTTAAAATTAAACTAATTAAGTTATTGCAACATTAATTTTCCAACATTTATATTCCACGAATAATCAATTTTGTCAAAATTAGAAATAATAAATAATTTTTAATTTTTTAAAATTAGAAATGATACTTTTTAATTTTTGAAAATTAGAAATAATATTTTTAATTATTGAAAATTAGAAATAATTTTTAACTTTTTAAAATTAGAAATAATTTGTAATTTTTTAAAATTAAAAAGTTATAAATAATTTTCAAAATTTAGTTTAAATCAAATTTTTATAAAACTGTAGAAATATTTTTGCTTAGAATTTTTTTAAAAAAGAAAATCAAAATTATTTTTGCAGTCAAAGGAGAAAAAATTTAATTTAAAATACAATTTTGAGAATTAATTTTTTCTTTCGGTTCAAATTAAAATAAATTCTCAAAGAAATAAACTTGGCAAATTTTTCCTCGTTTTCAAATAAAATATATAGACGTTTAACGATCCTTTTTCGCGTATATATAACCATCGGATTAAATCGTTGATTCGCACACACGTGTAATCGAAGTTGATAAAATTAATCGTTATCACGATCTCGTATAAGTCGACAAAGTCACGATTTTCAATTACATCAAGTTTCATTAATTCAATTTGCAAATTTTATACTTTTTCCTCCTATTTTCAATTTTCGTATAAGGTGAAACTTTATTTCTTCCCAAAAATCGAGAAATTAAATAGAAATATCCATTATCAAATGCGCGGTCTAGAAATAAATTAAAATTAAAATAAATTTAATTTAAGTTCTCCACCATTTAAAAATATTTTTTCTTTCTAATTTCTTAATTAAGTTTTTATCGCTTTTCCTTAAATATAAAAAAATACGCATTTGAATTTTCTCTTCCGTTTCGAAATATAAAAAGAAAAAAAATACTATTTTTACTAGGTCAGAATCGTAATAATCTTCAAATAGTTAAAATGAAAAATAATTAATATCAACGATTGTAATTGTTAATTGAAAAATTTTCCAATCTATACGAATGCAATCGCTTCAATTTAAAATTAAACTGAGTGCAATCCATCTCAAAATAAAAGTGATGATCGGTTCTAATAATAAAACGCCAACCTCCTCGGCCTTTCAGCGAGTGTTTTCGATTGAGTAAACCTAGTCGTCGAAAAGAGTCGATTAATTCGATTCTAATCCGAGATTCAATCAATAAACATAAATTTGTGTCTGCGGGAATTAAACAGCGGAAGAAAATTTTCTCTTATCAACTTTTCAAAAGAATTGATCCACAAAAAAAATATGAATTTTCCCGCAGCAATAAAAAAATTTCCAAAACAATTTTTGTCTTTTGTTTTTCAGGGCTTTCAAATCCATTTGTTTACAATATTCAATTTTACAAAATTTCAATTATTCGTAAATTCTTCAATTAAATAAATATTAGAAAATAAAAACTTAAAATAATTTTTAAAAAAATCCGCAATTAAAGTTTCTCAAAAAAAAAATTAATTCCGCAGAATTGTTAATTAAAAATATGAAAAACTCAAATTTTCACAAATTTTAATCTGAAAAATTGTCGAAATTCAATTTTTTAAAAATTTACGCTATAATGATTTTAATATTTAATTAGAATCTAAAATTTTAACTGAAATCCATTTTTTAATCAATTTTTATTTATTAAAAAATTCTACGATAATTCAATTATTTAAATACAAAAATCAATTTTTATTTATTAGAAAATTCTACGATAATTCAATTATTTAAATACAAAAATTAAACAATTTATTGAATAATTGCATGTTTCTTAAAATTGAATTCTCATAAAGAATTTTCTCTATAAATTTTTAAATAACTGAATTCTTTTGACAAATTTTAATAAAAATTTTAAGAATTTTTTCTAGGAATTCGATTAAAATTGTATTACAAATAATTAAAATTCTGCAATGAATTTTATCATTTACGAAAATAATTGAATTCCTGGAAAGAATTTTATTATTTACGAAAATAATTAAATCTCTGTAAAAATTTTATTAGTTTTGAAAATATTTGAATGATTGCGAAGAATATAAAATTTGTAAATAATTGAATTTCTGTGAAATTTTTATTATTTTTTGAAAATAATTTAAAGTTTGTGTAGAATTGAGGGGACGGCTTCTAAAAGGGGATACGCGTGGATTCTCGCGTTTAAGTTTTGTCCACTTGGTCAATTTTTGAAAGTATTACAAATTGCAATTTGAATTACCGAAGTTTGTGGAAAATGGAAAGGCGCATCTTTTTTCTTTAAGAAATAAATTTATATCTTTTTTAGTTTATGAAATAATGAGAAAAAACTAAATTTTTGAAAACCAAAAAATTTAAATGTTTTACGTCTTTAACTCGTGCTGGTGTTTTTGATTTTTCATATTTTGTAATCAAACAAAAACAAACTCACAGATTAAGGTTTCCTGAAACCAACTATGTTTTTAAAACTTCAAAATCTTAATTAATAAAAAGTTTATTAATTTTTTCGAAAGACATTGCAAAAAATGTTTTTTTTCAACTTTCAACGCTTCGTTTATCTAGGAAATTTCAAGGTACGAAAAACTTTCAGTGAGAAAGTTTTTTATTACGATACGGACAAGTTTTTTCTAAAATTTTATTAAAATGATATGGATATTTACAAAGTTATTAATGTTGAAAGCGTATGGTGCGTCAGATTTCTTGCGCCTGGAACGCATTGAGTACCGAATTGTTCGTTTGCATGGAACATATTAAGACTATTTTAGTTTATTCATTTGTTTACTTAAAATAAATACAATTTTTATTAAAGTCACTGATAAATTTTTGCAATATTATTATTATTAAGAAGTAACCAATAATAATTAGCCAAAATCGTCTGGAAATAGTTAAAATTTACTGACATACAAATAATTAGTACACAGTTATTTTGACATAAATGTAATGTTAATTTAACTAATAAAAGTTTATTAAGAATAGTAAAAATATTATTATTTTAATTTTTGACTGGTTTTTTAATATCAAAGTAATTATTTTTAAATAATATTTAACTATGGATTATGACGATTCATCTAACTTTATATAACAGTAGCATCAGTTTATTTATTCTAACATGTATTGTACGTAAAGATATATGAAATTATTTTTAAAAAAATATTGCAGAATTATTCGCAAAATAAATTGTACAATAATTCCATATTGTATTTAATACTTGAAGTTAAAACAAATTTTATTTTATTTATATCTGTATTTTGGCAAACATTTTCATACAATAGATTTTTTTTTGTTATCATGTGCACTTCAAGGAAGTAACCCTTTTTTATATGCTATTTTTCTCAAAGTTGTCATTTGTTTTCACTCTACGGAAAAATATGGTGTCCAGATGAGTCGCGGTTGCCGCGACCGTTGACTGCAAAAAAAAGGGTTCGGTAAAACCCAATACAATTTTCCCAGGATTTCGAGATTTTTTTATCACAATTAAGGAAATCGATATCTTTCTCCAAACGGACAGGAGTTTTTTAATAATTATTTTAAAAACATTAAATGTAGTAAACGAGATCAGTTTTACGAAGAGTGGAAACCTTGAACTAAATGAAACAAGAAACTTAAAAGTAAGAAATATTATTTTAGTTGACTTTTGTACATATAACAAAATAAAATATTTAGGTTAAAAATAAATTTCAATAAATTTTATTATATATATTGACAAAATATTTTTAACGCGTTGCAAACGAACAATTTGGGACTCAATGCGTTCCAGGCGCGAGAAATCTGACGTACCATATGCTTTAAACATTAATAACTTTGTAAATATCCATATCATTTTAATAAAATTTTAGAGAAAACTTGTCCGTATCGTAATAAAAAACTTTCTCACTGAAAGTTTTTCGTACCTTGAAATTTCCTAGATAAACGAAGCGTTGAAAGTTGAAAAAAAACATTTTTTGCAATGTCTTTCGAAAAAATTAATAAACTTTTTATTAATTAAGATTTTGAAGTTTTAAAAATATAGTTGGTTTCAGGAAACCTTAATCTGTGAGTTTGTTTTTGTTTGATTACAAAATATGGAAAATCAAAAACACCAGCACGAGTTAAAGACGTAAAACATTTAAATTTTTTGGTTTTCAAAAATTTAGTTTTTTCTCATTATTTCATAAACTAAAAAAGATATAAATTTATTTCTTAAAGAAAAAAGATGCGCATTTTCATTGTGTATAAATTTATTTCATTGAATTTGAAAATTGAAAATGTTTTAAAATCACACTATTCGTCAATACTTATACGTGAGAATCCACGCGTATCCCCTTTTAGAAGCCGTCCCCTCAATTTTATTAAATTTTTTTTGTAAATAATTGAATTCTTTTGGAAAATTTTATGAAAATAGTGGATATTAAAAATAATTGAATTGAGGAATATTTTTGAAAATAATTGAAATTTTGCCAAAATTTTTATTTAAAATTTTTGAAAATAATTGAATTTCGGAGAAGAATTTAATTATTTCTTAAAGATAATTGAAATTTTGATGAGAATTTAAAAAAAATTTTGAACAGAATTGAATTTCTGCGAAGAATTTTATTACTTTTGAAAATAATTGAATTTCTGCAATCATTTGTAATTTCTCTAAAATTATCCAAATTATATCGTACAATTTACGTACTTTTCGTCTTTTCTCAATCAAATTACGGACTTTACGGACCATTTTTCAAAAAAACGGACTTTTACGGGATTTACGGACCTAATTAGTTCGAGCCCTGCTTTTTATATTTTCTCTCCATTATTTTGTTTTACGTGTATTCTTTTATCAAATTCTTCAATAGTTATGCAACTCGCCAGTAATTATTTTAATTTAATTTACTTTCAAAATGATTCATTGATGAGAAAACTGAAATTTAAGGAATTTTTTTTATCTCCATAAAAAATGTGATAAAAATATTTCCATGTGTCAATTTTCTCTGACTAATACACGGCCCGTGTAAATAAATAATAAATATTTTTTTATCGAAAAATATAAATATTTCAAACTTCTCTAATATGTAAAGAACTAAAAAGTTTTTCTCGTTTTCTTACTTTCTTTTTCGACATAAAAATCTTTGCTTAAAAAATCACTTTTTGTAAAATTTATCTTTAGGGGGTTTTTACGAAAAAAAAATATTGGGGGCAATGAAAATTTGTATTTTTTCCATGTAATTAAGGTTGATTTCCTTATTAGGATAGGAATTGTTGATAATAGGATTAAGTTTATGGAGTTATTCAAAGCAGAAGATTAGTGTTCTTCTGTTTATGCCTCTGTGGCAAACTTTTAAAAGATAGCTCGTAAATTTCAATTTTCTACAAAGCATCAAGGATGAGAGAGCCTTTAAACTTTAGAGAGAAAAAAAAGAATCTTTTAAAGGATCCTTTAAGGGTCTTGAACCTACGAGGATAGACCTAGTTATAAAACCATTGACCCAGGTTCACCTCTACCGACCCCTGACACCTTTACCCTCTTTAAAGTATATATATACATACATATATAAGCAGAAAGCCAAACTTTAAACCGGACTTTACCTGATTCACAAAAGCTCCAACACACGCCCCTCCAGACCTTTATTTTCCTTTCCTCCGTTTTGAACCTGTCATCCTCAGTGTCCTCCTTTCGATTTTTTCCTTGCGTCATTGTTGCACTGCGAGTCTCATATTTTTTTCCACCTGAAGAAAAAAGCGGAAGAAAAAATACGACTTTTGAGAAAATAATTTTTTACAAAAACAAGTTTTTTCTTCACTTTATCACTTTCAAAATAAAAGTAAATTTGTATTTAAAAAATTCTTTCAAATTATTGATTATTAATTGGGGTAGACACAAAACTTTAATTTTATTTTTCCCTGATTTCCAGACAAAATTTTGACTCTTTCCCTGACCCTAAATAATATTTTGATTCACTCTAAAAATTATTAAATACAAAAAAAAGTGTTCTACTGCATTTATTTACCAATTTCTTCAAAAGTAAAATTATTCGAAAGCACCAATAACTTCATTTTTAAATTAAACAGTTTATAAGACTATAATTTTAATTGCAATTGTAATTACAGTTTTAATTACAATTGTAATTATAATTATAAAAAATTATAATTAATTATAAAAAATTGTCTGATTATTTAATATATGTATAATTAGGTTTACGGCGCGACGATTATTTGTAATTAAAATCTAATTCTAATTTAAAGTACAAGAGGACAATTTAAATCTGAAACTGCAGGTTGAAATTCAGAAACTTCCGACTTTGGATTAGTTAATTAAGTCAAAACCTAATTCCTACATGTGGTTTCAAATATAGTGGAATATTGTATCCGCGCGACACACTAAGTCGTTAGTCTAATTGCAATTTCTAATCTACAACACAGCGGAAAGTCAATATTCATAATTAACGCCAATTTTTTTATATTACTTTTTTTCTTATAAAAAATACCTAGGTGAAAAAGTGAAATTGTCCCATTTTTACTCTAAAAATTAATGTAAAGTCTAAAAACTGTGAATGATTTTCATTATAAATGAATACTTTTGGAATAAATTAAAAATAATTTCAAATTGTAAACAAATACTTCTGAAGTAATTTAAGTAATTCCTATAATATAAATAAAATGTAAACTTTTGACAAAAATTTTTAACAATTCGCATTGTAAATAAACATTTTGGGACAAATTTTGAATAAATCCTAATATTGAATAAAAACTTGGAAAATTCAAGAATTTTATTAAATTTTTTGAAAGCAATTGAATTTTGAAGAAGAATTTTATTTATAAAGATAATTGAAATTTTGACAAGAATTTCTTTAAATTTTTGAAAATAATTGAATTTCTGCGAAGAAGTTTATCACTTTTGAAAATAATTGAACTGCTGTAATAAGTTCTTAAAATTTCTATTTAAATTAATTAAAAATTGATATTTTCTATCATTTTAATTTGAAACCTTTTAAGTTCATCAACACTGAAAAAGAAATTTATTTGATTCAAGTAAATATTTAATTTATAATTATAGTCAATAAATCGGTTATTTGAATCGAATAAATTTTTTTTTCGATGTATGTATGAAGATTGTAAACGCAACTATCTTTTGAAATTTAATTAATTTTGAAATTTTTAAGTAAAATTAATTTTTAAATAATTGCTAAGTAATAATTTTATGATTAAAATTTTGTATTAGAATTCGTTGTAATTTCATATTTTATGAGTCAAACAAAAAAGACACCATTAATTCAGAATTTTCTTATAAATTATAAAAATTTAATTTTTTCCAGTAATTTTAATAAAAATTTCTGACTTTTTCCTGATTTCCTTGACTAATTCTAATTTTCCTGACTTTTCCCTGACAACCCTGAAATAATTGTTGAAAAATTAATTTTTTAGTCCGGTTTAAATATGAATAAAAAATGATCTTACACTAATCAATACACGAATAAAATCGTCAATATGGAAAAAATATATAAATATGAAAAGAATTTTAAGAAATAAATCGTGATTTGAAATTGAAGTAAATTCACATTATGCAACGCATCATTTTGCATTCAATCAAGACTCACGAGGATGTCGAGAGTGTTTGGAGTCAGGTTCAGTTCATCGACACGAGAAACGTCAGTCGAGTACTACACACCTGACTGATACAAAAAAAAAAAAATCGCGTCGTCGTCGTTGTCGAACACGGCGTATACTCAAAGCTTTTTTTCGAATTGTCTCTTTTAACAGAAACAAGTGACTTTTCGGAAGATTACGAGACCGGTTATTGGAAAGAGTTTGAAAAAGACACATTCAATTACCTTCTATAAAATGTACGTAGTATGTATACTATGGAAACTGGAAGATTCAACGTCAGCGATGTCCATTCGATTCCAAATGCTTCCACCCACAAAAAGAAAGATATAATATAATGTTTCCAACAAAATCATCATTTGTTAGCCGGAAATGTTGCGAAATATGCTGAAAACAAAAGAAAAAAATTGTTAATCGAATAAAATAAATAATAATCGCGAGTTCTGATGAAAAAGCAAATTTTCAAAAACACTCAAATTCAAACTTTTTTTTAAATTCAATTCAATTATTAATTTATTTTCTGGAATTTTTAACTAAAATTCTTCTTCAAATCAATTATTTTTAAAAAATTTTGCCAATGTTCTGTTAGAATTTTTAAATACATTTTTACAATATTCAATTTAACGTGAAATTTCGATTATTTGGAAATTTCTTCAATTAAATACATAGGTACACAGGAAAAAAAAGTCTGACTCCGTTTACACCTTAAATTCAGCCCATGTATTTCACATATATAAGACTGAATGGGGCCCGTTTACACCTTAAATTCAGCCTCGAAAACAGGCTAAAAGTAAAACTTTTTTTTTAGTGTGTATTAGAAAATAAAAACTTCAAATAATTTCAAAAAAAAAATTTAGTCAAAATTTTTTCTAAAAAATTAATACCACAAAATCTTTAGTTTAAAAGTATGAAAAATTCAAATTTTCAAAGATTTTAATTGGAAACCCTTTTAAAATTCAATTATTTCTAACAATTCGTGCAAAAATGCTTTTAACATTCAATTATTATCTAAAATTTTAACGGAAATTCATTTTTAAATCAATTTTTATTAGAAAGCTCTACAAGAATTCGGCTCGGTGAAAATAGCGACCCGCCGTCCGCCAGCCATCAGAAGAATCCATAGGCGCCGACACACATATAGTAGCGCGGTGGCCCAATACGGTTCAATCAACGCAAAAACAACGTAGGCTAGCTAATACAGTTTATAGAAAAAAATTGCAAATAGTCACATTTTAAGGAACAATAATCCCTCTTTAATTTGCGACCAAGAAATAAACATTTGGTCTAAAATTGTTCGAGTTATGAATTTTTGTTGAACTTTTTTTTACAATTTTCGTTTTTCTGATACAGGCGGGTGGGAACGCTGGCTATCAAAAATTGTTTTAGAAAATTCCTATTGGTCCAATGAAATGAAGCATTAATCCCTCTTTAATTTGCGACCAAGAAATAAACATTTGGTCTAAAATTGATCAAGTTATGAATTTTTTTTGAACTTTTTTTTTTATTTTCGTTTTTCTGATACGGGCGGGTGGGGACGCTGGCTATCAAAAATTGTTTTAAAAAATTTCTATTGGTCCAATGAAAAGAAGCATTAATCCCTCTTTAATTTGCGACCAAGAAATAAACATTTGGTCTAAAATTGTTTGAGTTATGAATTTTTTTTCGATTTTTTTTCCAATTTTCGTTTTTTTGAGTAAAGGGTGATTATTGTTTCTTAAAATGTGACAATTGAAAATTTTTTAAATAAATTTATGATAGACAACGTTTCCACCCGTCCGTATCAGAAAAACGAGAATTGGAGAAAAAATCGAAAAAAAATTCATAACTCGATCAATTTTAGACCAAATTTTTATTTTTTGGTCACAAATTAAAGGGGGATTATTGCTTTTTAATAAAATGTGACTATTGCAATTTTTTTCTATAAACTGTATTAGCTAGCCTACGTTGTTTTTGCGTTGATTGAACCGTATTGGGCCACCGCGCTATTATGTGTGTGGGCGCCTATGGATTCTTCTGATGGCTGGCGGCTGGCGGGTCGCTAGTTTCACCGAGCCCAAGAATTCAATTATTTAAAAACAAACATAAATAATTTATTCAATAGTTTTATTACTTTATGAAAATAATTGAATTACTTAAAAGAATTTCATTATTTATGAAAATAATTGAATTACTTAAAAGAATTTTATTATTTATGAAAATAATTGAATTATTTAAAAGAATTTTATTATTTATGAAAATAATTAAATATTTACTTAGAGATTTTATTAAAAGTTTTTTAAAATAATTTAATTCTTTTGGAAAACTTCAATCATTAAAATTCATTCATTGAATTGAGGAAAATTGTTGGAAATAATTGAATTCCTAAAAGGAAATTTATTAACGAAAATAATTAAATCTCTGAAAAGAATTAAATTTTAATATTTAATTTATGAAAATAATTGAATTTTTTAAAGAATATTGTAAAAAATTTTAAACAAATGATTTATTTTTCGAAAAAATTGATACAAATTTTATTTTAAATAATTTAATTCCAGTAAAATTTTTACTATATTTATGAAAATAATTGATTGTTTGCGTAGAATTTTATCAACAATTTTTTTTAAATAATTGAATTCTTTCGAAGAACTTAATTAACATTTTTTAAAATAATTAAATCCAGTAGAGAAATTTAAAAAAATTTTATTGAAAATATTTGAATACCTATACGAAGAATTTTATTATTCATGAAAGCAATCAAATTTTTTTTTTTATAAAGAATATTTATAAATAATAATTTTTAAATAAAAATGTTTTCAAAATAATAGAATTTCTGGGATGAATTATATTTAAATTTTTTAAAATAATTGAATTACTGCGAAAACTTTTATTAATTTTGAAAGTATAATTGAAATTTTCCCAACAATTTTATTAAATATTTTGAAAATAATTGAATTTCTGTGCAGAATTTTATCGTAATTTTTAAAAATAATTAAATTCCTGCGAAGAATTTTATTAATTTTGAAAATAATTGAAATTTTTCCAAGAATTTTATTAATTCAATTATTCATTAAATTGCACTTGCATAAATTTGATGAAAACTTTTTTTTTAAAACAATAATAAAATTATAATATAAACATCGTAATAATACAATATATTTATATTATTACATGTAATAATAGCAATAATAAAAATAAATATAACAATATAAATATAACAAGCATGAAATAAGTGAATTAATTCGCGGAAACCGAAATTTAAAATACTCGAGAATAATAATATACATTTTATAATAAAAACTTTTTCTTATAACTGGTGTGATTTGAAGTTTTCTCACGCAGATTGTTGAGGCGGATAGCAGAAAAGGTCGATAAATACATATCACATTATCGTTAGAAAGGATTGAAGATAGTCCAAAAGTTAAAACTCCTACGCGAAAATTTATGCAATAGAAGATAATAGAGAGATGCAATATATATATTAAAAGATGAAGGAGAGATTAAAGACGAAGAGATATTAATTCATTTCTACAGGTTTTGCCAAATGTAAAAGAAAAAAAATTTTAAATATAATCTATGTATATCACAATGTGTAATTATGTCTCGTGAAAGATTCTGAAATTCTTTTTCCCTTCGGGGAGAAGAAAAAATTCTGTGAAAATATTCTTCAAGGTATTTCCACCAGCAGGTGAATAGTCTATCGTCCTTGTCTTTTTTTCCGTCTCGGCTACAGAAAATACGTTCCTCCCGTAAAGATTTTATAGGGGAGGGAGGGAGGATGTAAAAATTAATTCACAAAGTCTTTTTATAATGTAATATTTCAATATCTTACGCGTCACTTCTACATTTAATCAGGAATAACGAAAAAAAATATTTATTCTCTTTGAGAAAGATTTTCATTTCATTTCCGTGCCCCTGCACTTTCATTTCTTTTTTATCATTTTTAATTCTCTGCATATTTCACCACGTATTGTTTTTCAAAACAAGTAGTAATAAGTAAATAGTAAATAAATTAATTTGAATTTAATTAAGTTACCGAATTTCGAAACGAATGAATATTTATAAGTGTCCTTAAAATATTATCAAGAGCCGAACAAAATCCTCTCTCTCTCTCGTATATAGGGGAATGTAGTCAAGGTTGGTCTACTGTCTACCCAGCAAACACGTTACGTAAGTGTTACATAACAAATAAAGCACCTTGTTATGTCTCACTGTGACAATATTGTTATGTAACAACTACATAATGAGATAGTAACAATATTATATAACACTGTTACTGAATGGTGATATAATAGTTACATAATTTTTTTAAATAACTATTATATAACTGTGTGATATATTCATTACATCACAGAGTGATAATTTTTGTCTTGTTAGATTGTTCTCTAATTGTTACATAACTGTTACGAAACTGTGTGACATAACAGATACATAATTTTGTTATAATTAATAAAGTAGGTTACATTATTATATCACACTGTGACAATATTATTATGTAACCATTATATAATGAGATAGTAACACTGTTATATAACACTGTTGCTGGATGGTGATATAACAGTTACATAATTTTTTCAAATAACTATTATATAACTGTGTGATATATTCATTACATCACAGAGTAATAATTTTTGTCTTATTGCATCGTTCTCTAATTGTTACATAACTGATACGAAACTGTGTGACATAATAAATACATAATTTTGTTATAATTAATAAAGTAGGTCACATTATTATATCACACTGTGACAATATTATTATGTAACTATTATATAATGAAATATTAACACTGTTACTGGGACGTGATATAACAGTAACATAGTTTAATAACATACGTATTATACAACAATGTGATACATTCTTTTAAACTGCACTTAAATAAATAATAGGCAGAATGTGTTTTTTACATAGGCAATTTCTTCCTAAAAACAAAAGCAATACACGCAAAGCAATTACTTATTCTTTTTAAAAAGAAATTTTTGCTTTCGTTCCTAAGGTTAAGGGGGGGGTATAGTTAATTCGGTGAAAAAAAACGCATGTTTTTTAGAATTTTTTTTAGCGATACGCAGAAAGTTAATTTATTTTATCACTTTGCATATAACATTGCAACATTTGAACAATATTTTTTTAAATTTTGATTTAAAAATTTTAAAAATTGAGCGAGATAATGAGATTTTTCTCAGCCGCGTCAAAAAAAAATGATTTGCGGTGTACACTCTAACTCGCAACAGAATCATCCAAAACAAAAAAATCAAAATGCATTTGTTAAAGGAGATGTTTTTTGAGGTATTATCGGAAGGGATTTTTTTGTTTTTTTACTTTTCGATTTTCCGTAGCACTTGAAAGCCAAAAAGTCGATTTTCACTGTAAAAAATCGATTAATTTGTTATTGTAAAATTGGTAATTTTTTAATAAAAAAATAATGGCTTCCGATGTTACCTCAAAAAACATCTCCTTTAACAAATGCACTTTGATTTTTTTGTTTTGGATGATTCTGTTGCGAGTTAGAGTGAACACCGCAAATTTTTGGAGGCGCCTGAGGAAAATGTTAGAATCTTGCTCAGTTCTTAATATTTTTAAATTAAAATTTAAAAAAATATTGTTCAAATGTTGCAGTATTATATGCAAAGCGATAAAATAAATTAACTTTCTGCGTATCGCCAAAAAAAATGCTTAAAAACATGCGTTTTTTTCACCGAATTAACTATACCCCCCCCCCCTTAACATAACAAGGCAAATTTTAATTTGAATATTTAGAGAATACTATATGAAATAATAAATTTATTTATTCCAATATTCACAACTTATCCAATGAAGAGATTAAACCTTATAAACAGAATTAATATTATATATATTCATTTTTACTATCGTGAATATAATGATAATGTATTTTTATAGTTTATTATTTAAAAATTAAAAAATTATATTTTACATTTTTATTAATTATATGTGACGCGATTTGAAGAAAGGGAACTTAGAAGCAAAAAATTGTAGGCTATGTTTGAAATTTTTTAAATGAAAATACAAAAAAGTAACAACCGTCAATATAAATAATTGACATTTTAAGTCTTTATTACAACTAAAATATTTAAAAACAAATTATTTAAATAGCAAACATGTTCTGTAACTGTTACGTAACATTTCTGTAGTAATAAGAGCTAAATTACGTAACTGTTATGTAATTGTTATGTAACATAAAAGTAACAATGTTCTGTAACTGTCGTTACAAAATTGTTACGTAAAATTGTAGTCTCTCTGTTACGCAATAAAATTATGTAATTGTTACATAACTGTTATGTAACATGAAACACTATTTTATAATTATTGTTTCGAATAAATATTTTTTATTATAAATCTAGTTTAACTGTTTAAGTTTATTTATTTACAATAAATTATTATTAATAATTATTATCAGTATTATTTATTATAATTATTAATGTCCAAAACTTTTAAAGAAGTACGTAAAAGTAAAGTGGGGTGAAGAAGCCGACTTTTGGAACATTTTACGATATTTAATATATCACTCACTTTTAATTTTATTTAAAATTTTTTAACGTACTCTGAAAAGTTTGTCTATTAATAATTTAAAAAATATCTTAATTTTTTTTGTAAAAAGTTGTCAGAAATTAATAAAGAAAAATTTTTATTTGAACAAATTTATTTAAAATTAATTTAAAGTTTATAACTCTCAAATTTTATGTGAAGAAAAATAGAATTTTCAGAATAAAATAAAAATTTGTAATCCCGATTAGTATAATTGTAATCGTTTCTTTTTGTTACTCACATGTGTGTGACATTGTTATGTAAATGCTACAAAATTGTTACTTATATGTGTGTAACATTGTTACGTAAATGTTACAGAATTGTTACTGAACACTGTGACTAATGTGTGGTAGATATTTTTATTAACACGTTAATCGTATATTACAAATAAAAAAATCACAAGTTTGTCTTTGTTACGTAATAGTTACATAACAGTAAGTAACAGAATATACGGCACTGCAGTTGATATAGTAGATTAGGAGAATTCTCATCCAGCCTTCAGTGGCCGTGCGGTTTAAATGCGTTGCGTCGGGTCGTCAAGGGCGGGGGGACGTGAGTTCGATCCCACATGCGAGCGGATATTTTTCATTCTAAGCGTTATGTAAAATAATAAAATTACTATTTAATCTGTATATAAGTGTTGTGAAATGTGAATAAAATAAACTTGTGAACATGTTTATAAATAATATTAAAGATCTGTAAAAAAATCAAGTTTAAAAAATGTACTAATTAATAAATCAGTTTTTTACTAAAATTATTTTTGGATATTACCATGTCAAATGGCATTTGTTATTATCTATTGAATAAAAATAATAACAATAATTTTCACGTAGGTCATAATAGTGATGTTACAATTATATAACAAGCTCATCAAATTATGTAACAGAATCTCATAATTGTGATATAATAATAAGTCACAACGTGATATAAGTGTGATATAACAATTATGTAACATATTTACATAACTGTGATATAATAATAAGTCACAACGTAATATAAGTGTGATATAACAATTATGTATCAAATTCTTCTAATTATGTAACATATTTACATAACTGTGATATAATAATTAAATATCACGCTGCAACATAATTGTTATATCACCCTTCTTGTAACAATTATGTAACTGTGACCCTCATGTTACGACATTTCGTGTCACATGTTCATATCATGTTATATCACGTGTGATATTCTGTGACATAACTGTTACATAACTGTTATGTAACAATGTTTGCTGGGTAGGTAGGCCACTCGCGTTTTTTTGTCAAGTTCACTAGCGCCACCTACGCGCATATTTGTCGAAGCTTGTCTTAGTGAAACCTAACTTTTTGTTCAATTACATTTTCGGAGGATCGAAAATTGTGTTTTCTGTGACGTCGGTACAAAAAAAGCTCAAAAAAAGTTTTGTGCATAATGTGAAAAACCATTAATAAAAGATAAAAAACAAATTGAATCGTCAAGGCAAGTGTGCAGAAAATTTGTGGGACTCATGGTTGAAAGAAAAACAAAGTAAAAAATCGAATCCCGAAACGTATATCTTTATGGTTATAACAATTCGGTAATGTTACTTACTGTCAAGGTCGGCCACTATGTGTTTAAAATGCGCAAAGATGAGGACGAGCTACTTCATTTGCAAAAACTGCAATTCTGTATAACTCATAATATAATTGATCATCTTATTAATATTTTTATTTAATTTTATTTATATTTTAGTGCAAAAATTTTTTTTATTTATATTTATTTTTTTATATTGTTTATTGTTATTATTTTGTTATTTCATTAAGTTACAAACTGTAAACAATAAAGAATCAATTTTCCGTAACTCCAAACATGTTATTTTATTTTTTAAAGATTAATGCCCTTTGAATTTTAAACATGGCCGACCTTGACTGTAATGGCCAACCTGGACTACAAAATTTTTTTTTTTTAAATCTTTATAACTTTTTCATTTTTAAACCTGTCAATTTACTTTGTACAGAAAAAATGTTCCTATTAAACAGGACTTTCCAACCATATACTTCAATTGTCCAAATTCATTTTTAAAAAAAAGTTATAAACAAAAGTCAAAAAGGTGGCCGACCTAGACTATGTTCCCCTACTAATCGTGTGAATTGAAAATGGACTATATGCGCGATAATGTCTATTCGAATTGAACGGTGCAGATTCTCTTATTCAAAATTCGTGACGCGTTAACAATGATCGCGAGGAGTAAAGAGACCGATTCTGGATCGACAAGAGTGAGAGAGAGAAAATTACATTCACTTCGCGAACGAGGGTCGAAGAGAATTATATATTGGTTGAAATCACGACCTCTTAAAGGATGACGATGAAGAGCTCGTTAAGATCCGAAGCCTTTCATTTTCAACGCGATATCTATCGTCTCCAGAAGCAAGTTGTAATGACATTTTCCCAAGAGGACTCTATCACTCTCCTTATCGCACGATATTCAAAATAGTAATACAGCAACGCGCACCCGCACCACACCTCAACGAATTTCCCCTCCCCCAAAAAATTGCTATAAAATTACGGGAATATTGACAGAAAAACGGAATTCAAATCACAAAAATTAAATCTAAATGAGAAAAATAGAGTTGTTTATAATTCTTTTATAAGTAAAAAATTATTTTAAATGTATTTAAAAAAAACTATTTTATTTATAACAAACAAATTCAGAAATTACTCTAGTAGCGGGTGCAATTTGTCGCCAAATAAAACAATGACGGTGGGAAATTAAAACACTTACTCATTGGTAGCCGTCGCCTCCTGGTGAATCTTCCCCGAAGCTTGCCGTGAACGGGCTGACTGCGTCCTCTACCGGCTCCAGGAACTCCTGGTTGAATCCTTATCGTAGCCGGGTACAATTCATTTGTCACAAAACACTTGCGTTGATTTAATAGCACGGACGAAAGCAGTGCGAAGTCTTCATATTTGCAATTAGAAAAAATTCTTCTAGTGACGTAGTACTACTCTCAACATTGCCCAAACTATACTGAGCCTGGAGGGGGTAAGCGACTTCTTTTATAGCAGAAAATGCCGCGCGCTGATTGGCCGTTGAGGGCAAGACGGCGCCCGTAGCCCTGTACTGCCGTACGTTGCAGTTCTTCTTAGGAAAAACGTTTTTCTTATTAGGAAAGAAAATCGTCGGTCCGCCGCAATGTCACAATTAGTCGAAGAATAGATTAGGAAAAAGAATCTTCGGTCATCCAGAAACGTTTCAATAGTAGAACAAGATGTAGCGCCAGTTGTAGTGCAAAAACATTTTTCGCAGCAGCGCAGGCCTTCACTCAACGGCGCCCAAGGGGATAGTGAGCGTAGAGGGGGAAAGCGCCTATCTTTATAGGGGCAAATGCCGCGCGCTGATTGGCCGTTGAGTGTAAGATCGCGCTGGCGCTCTGTGATTGGTCGCGCGCTCTTTAGACGTTCTCCCGTTAATATAAAAGCGTTCTTGCCGATGTGCGCACTTTTTTTTGATCATCATCATCTCATCATCAGTATCATTCTGTTCTTCGTTCGATACGCACGTATGAACCGCACTCTTATCTTTTCCCACACTCTATTGTATATCAACGAAGGCGTTTGGCGCGCGTTATGCAAACAGTAACAACGAAGGCGTTTGGCGCACGTTGTTACCAATCTCTGGAAGGCGCTTCGGCGCAGGTGGACGTATGTACACAAAAATGCATCAAAGGAAAAGACCATCTGACAATTTATTGAACATGGCTAATCCAAAGAAACAACAACCTTCTACAGGAGTTGAAACCCACAACAAATTCGATCTTCTGGATGACTTAGAGGAAATGGATGTAATTTCGGATAAGACTGATGACAAAGGGGCCGGAAGACCGCCTCCAATAGTTGTCACGCAAAAGCTGGCAAATGTACAACAACTCATGCGAGAATTAAACAAAAACAGCACCGAGCAAATCTCCATCACATTGAAGAAGGAATCCTACACTATACATACAAAAAGCTACAAAGACCACCGCAGTATTATTGAAATATTGGAAATTGGAAAAACGAAATTCTTCACTTACGCTTCGAAGGAAGAAAAAAGTAAAAGTCTCGTAGTTAAAGGCCTACCAACTCTCACCACGAGTGAAATAATTAGTGATCTCAGTGACAAAGGTATTGGAGTGTCAAAGTGTGTTATAATGAAACAAGCAGCAGATAAACCACAAATTAACCCATTTTACATGATAGTATTGGACAATAACACCAAATCCAGTGACGCATTTAAAGTGAAGGACATTTTGTTCGTGAAAGTGAAGTGGGAAAAGTTTAAAAGCAAAAGAAAAGCTACACAGTGCCACAGATGCCAAAAATTTGGCCATGGATCCAAATTTTGCCATGAGGACCCAAAATGTGTAAAGTGCATACAAGATCATCTCACCAAAGACTGTCCAAAAAAGAAGGAGGACAAAGCACAGTGTACAAACTGTAAACAATCCCATCCAGCCAACTACAGCAAGTGCCCAGCTTATCTTCAACATGTGACCAAAATCGAGGAAAAAAGGGGCTTGACTTGGGCCCTGCCGCCCAAAATTAAGGACCCTCCGAAATTTACTGCCGAGGACTTCCCTCAACTGAAGGTCAAACACACAATAGCAAACGCCGATATCAACCCCATCAAGGAAAGCTACAGCAGACACACAAACCAAAGCAGAAGTGATGACAACCCAGGTAAATTCAAGGAACTACTGGACGTCTTAGCTGAGATAAACAAAATCTGTGATTTAAACAAGGTAATCAAATTAGCATATAATTTAAGAGACTTATTAAAAAATTGTGATAACGATTTAGATAGAATAATGGCCATATCCAAAATTGCTCAGGAATTAGATGGATAATAGCCCAAATAATTTTCGTGAACTTAGAATAGTACATTGGAATGCAAATGGACTAAATAATAAAATGCATGAATTGCCCATTTTTCTCCAAAGATACAATGTAGACATATTGTTAATTGGAGAAACATGGTTCAAACATGACATATTTCCAAAGCCTCCATCAGGTTATAGATGCTATAGGAAAAATAGAGTTAACAAAAAAGCTGGAGGAGTAGCCCTGTTTGTTAAAAATGAAATTCCTTGTATTGAGATTCATATAGATAACCTTGAAACTATAGAAGCACATGCCATTAAATTAGAAAATAATATATTAATCGTTTCTTTATATGCTCCAGCTCAAAATATTTCCAAACAAGATCTAGACAGTATTTTTAATTTAAATAATAAAATAATAGCTGCCGGAGATTTAAACGCAAAACATGTTTGCTGGAATTGTTATAATAATAATAAAAACGGAAAAATCCTCTTTAATTTTGTTGAGAATAGATTACTAAATATCGAAGCACCCTATAGTTTTACATTATATCCTTTCAATCGTAAGGCAAAACCTAGTGTTGTAGATCTATCTATTGTTAAAAATATTACTAATATCCAATCAGTCATTACATTAGATGAACTAAATTCAGATCATAAACCAGTTCTAATTACCCTTAGTAATTCTTTAATAAATCACACACAAAATAAACCTCCAACTTTAAATTACAAACTAGCAAATTGGACTAAATTTAGAGAGTTAATAAACAAAAATTTAAAAATTGACTCCAAAATTGACTCTACTTCTGACATTGACTTGCAAGTTGAAAAATTTACAAATATAATTGACAATGCAATGGATGGGTCTATACCTAGATCAAAACCTTTTAAATATCAATATCAATTACCTTCAGAAATAATAAAACAAATAAATGAAAGGAATAAGCTTAGAAAAATTTCTCAAAAATACAGATACCAATATTTGAAACCATTTATAAATGAAGCGAGTAGGAAAATCAAAGATGCTATTAATAAATTTAGAAATAAAAAATGGGAAGAAAAATTAGTCTCACTAAACATAAAAGATAATTCGCTCTGGAAAATGACAAGAGCTTTAAAAGGTAAAAATAATTCTTTTATTCCTCCCCTAGAGGACAATAATAATATTATTTTCAAAGATGAGGAAAAAGCCGAATTAATAGCAAGTAATTTTGAGGGTGTACACAGGTTGACAGCAAACTTTGGTAGCGCTAAATTTGAGAAAGAAATAAATGATAAATATGAACAAATTTTAAATCCAATAATAAACCTTGATGAAGTAGAACTATCTTCACCAAGGGAAATCAAAAAGATAATTACAAAAACTAAGTCTAAAAAAGCCCCGGGGCATGATAAAATCCAGAATATCATATTAAAAATGCTGCCAAAGAAAGCTATAGTTCAACTGAATTACATCTTCAATGCTTGCTTAAAACAGGGCTACTTTCCTCAAAGCTGGAAATGTGCAAAAATAATCCCCATACCAAAACAAGGTAAAAATCATAAATTAGCATTAAGTTATAGACCAATCAGTCTACTTTGCAGCCTAAGTAAACTTCTTGAAACAATAATATTAAATAGAATTAAAAATTTTGAATTCGAACATAAGCTACTAATTCCTGAACAATTTGGATTTAGATCTCAACATTGTACTGTTAAACAACTAGCTAGATTAGTAGATCATATATCGACAAATTTTAATTTAAATAAAAGCACCGGCGCTGTTTTCCTTGATATGGAAAAAGCATTTGACACTGTCTGGCATAAAGGTCTGATAGTTAAATTACATGATTTAAAATTAAATTATTACTTGATTAAAATTGTATCAAACTATCTTAAAGATAGAAAATTTGTAGTAGACATAAATTGTCAAACATCTACCGTAAAAGATGTAGTAGCCGGAGTCCCTCAAGGATCAGTATTAGGCCCAATCCTTTTCTTATATTATATTAATGACATACCAAAGGATGACAAAGTCAAAATAGCAATATTTGCTGACGATACTGCGTTATATAATTCCTCTTGGAGAAAGAAACAATTAGCACAAAACCTACAAAAATATATTTTAGTTTTAGAAGAGTACTATCTCAAATGGAAGCTCAAAATTAATGCAAATAAAACAGAATTTATAATTTTCAGTCACAAACCAAAAGATAGTTTTATTCCCGAACTTGAAATGTACAAAGAAGTAATTAAACCTAAACCTAAAGTAAAATACTTAGGTATGTTTTTAGACAACGAGTTAAATTATACTCAGCATATTAATGAAACCCTAATTAAAACTTTTAAAGTAATTGGACAATTATATTGCCTTTTAAATAGAAAAAGCAAAATGAGCACTCAAAACAAAGAGATTATTTACAAAACGATAATTAGACCTATTATGTTATATGCAGCTCCCATATGGGGTAGTACTTATGAAACCTATATTGAAAAGTTACAAAAACTACAAAACAAATGTTTACGATTAATATTAAATGCTGAGAGAAGCAAAAAAGTCATTCTTATGCATAGAAAATTAAAAATTAAAACTGTTAAAGAAATAATATATAGTTTGACTGAAGATTTTTATACTAATAAGTTAAATAATTTAGATATTTTAAGCAACACATGTAAAATTAAGTATAACGAAGCGCCATTCAAAATTAAATATAAATTACCTAACCATCTAATACAATAGCTTGTAAATAATGTAAATAGTATAAATAAGTCCTATATAGTTATATTTTTGTTAAATTTTGTTATATATAAATTCAGATCAATTAGGTTTTTATAAAACTTTTCCTAAAACACATAGATATATATATTTTTACTAAAAGAGAAATATTAAACATAACATAAGAGAATATCTATGGATAAATCGCAATAAAGATAGGAGCCATAGTTTAAGTTACAAATCTACATGTGTATTTTTTACTCTGTATTTTACTGATCTCAATAAATATATATCTTTTAATGGTAAAAATGGTGCGCACTTTTTGATAGACTGTCGTGGAGGGAGAGTCTTTCTTTATGAAAAAATACGTTTTCAGTACAGTTTGCTCTACGGAACTCAACGGACGGTCTTGTTTCGGCACTACGAATAAGTGTATTAAATTTCTTTATTTCTTTACTTAAATAAATAAAAGATTATAAATAAATAAATAAAAAGAAATACTAAAATAAACATTTGTTTTTAGTAATGTTCTAAAATAGTAAGAATAAGGTTCTTGCAAACATTTAAAATTAAACTAAAAGTGTAATAAGCAGTGTTATCAATGTGTTTAGTGTTTTTTACTAACAGCGACGTGTTATGTGGTGGTATTTTCTTTTAAAGTGAGTTTTTTTCTCTTTAATTACATTACCGTGGATTTTTTTTTGCCAACATAACCTAAAAATTTATTTTTATCGAGATATTAAATGATGAGTTTTATGTTTTTTAACGAAAGTATTTTACTTTTTGTACCATATTATTATTTTTCAATGCGCGTAACTAGACATTTTATTTATTTGAGAATATTGTTACAACGTAACAGTATTGTTGCCACAATTTACGCTGCAGTACTGTCAATTGTCATGTAATTTGTTTTTCTTTTGTTTGAATTATTCTCATGTGCGCAAATACTCTCACGATAAGTGAAATCATCTATAAGAGACGACGCCGCTCTCTGATTGGTGGCGCTCTTTACTCGTAAATACCTAAATACTGACAGATTTTTTCATTTTTCCGTCTCGCAGTCTGCAGTAGGCAGTTAATGAGACAAGATCGCGACTTTCAAACAAAATGAAGAAACTCTCACTCCAAGGATAAATATCTCTACTAGTACAAAGTGTAAACATACAGTACAGTGTACTATCTGATTTACTACAAGAAAAATGTGTGCCGCTCAACACAAAAATCTACAAGTTTTCCTGGTAAAATTTCAACATCTTTTTGCATCTACTCGCAAACTTACTGGACAAGAAAAAGAAATGTTGCGCTATCTCTGTTTCGATTATACATATATGGTTTATCACAGTCGGGAATAATGTACATCTCGAGATCTTGCATATCTCGGCATACCACTCTCGTCGTTTCCAACATTGCTCTCCAGTTCCTGGCAGGCAGCATTTCGAATCTTACTCATCGTTGAACGTTATGGTTTGGGGTTGGACAGATTCCATTCGATACTCGCCCCCTGGGAGAGAGACTCACATTGGAGTGAGAGACATACCGGAAGTTGCATGTATCGGAAACGTAGAGTTAACTTTCAAGTTCACAAAAGTCACTCAAAGTGTGTTAACATCATCATCGGAAAACTTGAAAAATTCGTGTGTCGTTATAAAAGGAAATTATAACAATATATATAAAATTTGGTAATTACTGTTGTAGTATTTTTTGTATCGAGGACGAAACAATTGCGGGTAAATTTTCTTTAATATATTCGATTCGATATTGTCGAAATAAATGATAACCTAGATACTATATTATATTCCCCATATTCCGAAATTGGCAGATATTTTAACAGATTACGGATGTCGTAACCTACAGGATGTCCGCGTGTTCTAATACTGTTAAACTGGACAAGAGAGGTCGTTATCTGCAGGATTTCCATGTAATAACATCGTTAGTGATTTACAGTCAAAGGTACCTGTCAAATGCCTTCAGTTCACCTCTAATGTTCGACTTCAATACATTCATCGCGTCTGAAATATAATATTTCAATCTTACCTTAAAAAGAGTTTTTTTCCACTTTTCAGAAATCGTATTTTCCTTTTTCTTCTACCTAATTATTAATTTTTATTTATATTTATAATTTAATTTGTATTTTAATTCCTTAAAAATCGTTTTTTCTTCTAGTACTGAATTTTCTTTTTTTTTTAAGTTAATGGACGAGTTGACAATTGAGAGAGTTTATAACAAAGCATTTTCTCTACTCCATTCGTCGGAGGAGAATAGTGGAGAAAATCTTCGATTAATGTTGGATTCAATGATTCAGGAAAAATTCGGACTTCAAAAAACTGTCACACAACGATTGTCACAGACATTTTTGAATAAAGCGGAAATGGGTATATTTTTTGGTAAATTCGATAATATTTCTTCTAGAGTTTATTTTTATTTTATCCGCATAATATTTAGCGGATTATATTTATTTTATGTTTTTAATATCAAAAAAGTTATTTTTTTTTAGCAAAAAAAAATGTAACTTTTATACTATTTTCGTTTTTGTTTTCTGTATAAAATTTTTATAAACTATAAAAATTAAAGAAAAAAGTAGATGCTATCGAAATAAGTAAATATTTTTTATTCGCAGGCGAACCGCAAAGTGTTTCACTTGAGACGATAAAAATTTTTAAGACCGATTCCGAGGATTATGACGACGTTCCAACGATATCGATTCCTGACGAAGGATCCGAGGAAAGCGTTTCCCAAATGGTTTATTTACTTTTTTTCTCGATCATAAATTTCTTTCTTTTCTTTTGTTAATTTTAAGAAAATCTCCATTATTCTCTACTGTATTATTTTTTTAATGCTATTTTTCTATTTTTTATTGCAATTTTTTCAATTTGTTACAATATTCTTAGATTTTTTTATGTAATTTTTCTAGTTTTCTTATTTTTATTGTAATTTTTCAATAATTTGTCTATTTTCTTATTTTTTATTGCAATTTTTGAATTTTTTTTATCCACTTTTTTATTTATTTTTAAATTCTCTTAATATTTTAATAATTCTAAAAAAATTTAATACTCATAATTAACTTGTAATTTGCCTTTATTTTCTGCTTTTAGAAAAATGGAACAGACGAATCGTTTATTCTTCTTGAATGTCATAATTGTTTAGAGATTTCTCAACCACTTGATAGTGAATTAATTGACATGGGAAATTTTAACACCGAATTAATCTGGCTTTGTGAAAATTGCAATCAAAATGCAAGGGAAACAACAAATTTGAAAACCTATTCAAATCCAGAACGAGTTTGTCGAAAAATTAAACTGCCGCACAATAAGTGTGGAAATGCAAAATAGAGACAGAAAAATAATTGAAAAAGCAGTAGATATATATATTTACTTGAAAATCGAAAATTGCTTTTGAAAATTTATTTACATTGTTTAATTAAATTTCAAATTGATAAATTTTTTCACGAAAGCATTTTTTTCTTCGATTTTTGAGAGAAGAGAAAAAAGAGGCAAAAAAAATGGGAATTTTGTATAAAAAATTTCCGATTTCTTTTCTTTTTTCTAATTAACGGTTTTTTTAATGTCACGTAATTAATATTTCTCGACAGGAAAAATATTTCTATTTCCTAAAAAAGCGGTTTTTGAAAATTTTTTTGTTTAAATAGTATTTTACGTTATTTTTACAAATATATTTTTTCTTTATTTTTTTTTCTCTTTCTTTATTTTTAAAGTTTTAAATAATATTTTTTATTTAATTTCAATATTTTTATTTCCCAAAAAAGTTGTTTTTGAAAATTTTTTTTTAAATAGTATTCTACGTTATTTTTACAATTATATTTTTTTTCTCTTTCTTTATTTTTTTGTTTTAAATTTATTTTCTTCTTTTTTAATTTTTTTCTACTTTTTTAATTTTTTTACTTTTTAATTTTTTTTCTACTTTTTTACTTGTTTTCTATTTTATTCATTTATTTTTTCCATTTTTATTTATTCATTTTTCTCTTTTTCTGAAAAAATCTATTTTTAATTAGAGAAAATGAAATTTTTTTTGAATTCTTTTTCTTAATTTAAAAAGAAGGAAATTTGATATTTGGACTCGTGGAACATTACCCAAGTTTTGAGTTCGACGTACGTTTGTTGCTCTCCATTATAAGGTCAACTGAGTTCAATTGCCTTCGAAGTAGTAACTAAACTTTGAAGCGGACCGACATCGATCACTCTCACTCTAATTGATTGATCATAAAAAAGAGCGTTAGAAAATCACGTTCCGGCGAAGAGAGTCAAAGACGTTTAATGGCCGTAACCGGACGACAACGACAACGACGGCAATACGCACAATAAAACTTTTCCGCAACGTTCTTTCAGAATCAACGCACGTCTTCCTGCTTTTTGGCATTTGATATTTATCCGAAAAACTTTTTCCATTTTCGCAATTTTCATTATTTTTCTCACACTTTTGCGAATTTCTCTATAAAATTAAGACAAAAGCACAAAATTAAGACAAAATCACTTTTGATGAAGAGAAATTAATAAAATTAATTACAACTAATTGTAAATAAAAAAAATGTGCAGGCAACAAATTTGATATAATAAAAATAATAGTTAATTAATTTCAATTGTAATTTTTAGATAATAAAAAATTCTAGTCAACGAAAAAATTGTTTCTCTTTAGAAAAAATTAAAAATTATAATTATATGTAAATTATTTCAATTGTAATAAAAAATTTTAGTGAGCAAATAGTATTTTTTCTTTGGGAGAAATTAAAAATTATTATTATTAAATGTAAATTATTTCATTGTAAATAAGTAATATTTATATAATAAATAATAATAATGTATGATTATCAAATTAATAATAAATAGAAATTAGTGGAAAAAATCCATAAGTGTTTTCTTTGATCGTAGTAATAATTAACAACAATAAATTAAATTGAAAATAATAAATAAATTAAATTAAAAATAAATAAGCAAACAACAACTAACTTCAAACTGCGAACAGATTATCGGAATACAACGATTATTAATATTAGAAGTAATTATAAATTGTAAATAATAATTAAGTAATCATAATTAAAGTAATTATTCAATTAAAACAATAATTGTGAATAAAAATCAAATAAAACTAATTCTAAATAAAATTGCAATTAATTTTTCAATTTAAAATACTTTTTATGGAAAAAAATTCAACGAGTAGAATTAAATTTTCTGACAGATATGTTTTATTCACTTTTGGCATCTCATACAACTCAGTTCTCGTTTTTATTTTTTTTATTGTTATAAATCGCAGGTTGCATTTTATTTTATTTATTTTCGATTTTTTTAAAATATAATGCCCTGTTTTTTAAACACACTCAAAATTCTGAATGTTTAAATTTATTTAATTTTCTTTTTTAAATTTATCTTTCACTCGTTTTACTGGACAAATAAATATTTTTTTATCATTATACATATACAATATACATAAGTTAATTAATCATTTATACGCTCTCTTCATATATCTAAAAAGTTCCTTTCACTCGCAACTGTTTTTTTATTTTTAAATTTACTTAATTTATTAATTTTTCTTTCTTTACAATTTAAATTTTTTTTTTATTATTTTCCTGTCAAAATTAATTGACAAAAAAATCTTATTGGTACGAAATTTTTTGCAGAAAAATTTCCTTAGAAATTTTCTATTATATTTTCATACAAAAATTTGCAATTTGAAAAATTAATTTCGAATTTTGTTAAGTATTGTTTTTGCAAAATTGAAAATTGCGATAGGAAAAATTTTATATTAATGACGAATGGCAATTTTTATTATTTAATACACAATAAATTGCGTATCAAAAAATTATTTTTAAAAATATATATTTAATTGCAATTGTTTCGAATTTTCTTTTTGTGTATTTTTCTCTTTGAATGAAATTTGAAAAACTTGGAAAAAAGACAAAACTTAATAAACTTATTTTTAATATTTTATTTAAAGAAAGTTTCCATGTTAAAATTGAAATTTGCTGTCTTATAGTTTAATTATCATTTCAAAAATTAATTTAAATATTGCAAAATTTGTATAATTTTTTGTATTTCAATTTTTTAATTTTAATCAAAAGAAAAGATTTTAATAATAACAAAAATTGTTGGTTTTAAATTGTTTTCAAAAAAAATTCAAGTGATTGGAAAAAATATTGAATGAAGGAAAATAATGAAAGTAAAAAAAAAAAATTCTCACCAAATTGTCCAAACGCTTCTCGCATTTATGCATAAAAAATGATTTTCACAGTAAAGCGCCACGAGGAGAGATATTCAGCCTAATTCTCGGGGGGAATTGTCGTGCCAAATGGCTGACATTAATTAAATAGAACTTGTAACACGTGTCAAGGGTATCAGCTCTTGCATTTGACACCGCGCTCCTTGGCATCAACAAGTTTCTTACACTTTGTACGATCGACAATGAGACAAATCCTGGAAGTCAAAAATTCAAAAAATCAAGTCAGTTATTTGCATTTCAAAAAAAGAAAACGAAAGTAAATAATTATCAAACACTTTCACACTCAATACAATAGAGAAAAAAAAATGAAAAAATTTTCACTTCATATCTTTTCCTTCTTTGTCACAGAAATTGGAAGAATTGAAAACTATTTTTTGTACTTTAAAAAATTTGTGCAATATTGAAAACAAAGCCTCACAGTCGATCGCATATTTAAACAAAATATGCAAAAACTAAAGTATGAGATTTTTTCCCAAAAAAACAAAGTTTAAAATCCGTCTTTCGAATTTCGAAAATTTTCAAAAATAAAAATATTTCATTTTTACAATAAAAAATGTAAAATTACGAAATAAACGTTTTTTACAATCTCGATTTTTCATTTCTTGCGCGCAAAAAAATTCTTTTCTTTCCCCAGAGAAGAAAAAGACCATTTTTAATTTTCGTTTTTGTTACAAAAACGAAATAACAAAAAATCTTCTCGAAAACTTTTGGAAGAGAAAAGAATTTTTTTTGTACAAATCGATTTTGACGCCGAATACAAATTTTTTTTCCTGAAAAACGATAAAAAGTTTTCTGTTTCACAATTTGCGGTTGAATTATACAATTTACATTTAAGTCGTGTTAACGAATTCGTCGATTTACAATATTTTCTTCTTTTGTTTTTAACAATAATAATCGTCGATTATTGTTCGGGGGACGATGACAAATATTTGTTTTTGTAAAAATGTGCAAAAAACGATAAGTATTTATCGAGTTTTAAAAGTGCTTATCTAGTCACATGGGGACTACTTGGCATCTAGAAAAAGAATTTCTAGCGAATTTACACACAAGAAACAATTCTTCGCAAGAAAGACAGCGAAAAATAAATCGAAATAATAACAAAAGCGAAAAATATACAAATTCACATTATCAGCAATTAGTTTTACAAACATTCGACGATAGAATTTTTTTTTCAAGTATTTTTCCTCCTGTTAATTTTTTTCTCATTCCTTAACAAATTTCACAAACGAAAAATTTTCCTCTCGAAAAATCATCTCTTTGAAATATTTCCTTTTTCGATTCTTTCAATTCTTTTTGCAAAAATAGAAAGAAAAATAAAAGCAAGCATAAAAAATGGATTAAAAAATAAAATTAAATAGAAATAATTAAAAAAAAAAGTGACGATTTTTCGAGAGAAAACTTTACAATTTTGATTTAATTTCGTTTTGCCAAAAGTATAGAGAACATAAAAAAATATATGTTCACTCATTCATAAATTTAATTTAATCACAAAAAATTTTTTCCTACTTTTCTTGACAAAAAACAAAAATTTAATTCTAAAAACAAAAAGCCAAGTCTAACTTTTTTCATTCATTCTTTTTCTATATTATTTATATATTTTCTCAAATATTACGGATTAATAATCACAAAAAGAAACACTACGACAAATCTAATGAAGATAACGAAACAAATTATTTCAAGCGTTAAGGACACATCGACTAGAATTATTATATTATTATTATTATTATTATTAATATTATTATTATTAAAATCGACTAGAGTTCTCACTTACTAATCATACACTTTCGACAATTAAAAATCTACATTTTACTTTTGTTTACTAAATACATCAAATACCCTCAAAAATTTTTTTTCTTTTGAAATATTCTTCCAGTTGTCGGAAATCCAATGAGAGGCAAATATAATAAAAACGAATTATTTAAAAATATTTGCCAAAATAAAAAGCGATATTAAACATTTTTTAAAAAAAATGTTTTGAATGTTAAAAATTATAAATATTTTTTTAGATAATAAAATTATTTATCTAAACGAAATAAACACGTGGAAAGAGTACAATGTTAATGATAATGATTGTAATAATAATAAATATTATAAGCAATTATTATTATCATTATTACAATAATTATTTTTTTCTTTGTAAATATTTCCTGGAAAATTCAAATTACTTTTTCCCTTTCATAATTAATAAAAACTTGACAAATATTCCACGTGGCAAAAAAATGAAAAAAAACTAATAATAAATTGTTCATAAAAAAAATAAATTAACACAAAATGTTAGACATTTAAAGAAAAATTTAACGAATTTTGTTAATTTTTTAATTTTAAATAATTAAAAACAATGGTTTAAAATTAAATACACATAAAAATGCGTAAATAATTTTTATGTAAAGAGGAAAGAATTTTATTTAGAAAAAAATTCTTAATTAGAAAAGAAGATTTTCAAAATACGACTAGTTTTTCTATAAAAAAAAATAGAAAATAAAAAAAGATAGAACAAAACTAATTCGTAAAAATTTGGATTCACGACAACGGAATAATAATGCTAAATAAATGAAAAATCACAACAAAAAATATTCAAGCGTCATTTACCATTTACACCAAACAGTCTTCCGTAATTTTTTTTTTTTTAATTCTTTAAAAAGGAAATTTCTTTCCCCAAAATGTTTCCGTTATTTTTCTTTTTTTTCTCTCTCAGTTTTTTGAAGTGCGATACTTCTTTACTAGTGTTACTACAATTTTTTTTAATAATCAATATATTATTAATTAAATAGATAAAATTATGAAAGGCCTTAATACATTTCCAGTGCCTAGTGTCAAGCCATGGAAATCTAAATATTTTTTTTAATTTTGAGCTTAAAAAACCAAACATCAAGGGAAAAATTGAATTTTAATTTAAGTTTTCACTTTTTTTTAAGAAGAGGTAGTTGTCAATGATTAAAAGATGAAGAATTCCCAGCAGGCAAGAGGCACTTGGAAAACGAACGTTATTTTTTATTTTAATTAATTTATTATTATTTTTGTTTTTTTCTTTCTGTTTTTGTTTTTATAGTCCTAAGTTTTTTTGTTAATCTCGCTTCGTTGCGGGTAGACCATTTCCCACGACAAGTTGCTCGTGTGGAAAATCTAAGACCACGCATATATGAAATCCCATGTTTGCGCAAGCTATCACGTATTCGCAAAATGAGAACCAGCTAAATGCTACAGTGAAAAGAAATCGAGAATAGATTAGAATTTTTTATTCAAGTATTTAGCATTTTCTTCTGAAATTAGTCAAATTTTTTAATATATATTATATTTAATTTAATTATTAAAAATAATGGATTTATAGAAGAATTTTAGTTAAAACACTAAAAAATAAATTGAATTTTGAAGAAGTTACAAATGATTGCAGAAATTTAGTTATTTTCAAAAATTTCATAAAATTCTTTGCAAATATTCAAGTATTTTCAAAACTAAAAAAAAAATTTCCACTAGAATTCAATTATTTTCCCAAATAATAAAATATTTCGTAAGAATTCAATTATTTTCAAAATGAATAATAAAATTTTTCAAAATAATCCAATTGTTTCTAAAAATTTCAAAAACATTCTTCCAAAAAATAGAATAATTTTTAAAATGTTGAATAAAAGTCTTTATAAGAATTTAAATATTTACAAAAATATTAACATTTATGACAGGAATTCAATTATTTAAGAAAAATTTTGATAAAATTTTATACAAACATTTAATTATTTTTATAAATAATAAAAATTTCACAGAAATTCAATTATTTACAATTTTTTTTATAAATTTCTTCGCAATAATTCAATTATTTTCATGAAAAATAAAATTTCTTACAGAGATTCAATTATTTTCACAAATAATAAAATTCACTGTTAAATTTCAAATACAATTTTCAAAAAATTTTCATTCTTTCATGGAATTCAATTAAAATTGTGTTGAAACTAATTTAATTCTTAATATAAAGAATTGTATCAAAATTTTTAAGAAAAATTGAATTCTTTTGGAGAATTTTATTAAAATCTTCAAAATAATTTCATTTTATCGAGAAATTTTTTTAAAAATTGTATTAAAAATAATTGAATTCCTACGAAAAAGTTTTATCAAAACTTTTAAAAATATTTTAATTTAAGCGAAAATTTCGTTATTTTTGAAAATAATTGAATCGTTTTAAAGAATTTTATTAATAATTTTGAAAATAATTGAATTTCTGCGAATTTTTCACAGGAATTTAATTATTTTTGAAAATTTTAATAAAATTCTTCGTAAAAATTCAATTATTTTCATCAATAATAATCGCAATAATCGCAATAATTCAGTTATTTTCATAAATAATAAAATTTTTTACAGGGATTCAATTATTTTCATAAATAATAAAATTCATCGCAGAATGTAAATTATTTTTAATACATTTTTAATCGAATTCGTGGAGAAATGTAATTATTAATTAAAAATTTGTTGATAAAATTCATCGAAAGAATTCAATTATTTAAAAATTTGTCAATGAAATTCTTTATGAGAATTCGATTTTAAGAAACATTCAATTATTCAACATATTATTTATTATTGTTGTTTAATTAATTGAATTTAAATTATTTGAAGCTTTTATTTCTAAAAGTCAGAGAAGAACAAAATAAAAATACGTTTTTATACTTTTTTTTACCATAATTGAAAGTAAAGTAGGTAGTGCTAGTGGTAATAAAATTTTAAGTAAATGGAAGTAAAAAAATATTTTTGAATAAAAGTGAACATAATATGTAAAAAAGTAAAAATAATGGTAGTAAAATTACGATTTTTGAAATTCAAAGTAAGAATTTTGTAGTTTTGTAGTAAAATAAACTTTTGTAATTTTGTTTTGTAAATAAATATTAATTTCTCACCCAAATCGTGGCATAAAAGTCGATGCTTCAGAAAGAAGATAATAAGGCCCGCAGTGCTTATGAGACTCGTTATAAACAGGCCTTGTTTGTACTGAAGACTTTGTGCATTTGGTGTGATTAAACGGCCCAATCTCACAGCCGTCAACATATACGTCAGTGAACTGATCATAAACATTATAAAGATTTTCTCGTGGACCGCTGAAAAAAAATCAAAATTTATTAAATTTATTTCTTCATTTATTATTGTATCTGTTGGGAAAAAAGTTCTTTTTTTTCTTTTAAATTTTACTCTAAAAGAAAAAAAACTTTAAAGTTTAAATTTTACCCTAAAAGAAGAAAAAAAACTTTAAAGTTTAAATTTTACTCTAATTTTGCAAAAAATATTTCTAATTGGAAATTATTTCTTGTAATTTTAAATCTCCATTGAAGAACATTATTTTTTCGAATTTTTATTTATGCAAATTGTACATTTTTCGAACTATTCTCCATTTTTTGCAAAATAAAAAACGCAGATAAGAAAAAAGTTTCTTTTCACTTATTTTTATGAATAGAAAATTTCTTCTGTTCACGAAAATCAATTGCGGTAGATAAAAGAAAAAACAAGTAAACGAAGTAAAATAAAAAAATCGAAAGACTTAAATTAAGAAAATAAATAAAAAAAATTCCAATATTTTCAAAATAAATTATTCTAAGAGATTGTATTAAATAAAATGTTCCAATTAATTTTTTTATTTTCCTTTCAATTTATCAAAGTGATTGTAAAAGAATTATTTTTTATCAAAATTATTGTAAGAGAAAATAAATAAAGTAAATATTTCTCTTCTTTTTTTTTATTTTTCTTTTCAATTTATCAAGTGGATTAGACTTGAATCCTTGGAGGGTAGAAAATTACGTAAAAAATTCTGTCAAAAAGAAAAAATTAAAATAGTGTTTCAAAGACCTTCCAAGGATCGATTTTATTAATACATAAATAAAAATACCAATTTCGGAAGGAAATTATAGAAATTAAAATAATTTTCAGGAACTGTTTTGAATAAAGTACGTCAATAACGAAACGAATTCTTAGGAAAATGAATAAATAATTAAGAAATAGAACTAAATTCGTAAATAAACAACAAACTGAATTGCTTAAATTATTACAAATTAACAAATTTTTCAATACTACAGTTAAAAAATGTAGAAGAAATTAAAATTTAAATAAATTTTACGCAATATAATTAAAAAATATAGAAGAAATTTCAAATTAAATCAATTTTTTGCAATATGCGATTAAAAATACAGAAGAAAATGTTTATTAAAAAAACAGAATAGAAAGAAAATATCAAGATACGATAAAAAAGACATAAAGAGAAAAAAATTGTCATTTAGAATAAAATTTGTCGAAAAAAATGTAAAAAATAAAAAAAAAGTATTAAAAAGGAAAAAACGATAAAAGAAAATTACTCTCACCATAATTTTCCGCATTTGAAATATAAGTAACGCCGCTGAGAGCGGCAACTTCGGTAATATTGAGCCAGTAGCATACATTCAAAAGTCTGCAGGAAACGAGCTTCACAGAAACATCGTCAAGGGTTTGAAGTACTTTTCGATAATAAGAGTAATAAACGCTTGCAATTACAAGTCGTGGTCCAATGTGTAAAGCTATGCTAATTCGCCACAAATACCTCTGAGGTGAAACGCCCGTGATGGCTGAGATCGACGGAAGAACATTATAAACCTGCGAAGAAAATTTAAAAAAAATTAATATTTCCCTTCTTTTCCAAGTCGTAAAAATAAAATATATTTCAATTAAATTTCAATTTTAATTTAATTCAAATACAATTTTGATTTCATTTAAATATAATTGCAATTTTTTTTTCATTTAAATACAATTGTAATTTTAATTTCGTTTCAATACAATTACAATTCTAATTAAATTTAAATACAATTAGAAATTATTATTTCATTCAAATATAATTGCAATTTCGATTTAATTTCAGTTTATCCTAATTAAAATTAAATTTTTCCAGAAAAATCGTATTTTTCAAGAAAAATTGGAATTAGGAAAATTGATTTTAACAAGTAAAATTAAATTTTGGAAAATTTAAAATTTTTTCTAATCAAAAGAATTTTCATTTTAAAAAGTAATGGAATTAAAAAAAAAAATAAAAAGCCAATAAGTTTTACTTTGTATGCAGATAAATTATGGAAATGTTGATAACAGCGAAAATACCGGCGATAACTAAATAAGAAACAATTGTTCTAAAACGTTAAGAAGATAAATAAATTTTTTAAAAAATAAATTTAATTTTTATCTAAATAAATATTTACTACTCACATTTATTATCTAAATAAATATACTTTTAATAATTTAATTTAATTTTTTATTAGAATTTTTGTTATTGTTACTCTTAATCTGTGGGCGAATCGATTCAAAAATTTTCGTTCAAGTAGAAAACACAAAAATCCAATAAATTAGAGAAAAAAAATAATAAATAAGTAACTTTTAAAATAAGTTTAATAATTACGTTATTTCTATTAACAATTAAATATAGTATTTAATAATTTATTTGTTATTATATTATTTATTATTTATTTAATAAATTCAACTTTAAAAATGCAATAATTTATAAAAAAAAAAAAATAATAATTCGCAGAAAAATTGTAGAATTAGTGTTAAAAGTGAATTATTTAAACAAAAAAAAAGTTACGTAATTTTAAAAACCTTATGGAAAAATATTTAGACACACGAAATTATAGAAGCAACATTTGTTTAGTTATTATTTTTTTTAACAATGGACTTTTAAAAGCTTAGAATATTCAAACGATAAGGCTTATTGTTTTTTATATATTTATCTCCATTATTTTTTGTAAAACTAACAATAAGGCTCAAGGTTACTATGAAATATATAATTTATCACTATTCCTATGTAGGTTAAAAATGCAATTTTATTATTAAAACAATTTCAGTATTTTATGTGCAATGCAAAATTTATTTCCTTTTACTTCAATGATTCAATTTCTCGCAAATAAATATTAATTTTATTGAATTAAATCCATAAAATTATTTTATAGATCAATCAATAAGTGACAATTAGTTATAAATTATTACTTTTTTTAAAAATTAAAAAAACAAAAAATTTAATTAATTAAACAAAAAAATAAATATTAATGAATATTAATTATGATGGTTATGTAATATTTTCTATAATTCATGGAAAAAGTCAATTCTCCAGGAATTGGAGAAGATTAATTTTAATTAATTATTTGATTAATTAGTGATTAATTTAGTGAAGATTTAATATAAAGTTGAATAATAAAATATTTTCGTAATAATTATTGTATTTTTATAATACATACCCGACAATGTGTTTCGTGAATATCATCTTGTTGAAATATATACGCTGTAACGAAACAAATGAGTAAACTCACGAGAGGTAGTGCAACAGTGGCCAGACAAAGCTTCTTAAATGGTATCACTAGATAAATGGAACTTTTATTGTTCCCTATATTATTTAACTCCATTCTGTTTTCAAAGTATTTTATCACTGTTTTTATTTTCCCCCTTTTTCTTTTCTTTTTTTTTGACTCGACTGCTACTTAAATCATAAATCTTATTCTATTTTCCTCTTGGCCAGGAAATTGCATTTTCTAATTAAAAACTTTGCTAATGAGCAGTTTCCTTTAGTTCTCGCATTTTTCACTCCAGGCGAATCTAAAAAAAAAGAAATTAATTTTAAAAAAAATTATACAAACAGATTTTAATCTCGTACAATAAATGTTAAATAACTCATGGAAGCGATCGGAAAAGCGTTGAAAAAAAGAAAAACAAAGAAAAGAACTTTAAACTAAAGAAAAGTTTGTGACCATAAAAGAAAAAGTAATAAAAAAATGAAACGATAAATAAAAAAGAATCAGAAAGGTAATAAAATCAAATGTAGAGTAGAGTCGATAATGAAAACAAAAGAAAATTACAAAAAGATCAAATAAAGGAAACAATTTTAGATTTTAAAAACGAATTCGTTTCAAAAATACTACGAAAGGCAGATAAAAACATAAATTTAACTGTAAATATTAACTCAATAATCGTAATTCGATCAAAAGTGAACTGACAAAGATTAAAAACTAAATTTATTCTACAATTAAACAAGCTGTAAATTAAAAATATGAAAGAAGGTTCAAAAATATAAGCTGAATATCACATTCTCTTAAGTAATAAGAAAAAGAATAGAAAACCACCGAAAAATGCAAATTTAACACACAAATCAAACATTCGAAATTTGACAGAAATCCTAACCTCCAAATTTTCCAGGACGCGACCTTTTTACATTCTCATTTAAATTAAAAACGTGTTGACTTAAATTTTATCCATTTTATCGCTGTATCAATAACAAAGAACAGTAAATTCGAACAAAAATCTTAAACTAAAAGAATAAGTCGAATAATTCAAAAATTTTTAAAATTGGTTAAAATTTGACACAAGACGAAACACGAGAAATAAATAGATTGCCCGAAAAATAGAGAAGCAATTCAATAAAAATAGATAAAGGGAAGAATCAAAAAAATCTGATCTAAATTAATACACTGTCGATTTTTTAAATGCAAAAAAGGAATAAAAAAGAAGAGAGCGGAATAGTGAGTTGTAAATTGACGATAACTAACAAATTCTAAATGGAGCAATTAGATAAAACACATTTCACTGAATTTTTACATTCTCAACTACCAATCTAGATATAGTTTTCATGAAAGAAGGGAAAACTTGAAATAGACATTATTAGATTCTTCAATACATACAAATGCAGTGTTGATTCCTCGGCACACGGCAATGCGCAAAGACAGCCACTACACGAGTGCTTTTTTTCTATATCCAAACGAAGAGAACAAGAAGCACACCGACAAGCTAACCTCACATGTTTACGAAATTTCCGATAATCACTTTATTGTTTCGCAACAACTTCCATGTGTTAAAAATTAATTAAAAACATGTACAATTTACATTGATAAGGCAAATAAATATAGTGTTTATCATCCTCTTGTCACCTGCATATAAAAATGAGGTGTGTTCTTTCGAGCGCGTTTTCCACTTGGCGCAAATTCAGATTCAACCAATCAGAAGGAAGAATGTAAATTGCATTCGATGTCCGATTGGTCGATTTTCCCTTCAGGCAAATAAACCGAAAGGAAAGTGTTTTTTTTCAGGAAAATTATTTTTATAACAATAAACGAAGGGAAATTACTTCTTATTTTGCTGTAAACTTCGTAGAAAATGCGTTTTTAAAAATTGCAGAGTTACAGGTTCATTCATTTCTTTCTTTTCAAACGTCAATTCTGATTGGCTGATCGAAAGCGCGCTAAATTTGAATGATAGTGAGAGAAAAATATTGTTTAAATAAAAAAAGTATGTAAAAAAAAAACTATAACAAGAATTAAATAAGTAAGAATATTTATCTGTATGGGTAAAAAAAACTCTTAATGAAAATGAGTTTAAAAATTTTAATAAATGGCAAGTTTGATAGAATTTTCCAAAATAGAAAGTCAATAAGAATCTTTTTTTAAGTTAGTAATGTATTAGTTTAGTATTGAGTATTGAGTAATAGTATTAAGTATTAGTATTATTATTATTAGTATTAGTATTCAAGGGCAAAATAAACATCAATTTTCTCGAATTCCAAAACTACAAACACGCAGAAAAAAAATATGGGCCGATCAGCTGTTTTCATTTGGAGATAACCTAAAAGTTGTTTTGTTTTGATCAAGACATTCTCCTCCTCCTCCTCCTCCTTTACCTTTCGTTTTGACGTTTTACTTTGGCGTCGAGTTGCAGTCGCAGCAAAGATATCCAAATGCAGTGTGTTTATCTTCATTGAGATTATGTTTGGAACGATTGTTTTTGTAATTTTATCAAAAGACTGATGATAAAATCGAAAAAATGTCAGGAGGAAGGGGTATTCTTAGTTTACGTTTTAATCAAGATCAAGGTAAATAATGAAAATTCATTTTCACAAATATATATTAAATCTCTGAAAGCTGTTTCAAAAAATTTTTCCAAAGTATAAACATAACCTCTCACATTTTATTCTATAATTAGATTATAAAATTCTTTATTGATTTGTTATTTCTTTTGTTTAATTGTAATGAAATAAAAATAGTTGTTTTCGAATCGTAAGAAGGAATATTTTCATTTAATAAATTTCGAGAGAAAAAATTGATAAAAAAATGAATCAACTTTCTTTGTCTTTATTGTTGTCGATTCTTTGTTTTGATTTTTTTATCCCATATATATATACAAAGTGACAATGACAAAGTAATTATTTTATATTGCAATGTAGGGATTTTTATAATTAAGATAATTATTATAATCAGTAGTTTTTTGAAGGCAATGAACTTTTTTTATAATTTTGTTTGTAATTATATAATTTATTTGTGTAACTAATATATTTTTGTAAATTTATTATCATTATTAATGTTATTATTATTATTATTATTGTTGTTATTATTATTATTAGTATTATTAAAATTATTATTATTATTATTTTGTTTTACGAGGAAAGTTGTTTATTATTATTATTGTTGTTGTTTTTATTATTATTGTTATTGCTATTATTTATTATTGTTTTTGCTGTTGTTGTTATTATTATTGTTGTTACTATTTTTTATTTTACTTTAAAATTTGCTAAAATAGAAAAATTGAATGGAGAAAAAAAATTATTTTTAGGATGTTTCACATGTTGCATGGAGTCTGGACTCAGGATATACAACGTGGAACCACTTGTCGAGCAAGCACATTTCGAAAGCGACTTAATGGGAAGCATTGGAATAGGAGAAATGCTATGGAGAACGAATATAATTGCAATTGTTGGCGGTGGTTCAAAGCCAAAATACGCTGATAATACGGTTCTAATTTACGACGATCAAGCAAAGAAATTTGTTTTAGAAATTACTTTCACTGGCCCTATCAAAGCAGTTAGATTGCGAAGGGACAAGTAAGTTTTTTCCAATTTATTCTCTATTTATATTTTTTCAATTTAAATATTCTTTTTAAATGTTAAATTAATTAATTAATAGAAATTAAATTAATTAATAAACATTAAATATTTTCATCTCATGAGAAGCTATTAGTTTTGTTTTTATTTATTTTTGCCAAATTTATACAGTTAATTGTAGTCAATTTCTATCGAAATTGACTATAATTAACTGTATAAATTTGACAAAAAATTTAAATAAAATATAAATGAAATGATATTTATTAACGATTGTAATAAATAATTTCTTTTTTAGATTAATAGTGGCGCTACAACGAGAAATACACGTTTTTTCGTTTCCGGTGCCAACGAGAAGGTTGCTTACTTTAGAAACTAGAGATAATCCTAAAGGACTGATGGAGGTGGCGACCCTTGCCACGGCTAATAAACAACTTCTCGCGTTTCCAGGTATTTAAATTAAATAGTTTTTTTTTTAATTAAAAAAAAGGAAATTTTTTTCGCTTGAAAATTAAATAAGAAAATACAATCAAAAATGAAATATTTAAATTCATAAACAGGGAAAACTGATTAATTTCCTTTTTGTATTCAATTCAAAGGCCATAAAATAGGCAGTGTGCAATTAGTCGATCTGGGAGCAACGGATTCTGGAAGTTCGAGTGCTCCGGCAACTTTAACCGCTCACCAGGTGAATAGACAATAATAAACGACTAAAATAATTGAAGAAACGATTAATAATGAAATATGAAAATTAATATTTTCAGGGAGCTTTGGCGTGTTTGGCTGTTAATCCGAGTGGAACGATGGTTGCAACCGCATCCGCACAGGGAACATTAGTCAGGGTCTGGGACAGTGCTAGGAGACAACTTTTAGTCGAATTAAGAAGAGGATCCGATCCTGCGACACTTTACTGGTTCATTTTCTTTTTTCCATTTAATTTAATTGATAAGAAACTTTGGCATAAAGCAACATATTTAAATTAACTGACAATAATTTGCAATAACTTATTGAATTGCTCTTTGCTCGGAAGAAAAAGTTCTAATTTATATCTATTGAATTTAATTTTAATTTAATTTTCATTTAAACGATTACGATTTAATTTTAATTACAAGAATTTTGATTTAATTCTAATTTAAATATTTAATTATTATTCATTTTAATTTAATTTGCTTAATTTATAAAAATTGTTCTGAAAAAACTTTTATTTAATATTTTATAATAAATTTATTTTTCTTTTGGAAATGTTTCAGTATAACGTTCAGTCGAGACTCGGAATTTCTCAGTGTTTCGAGTGATAAGGGGACAATTCATATATTTGCCCTTAAGGACACACATCTTAATCGAAGATCTACGTAATTATTTTTTTGTCTTTCACTATCTTTAAAATTTTCTCTTCTATTGAAACAAAATTCTTTATATTTTCAATTTTACTTTTAGATTTTCAAAAATGGGCTTCTTAGGAAATTACGTCGAGAGCCAATGGGCATTGGCGACTTTTACGGTGCCACCTGAATGCGCCTGTGTTTGTGCTTTTGGTGCAAAAAATTCAGTAATCGGTAAATAATTATTATTAATTTCTATAATTTCAACATTTACTATTTTTCTATTTTTTTTCTTTTTATTTCACTTTTTCATTTTTTTTCTGTTTGTTTTTTTTGTTTATTGCTTCCTCACAGAAGAAAGTTTGTAATTTCTACTTTTCTATTTTTTTATTTTATTTCTATTTTATTAGTTATTTATTGATGGGACTCGTAAAAATAGTTTTAATAAAAGAAATTTTCTCTTGCAGCTGTGTGCATGGACGGGACATTTCATAAATACGTCTTCACGTCAGATGGAAATTGCAATCGTGAGGCGTATGACGTTTTTCTCGACGTCTGCAATGACGACGATTTTTAAAATTGAGTGATATTTTCTCTTGCGACAAAAAAAAAAAAGAAAAAAAAAGAAGTTCTATCATTTAATATCGACGAAAAGAAAAAAATTGTACAGTTTATTAAATAGATTAATATAGATAGCATTTATTTTATATTTATGATTAAATATCGACTTTAAACAAAACTTATAATAAATATAAGTAAAAACAACAATCAACAAACAATTTTTTTTTATTCCGACTTGGCGAAATCGTAATCTATTCTCTGTTGCATCCTCTTTTTCTTCTCCTCTGCAATTAAAAAATTATTTATTAACTAAAAAGACAATATTAAATTTCTAAATTATTATTTATTATTTACATATTTAATTCCTAGTTTATTTATATTTTTTTTCTTTTCATTTCAAAGATTTCAAACAATTTTTAAAAAGAAATATATTTTTGTAATTTATAGGTTATGTTTTATACGTGGTTTTATAATTATGTTCTGGGGGTTCCGGGAGATTTTAATTATATAAACTTTATTAGTTAATTTTAATAATAATAAATTTTAATTTTTATAGAAAAATAAACTTACTGTAATAGTTAGGATTCATTGTTGGAAAAACATGAATATTATAAGAAGCTACGAGAAAAATAACACCCACAATTCCCAAAGCAATTTTAAACTGCTTATTATTGATTTTATTCATTTGCGACATCTTTTCTCACCGAGTCTCTGTCTCTGAAATAAAAAATTTAAATTTCAATTAAAAACATATTTAAGTTTAAATAAAATAAATATAGTTACATATTCGTTCAATACTCACAAAATCCCCAAAAAACTTGTCGTTTTTTATTCCTCCAAAAAGTGTCAATGAAAAATAAATTTGTTTAACATTTAAACAAAACTCAATAGTAATTGTTCTGCTAAAAAAATTACGAGACTTCAGTTGGGTTTTAATTTATAACATTTATAAAAAAAGATCAAAGGAAGCGTGCGGTAAAATTCTCTGCGCTCAACCAAAATATGAACATAACCTCAAAAGAGTGAAACGTCATAACAAAGATGTGCGGTCGATTTATTCTTTATTTTTTAAACAGTTTAAACACTTTTGGTTCTTTTTGTAAATAAATTATGATTTTATAAGTAGTGAAAATTTTGAATCTACTTCCAAAGTGACGAAAGAAGAAGAATAGAAGTAAAAAATAATTGTTTTTCGTGTAATAAAGTGCATTTGCAGTGGAGGTTAGAAAAATGAAGAAAATGTTTAAGACCGAGTGGCTGTTTTATTATACTTTAGCTGGTGTTTTACGATTTTTATTAATGAAATCAAGGTACCAGGAGATAATCAGTGATCGGGTGGAAGTATCAACGTCTCTAAATTCTTGGAAAAGGGGTTAGTTCTCAAGGTTCAATACTCGCAAATATTTATATGAATGTTGGAATTTTTAACGAAATTATTTTACGTTTCCAGTGACCGAGGGTGTTCATTTACGAAATTTCGGTATAGATCCATACAGTGGTGATTTATTCCACGAGACGCCGTTATGTCTCGAAGCATTTAGTCTTATGCAGAAATTTTTAACAGACACTTTTTTAAAGTTACTTTTTATTCTGACCGATTTTACAACCGCTTGGCTCATTGCAATGATAGCCAGGAATTATTTCACCGAAGTGGTAAGATTTCTATATTTTAATATTTAATTTTCCTCTTTCCAGAAGAAATTCAGGAAAATAAAAATAAAATAATTTATGTCAATAAAGTCAGGGAAATGACAGTAAAAACAAAATTTTTGTCAGTTAAAGTCAGGGAAATGTCAGAAAGAAAACCACCCTGAAACTAATTTACAGTGAAATAAATAAATAAATTGACTGAATTATTTAAATATTTTACCAGGTGAAACGTGAAGAAGAAGAGAAGAAATTCAATAAATCAACGGACAAAAATCGACAATATCCAAAAATTCCAGGTCCACCTTCAATGCCACATGTGGCAGCAGTTTATCTCTTTAATCCATTTATCATTCTCAATTGCGTGGGTCTAACGACAACAGTATTTACAAATTTTCTCTTCGCAATTGCACTATTTTCAATGATAAAACGCTCGACATTCTTTTGCTGTCTGACAATATCAATTCTCACACTTCAAGGTCTTTATCCAGTGATATTGATGGTACCGGCGACAATTTACATCGTCAGGGAGAAAAATGAGAAGGATAAATATTATTCGGTGGGGAAAATAATTTTCACATTCGCAATTATTTTGAGTGCGATTTTTTACATTTCCTATCGTATCATTGGAAGTTTGTCATTCTTTGAGAATACAATTGGCTTTATTTTAACTGTTCCCGATTTGAGACCAAACATTGGACTTTATTGGTATTTTTTCACCGAAATGTTTGAACATTTTCGATGGTTATTCATTGCGTCGTTTCAAATTAATGTCAATTTATTGTACGTGGTACCATTGGCATTGAAATTGCGACGTGATCCAATGCTTCTTGCTTTCTCCTATTTGGCGATTGCTGCTATTTTCAAATCTTATCCATCGATTGGTGATGTTGGATTTTATATGTCGTTGTTGCCGCTATGGAAGCATTTGTTTCAACGTAAGTTAATTTTTACTAAAATACTAAAATTTAAATTTATAAATTTGTGTGAATTTTAATTTTCTTCTTTCTTTTTTTTGCAGATATGCAGCAAATTTTTATAGTCGGTTGCTTTATGCTCTTTTGCACAGCATTTGCGCCGACAGTTTGGCATTTATGGATTTTTTCACGATCGGCGAATGCAAATTTTTATTTTGGCGTCACATTGGCATTTGCAATTGCTCAAATTTTCCTACTTACTGACGTGTTATTCGCGAGTGTTAAACGTGAATTCTCCTTGCGTCACGGTCTTCATTTGGAGATTAATGGAGAGAAGGCAAAACTTTTACTTGAATAGTGTGTAAATAAATTACTTTCACAGTATTTTCAATTCCAAAATCAAGTAAATCTAAGTCTTTAGAAATTACATACGTAATGTAAGTTCAGTCCGCTGCTTTTTTTACATCCATACATCGAAAGTTTAATAAAGAAAATAAAGGAAAATTTCTATATCTCTCGTTTTTAATTAATTTCTTATTTTTAAAATTAGATCGTTTTATATTTAGGACTTCGGATCAATAGCACAGAATTTATTAGATAAAAAAAGAAGATCCCTGTAGGTTGTGAAAAAATTTGATACAAAATTTTTTATATTAAAAGTACATTTTCTTTATTTAAAAAATAATTTACTCTCCCGTTCACTTCAGTATTTATTTTTTTCATGAGTAAAAAACATATTTGTTACTATCACAGTTGGACTTTAAATAAAAGTTCCTTAACTCGTAATAGAAATAACAATTGTAAAACTATTTCAAAACTTATTGATAACTTCTTTTAAATAGTATGTACAGTTATTGTAAACTTCGATATTTTTTTGGTTCTGCAGACTTAAAATTTTTTTCTAAAAATACTTTAATTACTTAACATTAATAATAATAATAAAAAATTTCGTAGTCTTTAAAAATATTTCTATATGAAAACATTGAAAATATTGACAATATTTAAACATAAAATTTCACTTAAAAGTATAAATTAAATAGTTAAAAAAAATAAAATTACATATAAATTATTATTCTTATTATAAGGAAAAGAGAAGAATTTTACTGTTTATCTCAAAAAGAGAGAAGAGTTTTAAAAAATCAGTATTTCCAATGTTTCTATTTTACAAAAATCTTGTTTGTTTTCTCTCACTCTTTCTTAAAATAGATCACAACTGTTTTATGAAGGCATATTTCGTTAATATTTAAAATACGATAAATGACGGAAATAAAAAATGTAAGATTGACTTAATAAAAAAGAAACCAGTCAAGTATATATAAAGAAAATAGCTGAAAATGATTTTTCTTTTTTTAAAAAAGTAAAATTTGATTTAAAAAATTGTTTAGTAATTTTTTCTTTTTTGTTGAACATAATTGAATATTTTTCGTTTCTAAACTTTCTAGAATTGTAAAATTTGTTTTCAAAAATTAACCGGCGGTGTTTATTTTTATTTCTTGAACGTTTTTCGCCAATTTAAACACTTCATCGTCATTATCACTCGAGAAATCATAGTACGATGAATTTGAATCTGAATCCAGTGAAATTTTATTTGGATCCGTTGAAATTGTCTTATTACCAAGAATTTCCTCCGCAAATTCATTGGGCGCGCTCAATTGTTCCTCTATTGTGCCACTATTCGAACTGCTGTACGTACCAGAATCTAGAAAAGAATTTAAAAAATTCAATAAAAAATAAATTAATTAAATTTATCCTGAAAAAGAGAATTTTTCTCACCAGCTTCGGGTGATCCGTGAATAGTTATTACTGATGAATTGACAATTTCCTGTGTTACTGAAGTAACTGGTGAGCGCATTCTTCTCTGCGGTGTCACATTTTCCGGTAATGGATGAACTCGTTCTTCTAAAATTTCACTTTCATCAATTGGAAGACTTTCCGCTTCGACTTCACGATATTTCGTTGGATCGCGATTATTTAATAATTTTGCGCATTCGTGATCATTCATTTCGCGTAAATGGAATTCATCGCCAACAATTGCTCCATTCAAATGACAATAGTCGATAAATCTCTTCCAGCAATGATCGATTTGCAAAATCATTGGATTCCCCACAACAATTAGCAAAGCTTTTGCTCGCGTTATTGCCACATTGAAACGCTGAAAAAGATTAATTTTAATTAATTAATAAATTAATAAAAAAAAATAAATCCATTCATTCATTAAATAATAAATAATTAAATATCAAAGAACGTTAAAGATTATTAATAAATAAATTAATTAATTAAAAAAGTTCAATTTGGAATGGAATTTTTTCCGAAATGATTTTGCAATTGACATTAAAAATAATTACCTTCTTGTGCGAGAGGAAACCAATGTGAAATCGATTGTCATGTTTGAAAACTGTCGATCTCACGGATGAGAGAATTATCACATCCTTCTCTTGACCCTGGAAAATTTCAACTGTTCCGACGGCGATGTCGCCCCATCCTTTTTTTTCAAGGGCACGCAAAATAATTTGTCTCTGCAGACGAAACGGCGTCACGATTCCAATATCTTTTTGCTTTATTTTTCCATCTCCCATCGTTTTGTCTAATATTTTCTCCACATAGTCCATAACAATCTTCATCTCACTCTCATTACAAACACTGCAAAAGGAATCAAAAACATTTTCTTAACATAATAAATTTTTCCAACTTAAATTATTTGAAATTTTCCTTATTAATTATATAAAAAACAAACCTGGGTGATGATTCGTGTTTCTTTTCGAGGCCATGAGTCGCGTGAAATATAATGGGGAATTTTTTATTTGGCAATTCGGACCAATTTTCAGCACGATGAATTTTGTGACCACCGCAAATTTCCAATTCACTGTCGTAAAATAATTCATTTGGAATGCGAAGAATTGCCTCGTGACTGCGATAATTTTGCACTAATTTTGTAATGAAATTCGGATCATATTTTCCTTCTTGACACTTTTTATAAATCTCGAAAGAATCCATAAATCTCTCCAACATCGATTTACCTGTTAATCATGATTTTTTTCAATTTAAATTCGTTTTGTAAATTTTTAAACGGTAATTTTTATTATTTAATGTATGCTTTTAGTTATTTTATTACTTCCTTCATTTATATTATTCTCTTTATTTATTCATTTCGTTCAATAACTTTTTTTATGTTACTATTTTTTTTAAATTAAAAATTTGAGAATTATGGAAAAATATTTGTGTTAAAATTAATTAAATCCTGTTCTATTCAAGGAAGAAAAAAAATATTTCTATTAACCTAATAAACAGTGTCCGATTTTCGTCATAATAACCGGGCCCAATTGTTGTGGATCGCCAGATAGGACAATTTGTGCGTGAAAGCGTCCAACGTGTCCCAAATCCTCGCCACTTGTTAATCCGATTGGAATGAGAGATTCCGGCTGCGTTGCTTGACCAGCCTCATCAATAAAAATATAATTAAAGTGACTCTCCCACAATTTCATTGATACCAATCTGAAATTATTTTATAATCATTTATATCATAATATTAAATTTTTTTAAAAATAATAAATAATATAATTATTTTAAATATGAATTAAACTAATTAAATTTAATTTTCAATTTTCAATTTAATTATTAGAAAAAAATTTATTTTTATTATAATTTATTTAATTTGTAAATTTTTATACCTCATACAAGTGACTAGAGTCGTGATAACGATTCTCTTCTTAATGAGCAAATCTCTTGGTAGAAAGATTACTTCTTCATCAATGAAATTCGTACATTCCTTGATACTCTCGTCCACGTCTTTACTAAAAGAAAATTTTTAATTATTTCAAAATATTATTTTTATTATCAAGTTAATATAAATATTTCTATAATTTTCCTTTATTTGTAACAAAAATTGTTTCTTATTACGTACTTACTGTTATTTTAAACATAAATATAAATAAATAAAATTAGTTTACCTTCTAATTCGTATTTTTTTTATCAAATTGGAAAAAGAGTTTAATTTAATTAGAATTTAAAAATTCAAGATATTTTTTTTATTTTATAATAATAAGGAATAAATTATTAAACTTACGCGTCTCGGGAGGGACTGAACATACGGAACACCAAATTCGATGGGACATTGTTTAATAATCGTTTAGTCACTTCATCAGCTGCCGCATTCGATGGCGTACAAACTAAAATCCTGTCATTTTGACTGCTAACGAAAATTTGCGAAATTGCCTCGACAATTGTCGACGTTTTTCCAGTGCCCGGTGGACCGAATAATAAATACGGTGATGGATGCGCCGTTTTGCCGACAATTCGCTCCACAGCTTGCATTTGCTCTGGATTACTCTTGATACTTTTGTCGAACCACACTAAATCCCTGAAAAAAAATTAATTTAAAATTTTCCAAATAGTAAGTAAATTAAAATTTCAGTTTTTTATTTTTTAATATAAATAAACTCTAAAACCATTTAATTATCTTATTAAATAGTATAAACTATTAAATAAAGCTACAAGTTAATAATTAGAAAAGGAAAAAACTTACTTTTTTGGCCTATTGTAAACACTTCGCGGTTGTGGAAACAATAGAGATGTTAATTTATAATCGTGAATCAAACTAATTGCATAGTGACAAACACGAACCGGCCAATTGGGCCAACGAAACTTTATATTATATTTGGCATCTTCCCTGAATGCATTGTAGAAAGTACTGAAACATGAAATTTCACTTATTCGAAATTAGTTTTTCAGGACAGAAAAGAATAGGAGAAAAAACTAAAAAATTTTGATTTGAAAGAAAATAATTTAATTATCTCTCAAGAAACGGAAAATAATAAAATTTGCTTTTGACTCACTGTGTATTTGGCCTGGCGACAATGTAATTTTCACCAATGAAATTAACAGTTAGAGTGTATTTTCCGGGTGCATTCCATTGATAGAGTTCGATGATATCATTCGGTAATAATGATGGTCTATCCTCTGCTAAGCCAGGAACATGAATTACAAAACCACCCGATGAATATTGAGCGCGTTTAATTCGCCATTTATTTAAATTGTACTGTTGCATTGAAACATTATTGTAATATTCCTCGAGATAGAGAAGCAATTTTAATATTATCAAATAATCCTCCTCCTTCACTTCCTTCATATGCTGAACAATATCGAGAAATTTCAACCATTTTACACCTTTCTCCGAAATACCCGGATAATGACGGCAATTTTGCTTCAATAAATCCAATAATTCCTTTGGTAGCGGATATTCTGGAACTGGAAGTAAAGACACCGGTTCAACGCAGCTGTACAATGATCTAAAAAAGAAATTTTATCATTATTTTCCAAAAGTCAATTTCAATTTTCTAAAATTAAATCTTTAAAAAAAGACAAAATTTTTCAGAATTTTTTTTTCAATATTTATTTCTGTGGCAATTTTTTTGTTTTATAAAGAGAAAAATTGTCAATAAAAGAGAAAAAATAACTTTTTCTTTTTTTGACCTTTTTTGAAAAATTAATTTAAAAAGATTCGCCAAAGATAAGAAATTTAATGAGAAAATTACTGAAATAGATAATTTAAACGTATTATTGAGTATATAAAAAAAGTGCAAGCCATGATAAGAAATATAAAATTTCTTTGTTATTATCAGAAACAAAACACGTCTTATGTTTCATTATTAAAAAAAAATGCTGATTCCTCAAGGAATTTTTAATAAGAATTATGCAGTTCCATGGGATGTTTCATAATAAAAAAAGTACAGAAATCAATATTAAAAACTAATAATTTTGATCTTAATTTATAAATAATTAAATAATAATAATAATAATAGTAAAAACTTACTCTAAACGTCTATTTCGATTCCTTTTCCTATTTTTTTGGCTATTTTTTCTTTTTCCACTCTGATCCATTTTCTGTTTTTTAATAAATAACTTTCCTAATAAAATATTTATAAATCATTTGAATCTGAAAATAAAAACAAAATATATTTAAAAATTTTTTTTCTTATTTACTGCTAACAAAAAAAAATCCAATAAAAAAAATTCGTTCCGAAAATTGTTTATTAAAAATTGATTACGAAATTAAATTTTATAAACAAAGGAGGAAAACGTAAACGAAAAAAATATTTTTGTTTATAATTTGACTGTGAAATTTCATTTGCATAAATGACAACAAAATTCAAGACAAAAGAATTATTTTAAATTTACAATAGAAATAAAATTTATAAACTAAAGAATAAATAAATAAATAAAAAATATTCGACGATATTTTCAATTTTAGAAACAAATTTACCTGCAGCAAGTTTTTTTTTGTCCTTTATTCCAAGCATTAATTTCAAAATATGACGCACAAAGTACACAAAATTTGTTCCATTGATTAGTAATGTCTTTGACATGTAATACACAAATTTTTTCCATGCGACAAATTTTTGTTAAAATTTTCGAAATTCTTGGCTGTGCGGATGCTTCTGTATTTTTTTTTAACACGCACGAGGAGAGAAATTTTGTACAATTGATGATTGGAAAATAATTTGGGAAATAACGTTCAAGAAAATGGAATAAATTAAAGAAAAAGTCCAAAAATTTAGAAAGGAATCCCCTCGTTTTTTGACTGAGAGAAAACTAACACACTTGTAATAAATTTTTACTTGTAAAAATCAAGGCCACATGCAACACGTGTGACACAAGCCAATCAAATTTGAGAATTTTGTCGTCTGCTACATGCCGTGAAAATGACCGTTAGATGTCGCAGTGTTACCACTTCCGGTTTTGGTTTGAATTTCTTTTCTTTATTAATAGTAAAAGTAATAGTAGGTAAATTGTAAATTTCTTCTAAACGGGGAATTTTACCCTATTTAATAGTTTTGGTCTAAATTATTAAGTCGTTTATTTATTTTTTTCGAATTTATCGTTTTTACGTTGTCTGCGCAGGCGCGCAGTGTGTCGACTAAGTTAGTCAATAACCGTTTTCTTTTTTACACTAATAACTCATTTTTGTTTATTTATTATTAAACCAGTGTCGATAATTGTTTACTATCGAGATAAACAATATATCATTTATCTCCAAACAGTGTTTGATTGTAAACTTCAAATAGTGTTCGTAATTGGAAAATACTGCTGTGTTTGACTGACGACGTTTCGTAGAACATAACCTCAAAAGCTTTCAAACTTTCCAAACATTTTCAAACCTTTAATAACAGAAATATTTGTGGATTAAAATGTTTTCTTCGGACCATTTTGACATTTCTATTTGGATTGGTTTTCGAATTACTGATCTTCGATACAGAAGACTTAAGGTTAGAGAATTTAATTTTACATTTTCATTAAAAGCGATAATTTATTTTTTTACAAAGTTTTGTTTACGTTTGTTCATTAAATTGTAATTCTAAATTAACGAGTTCTATTCCTTGCGATATTCTCGGTGAATTTTCCCCCGATGATACATCCGAGGACTAGAATATAAAATTTGGAAAAATTACACATGGTTTTGGTAAAAAAAGAAGTAATTTTTTGTATATATTTACCTGGTCTACTTGATGTACCTGTCTGGAATGATTCGGCAGACAATGTCCACTGTACTTTTTATTTAAATACAATGCCACGAATGTAATAGTCAATAAAATAGCGATAACCCCCAAAGATATTCCGACACTTGCACCGACAGTTAGATTTTCTGCGACTAAAATTAAAATACTTGGTAAATAACTGTTTTTTTTGGGTAAATAATTTTGTTTTGATTTTGTTTTGCAATATCCTAACAAATAATACGTGTAGAAAATATTTGCTAGTAGAAAATATTTATTAGTAGAAAATATTTACTAGTGGAAAATATTTGCGAGTAGAAAATATTTACTAGTAGAAAATATTTACGAGTAGAAAATATATTTACTAGTAGAAAATATTTATTAAAAGAAAATATTTGCGAGTAGAAAATATTTACTAAACGAAAATATTTATCGTTGATAAATGTAAAAAAACTAAAATCGTCTAGTAAATTTAAAGTTATTTTCGCTTTAGATAAAAAGTCTTTTTTAGAAATAAATTTTCATTGGGAAATTATTTACCACTTTCTGCTTGTTCTTTCAGAAAGAGTTGAATTGAATCGAAAATCTCGTTACTTTCATTAGTTTCCTGTAATCTGCCGGCACATTTCCAAATTCCAATTTCTTTCACAGTAATGTCTCTTATCATTATTCCACAATCGCCCATTTTTGTGCTATTGCCACTGAACCAAATCTTCGTCTTTCCATTTTCAAGGGCACTTGAATTTTTTTTTCCAATTAGACAATTTTGAAAAAAATTATTCAAAAGAATACTATGAATTTTTGAAATTATTTACTATTTTATTTTTAAATTCAGTAAAGAGAAAATAATTTAAAAAATTTTGTTTTATATTTACTATTTTAAATAGTAATTTAATTTACTATTTTATTTGAAAAAAAGAAATTAATTTCAAAGAATTTTGATTAATATTTATTTTATTTTCAATTTTTTAAAATATTTATTTTCTTTTTAATTTTGTTATATTTTTTGAATTTTCCACTTTTAATTTTTTAAAATAATAATAATAATAATAATGAAACCTGTTTTCTTGAATTTCCTCGTTAATATGAATTCCAAGGCCAGAGGGCGAAAAAAATCGGCAATATTTAAGAGCCACTGGATTTGGAACTATTTTGCATTGAAGACTCACGACGTCTTCGACTTTTTGAATCCAAATTACTTTGTTTATCGCTGCTAATGGAGTTTCTGCAATTTTTGTTTAATAATTATTGTTTTAATTTAATTTTTAATAATTATTTTAATTTAATTATGATAATTATTAAATTAATTATGGAAATTATTAATTTTATTATAGTAATTATTTTAATTTAATTATATTCATTATTAAGTTAATTATAGTAATAATTATTATTAATTATTTACTATAATTAACTTGATAATTACTATAATTAGCTTGATAATTATATTAATCATTATTTAATTACTGTAACTGTTAATTTAAAATTAGAAGTTAATTTTTTAAGTGATAAATTACTGACAAGTTTATTTTTCATATATATTACTCATTAATTTTTTTTTCATAATAATTCACTTTTTTTAAATTAAATTTACACAAACCCGAGATACGAACGTCGATATTGGCACTGTATTCAAAATTAGGACTATCTGGACCCATGTGACAAGTCCATGTGCCATTGTGCTCTTTTTGGGCATTTTTTATTGTCACTCTACATTCCCCAATTCCTAGTTTCATACCAAGAAAACTAAGAATGAAATTATTTCATTTAATTAATTTACGTAGAATTTTATTCCCAAGCTCGTTTTTTTCTTATTATTTTCTATTTTAATTTAATAATTTAATTTTTAATTTAATAATTTTATTATTATTATTAAAATGTAAATTAATAAAAATTATTAATTTAAAAAAATAAAAACAAAATTAATTAATTGAAATTAATAATTTAAAAAAGAAAAATAATTTCACAGTTTTTCTGCAGATATCAAATTGAGACAAAAAACGAATCAAAAGTTGCGAAATATTAGATTGAAAATTAAATTAAATATTAAATTGAATATTAAATTAAAAATTAAATTAAGAATCAAATTAAAAATTAAATTGAAAATGAAATAAAAAATTAATTAAAAAATTAATAATTCAAAAAATAATTTCTTATTATTGTTGATTACTCGATTGGAAGAATTACCTGTATAAAATTGCATCGCCACTGTCGTTTGGCGTTAAAATAGTGCCATTTGGTCCTGAGAACCAACAATAACGAAGAGTAACGTGAGCCGAACATTCGAGAGTTAATTCTTTGGAAAATGTCGTTATCACCGGTGTCACTGATTTTGGAATAATATTATCGCTAAAAAATCCCCTCATTCGTAGTCCGGGAATAAATATATAAGCACCGAGGATTTTTTCGCCAATTTTTCCCGTCAAGCAATGCCACGTTCCAAAATCCTCCGGCGTTGGATCCTCTATCGTTAGACCGCATTCTTTTTTTTCAAGACCATTTCCATAATAACCGAATCTTCCTTTTCTCAAACCATCGGATAATTGAAGTGCCACCTGAAAAAGAAAATAAAATTATTTTATTTTCATTTCTCTAATTTATTGATTATCTATTTTATAATCAATCAATTATAATATTATTTATTCAATACTTAATTATAATATATTTTCTTATTTGTAATAAATATAATATAATAATAATTATTATAATTATAATTACAATAAAATATAATAATTATGGTATCTAATTACATTAAAATATTAATTCTAATTCTAGTAATTACAATATAATAATAATTTTATTATTAATTTCGACTATAAATTAATTAATAAGAAAAAAATGTTTCTCAAACCTGTGATTTGTTGGTTTGTGAAAATCGACAGAAATCAGGTTCGGATTCATAATTTGGAATATTGCAATAGAGACGTAAAAATTTTGGCTCTTGCTTATAACCATAGATAATATTCTCATTAGCTGTAGAAAAGAGAAAAGATTTTTTTTCGTACTGAAAATAATTTTCGTAAAGAAAAGAATTTTTAAAAAAAAAGAGAATAAATTCTTAAAGTTAATTGAATCTTTATCCTTTAATAATTCGTAATTCATTATTCATTTTGAAAATAAAATAAAACAAAAGAAAAAGAAACGTACATGAAATATTGACATTCACAATTGATGGGATTTCATGAATTTTTCCTTTCACTCCAACTTCTGCTCTCCATATTCCTGCATTCGCTTCTGTCGGTTTATTTATATCAATTATGCAATTTTCATCTGCAATGTCGACTAATTCATTTTTTAACGATGGATGATTTACCTGAAAAAATTATATTTTTCGGTTATTTTCACTTTCACAGTTTTTAACAATCTGAGAATTAGAATGCAAAAAGAATTTACAATTTTAATTGGAACTTTTACTAAATTCTATAGAAGTACGAATTAAATTAAGAATTAATAATAGTAAATTAAGAAAAAAAAAATAAAATTTGTTTGAAAAAAATAATTTGATGATAAATTTATTTTACTTTGCAAAATTTACTTCTGTACGCCAGAATCAATTGATAATCCAGTCCACTCAAAATAGAAACTTTATTTTCAATTAAACTAATTTTATCTGAAAAAATAAAAAATTAATTTCTCTCGTTTAGATATAAATTTAATTGTTATTAATTATTTCTTAATATTATCTAATTTGATAATAATTATTACAATTTCATAATAATTATTATAATTTGATAATGATAATAATTATTAACTTTATAATTAGATTTTCTAATAATTTAAATATAAAACAATTTTTTTTACTTTACCGAGTATTTTTACATTAACAGCGTCTTGAATTGTTTCGTTCAAATTTTTCGATGTCAATCTCCACCATCCTTCGTCGTTTTTACCAACATTTTTCACTTTAACGCCACATCTATTATTTTCCGACCAATAACGAATACGATCGTCCTCGGGAAATTCATCCTCACCTTTCAAATTAATATTCGCATGATTCGGAGTTCGCAGATAACATGAAATTTCGTCATTTAAATTTGCCAATAACTGCAATTGCATATCCTCGCCCTCTTGAATTTCCAAAATTGTTGGAATAATTCTTCTCAAAATGCCCCAAGCTTCTTTAAAAATCCAATTTTTATTTATTTTTTGTATTTATTCATTTATAAATATTGTTTATTTAATTAATTAATTTATATTTAATTAATTTAATTATATTTATTTATATTCATTTATATTTATTTATTTATTATTTATTTCACAGTTTAGGCCAAAAATCAAAATAATTTATTGATAGGCTCAAGGCTCTTTAGTAATTTTCAGAGAAAAAATATAATCAAAAATTAAAAAGGCAGATTTTTAAAAACTTATTAAAAACTTTTTCTTACTCGTTACTAGAATGAGAAAAACGACAAATGTTTTTTGTTTCATTCTTCTTTTCTTTTCTTTTTTTCTTTTATTCTTGAAAAATTAACGTTCCTTGTTTTTCTTACAAAAGAAAAATTGAATTTTTCTGTAAATATATTTTTGCTTCGATTTTTTTTGTTTACAATAAAAAAAAATTGACGTATGAGCAGTGTAATCTTAATATGCGAGAAATTATCAGGAATTGATTATTATCATATCTAAATTAACATTTTCAACAAACATTAGCATGAAAAATAGTGTTCAATTTTTTGAAATTTCTTTTCTCTCTCTTTTTCTGTCGAGTGACATTTAAAAATAGTTTTTTTGTTTCGAGAAAAAACGTTTTTGTGATTTTTGTGATGGATAATAATTGAAAAAGTGGAAATTTAAGTAACCGAACTGATTTCACTTTCGTTTGACATTTTTTCTGAATCACTCGCGACACTTGGCGTTGATTTCGAGTCGCACTTATTTACTGTGAGAGTTTCCTCTTTTGAATTTGTTGAATTTGCGTCAGTGGGGGTTTTCATTATCAATTTGTGATAGAGACTTTTTTTCAATGGAAGATGAGGCGCTATTTCGTTTGGTTCCGTGAACAAACACGGCGGGGCCTGAAAAATGGAAATTTTTTTAATAAATTATTGAATAGGTGGAAAAAATTTTATTTCTGAATTTTTCACTAAATTAAATATTTGAATAGTTGAAAATTTTTAAATTTAAAAATTGTTCGCTAAATTGAATATTTGAATAATTGAATGTTTTAATTTCAAAAGTTTTACTAAATAAAATATTTGAATTACAATTTTTGAATTTAAAAATTGTCCATGAATTGAATATTTGAATAATTAAAATTTCTATTTGTAAAAATGATTTTAATCTTGAATATCAGAGGAATAATTTTGAATATTTGAAATTCTTTTGCCAATTAGGTGAATAATTTTCAATTATTGAAAAATTTGCAGTAATGATGAAAGAAATTAATTTAGAAAAAAAAATTCCCTTTACCCGAATGTCTTGAACTTTTGCCTCCCTCGTTGTGAATTCACGAAGAAGATAATTGTGTCCGAATTCGTGATAAATTCGAGTGTCGTTCACCCTCAACATTACGTTGTCAATTCGCAAAAAATAACGCAGTAATATGAAAAAACTAGTGGGCATAACTCTCTGTAAAAATATTTGCAAAAATTATTACAAAACATGATTAGAATAGTGAATAAATAATTGTAAAAAATTAATTAAATAAATTAAAAAGACACGTTTTTCAGAAAAATTACCATTTTTATCGAACAGGCAGCAATTCCATTATCGTGTAATTCATCCTCAAATAGTGTCAAATCGACGTAGAACAAAATTTTATCCTTTCTCTTTAAATTCTCGACATTAATTCGTTCATCGGTTTCTTCAATTTTAAAATCGGACATTGTTCCCATATAATCTGTCGTGAATGTCCAATCGAACGGCTTTACCTTCTCCTCCAAATATTCTTTACTATCGGCTCTGGAAAAATTACAATTTAATTAATAAATTGAGTTGTATTTCGCAAAAATTAAATTTCGGCCAAGTTTATGATCAACAATTTATAACAAAAATTGTTTACATTTTTTTACATTTTTCTAAGCAAATTATTTCAATTATTGTTGAATTCTATTATTATTGTTTAATTATTATTGAAAAATATTTTCAAAGGGAATAAGTTTTATTATTTTAAAATAAAGAAAGGAAAAAATATTCTAATTTCTAGAGAGGAAATAATCGTTTATTAATATAAATTAAAATAAAAACGGAAAGAGCATTTTTAAATTGAAAAAGGAAACTTAAATTTTTTATTTACCTCGATTCCTTCCAAGCTTCTGCACATGCTAATTGTAAATTAATTTTTCCATTTGAAACGTGTGTTAAAGCGTCGAGGGCGTTAAATTTTAAAATCGCACCATCCTTGTGCTTTAAAAGTAAAATATTATTTGGAAAAACCATATCCGGCATGTGTGGCATATCGAGAGTTCGATTGAATCTAGAAAAAATAAAAATTGTTATTATTTAATCGATTTTTAATAATATTATTATTATTTAATCTATTTAATCTATTATTATTAAATTTTTTATTAATATCAATATTATTATTTACTAAAAATAGGAAACGATAAAAATAATCAAAAATAATAAAATCGTAGAAATAATTTACGAAAAAAGGAAAATATAAATCTTTTTGATAATTTTGATTTTTAATTGGCGACTTACATGCAAAATTGGCACGACGACGGATCGTCGGCAGAGCAACCTTCCTCCGTTTTTGAGCATTTTGAGTGTAGAATATGAGATTGAGTATATTTTATATACCAGGGTGGAAAAATATGTTCTTCCTCACTCACTGGCAATCGTAAAATATCGATTCCACCATGCACTCGTATTGTTGTCATTTCTGTAAATTTCCCACGATACTAAATTTATTATTAAAATTTACTACCTTTCGAATTTTTCATTCGAATTTTCATATGGAAATTTATTATTTCTTGAATTTTTGAATTGATAACTAATATATTATTTACAAGGTTTATAATTTTCGTTTAAATCGTTCAAAATGTTCAAAACGTTTAAAATTCTGCTATTGAAATAAATTGCAAAAAAATAGAAAATAGAGAAAAATTTGCTTTCTAGAAAATGAAGAAATAGAAACTAAATTGTTTTTCTAATAATAAAATTATTTATTGAAATGAAATGTGTATAATTATAAATTTTGCGGAAAATTTGACACTTTGGGAATACATAACCTAAAAATTAGACTGCGGTTTAATCGATTTAGTTTCATAGGCTTCTTGAAAGGAATTTTTCTATTAAAAATGAAACTTATGCTGGGGGACTAAATATATAAAATTTTAATTAATTTATCAGGTGGAAAATAATTAGTTTTGTGGAAATTTTCTAGAAAGCAAGTGTGAAAAATTTTAACCTACCTGCTATATTGAATCACTGACAATACTTGCTTTTATTGAGAAAAAATTATACTCTTTGTATAGAAAATTTACATTTCATTAAAGAGCTTATTTTATGTTAAATGTTTATTAACACAGAGTGGAAAAAAATTTGTTTGACGATATTTGAAATTAATTTCAATCATCAAAGTGGAAAATATACTGTTTTCACACCTTTTGTGTGTATGACAGCTTTACTTCTATAATACCGGCTGAGAGAATATTCTTCATTTGGATTCTTTTATTCTTTCAATTATCATTTTTTTTCTTTTTAATTGAAGGAATAATGTAAGTATGATGTAAGCATTAGAAAAGCTACGTTAGGAAATAGTAAAGCGAAAGAAACATTAATCTACTGGAGTAAAAAAAATTAAAGAAAATTAATTTGCTATTTAAAATTTACCGCTTGCGGAAACTCTAAAATTTTTTCGTGTTTATCATTATACTACGTTGGTCAAGAATTATATTTCAAGATTAAAAACGGAACTTAATGTTTGTAAACAATTTGCAAATTATCAGTAAAATCTCAGCGTCTCTGGTATCTGCTGGTCTCTGCGCTTACGATTTCCAAAGTATTTTTACATTGTTTTCTTGATTTTATTCTTATATTGAATGAAAAAATAAATAAGAAAATTGATTTTAAAGGATAATTACAAGCAGAATATTTTTTGCTTATCGTGTACATTGAGTAAGTAAATATATTGTTAGAGAATTATTTGAAAAATAAATACTTTCAATGTTGAAATTGAATCTGTAAATTGAAACCGGAAAGGATTTTTTATCTTTCTTTTTAAAAATGTATACATGTTTATAATTTAAAATTTCAAGTAAAGAATTTAAAAATTATTTTAAAATTAGGATTATGAAAAACAAAAAATTGGTTTCTTTCAAAATGTTTCAAAACTTTTTTTTTAATAAAATATAGGTAGAATATAGGTAAATATTAAATATATATTTCTTTCTTATATATAATATTGAATTTATTTGAAAAAATACTTCCATTAAAAGTTGAAATCTTTTTTTAAATATTTACATATTTATAATATAAAAATTCGCATATTCGCATTATTCTTTAATAAACATTTAACATATTATAATATTTTACATTTTTTTCAGATTGGGAATTATTTTCTGCAAATAGTTAAAAATCTGCCTCAAACATAATGTCGACTGGCTATTATGTGAGCGAAGCATTAATTAAATTGCAATATGAACGAATAGGTATTTTAGAAGATATTTGTGAAGAGGTTGAGCAACGTTTTGGAGTCGAAAAATCAAAATGGGAAGCTGGTTTTTCAAAAAATGACATTAACGTGCGACTAGAACGAGTAAAAGCAGTTTGGGATAAATTTGAGGCTACATATGAAAAATTATGCGAATCTGGTCCTGATGATTCTAACTTTTACAAACATTCGAGGACTCGTCCTTTACGCTCTCATCATAATTTGTATATGAAAACACTTTCCATGTTGATCACACTTAAGGAATCATTCGATAATTAAAATAATGGGTGATAAAGAAATCATTGGTGGATAAAATTTTTGCCATCAATTCGATATTTTCATTAAAAATGTTAAAGCAAAAATTGCATTTCAATATCCATCGATTTCATTTTTCGTTTACGGCTGAAAAGTCATATTTCTTTACGATTTTCTAATCGGTAAAAGAAATCATTGCACTGGATAAAATTTTTGCCAATTCGATATTTCCATTAAAAATTTTAAAGCAAAAATTCCATTTCAATATCCATCAATTTTATTTTTCGTTGAAGACTAAATTAAAAAAGAACATGTTCTTTACGTTAATAATTTACATTGAATTGTTAACTTTAAAAAAAATATTGTTTAAAAATAAAAAGAAGATAATTTGAATATCTTTACTTAATATAATGTTTACTCTTATTAATAATAATGTATCAATTTTGTAACCAGTGTTTATAAAAAAATAAAATTAATTTTCGTACTTAACAAATGATTTTTAATATTTTTAAGAAAAAAATTATTATCTGCTTAAAATATTTAATAATAATTAGATAATTTAAAAATAATAGGTAATTATAATTATAATTAATATTAATTAATAAAAATAGAAATAATATTTAATATAATAATAAAAATATACTTAATATACGTAGAAGAATAAATAGAAAAAGTAAAACAAAATTTCAAGTAAAGAATTTAAAAATTATTTTAAAACGAAACAAAACAAAAAATTAGTTTCTTCAAAAATTTTGTTCTTTATTAAAAACAAAAAAAAACATAAAAATTGAAAACAAGTGAAAATCGTGAAAACATTTGAAACGCATAAGCGACGCAGGACGCATATTAAAAACGCTTTGAAACTCGTAAACAGTTTGCAATTTTTACATTAGTTTCATTGATTGTTATTTTGTATAAATAAATTAATAAATAAGAAAATTTATTTAAAGGACAGTTACAAGGAAAATATTTTTTTGCTTATCGTGCACGTCGAATATAGGTAAATATTAAATATTTCTTTCTTATAATAGTGAATTTATTTGAAAAAATAATGTCATTAAGAGTTAAAGACTTTTTTAAAATATTTACATATGTATAATATAAAAATTCGCATTATTATTCTTTAATAAACATTTAACATTATAATATTTTACATTTTTTTCAGATTGGGAATTATTTTCTGCAAATAGTTAAAAATCTGCCTCAAACATAATGTCGACTGTCCAAGCGGCCGATGCATTAATTAAATTGCAACATGAACGAATAACTATTTTACGAGATATTTGTGGAGAGGTTGAGAAAGGTTTTGGAATCGTTAAATCAAGATGGGAAGCTGGTTTATCAAAAAATGACATTAACGTGCGAATAGAACGAGTAAAAGCAATTTGGGATAAGTTTGAGGCTACATATGAAAAATTATGCGAATCTGATCTTGATGATCCTTTTGTTTCCAAACATTTGGCGAATCGTCCTTTACGCTCTCATCATGATTTGTATATGAAAACACTTTCCTTGTTGATCACACTTAAGGATTCATTCGATAATTAAAATAATCGGTGATAAAGAAATCATTGGTGGATAAAATTTTTGCCATCAATTCGATAATTTCATTAAAAATGTTAGAGCAGAAATTGCATTTCAATATCCATCGAGATTTTATTTTTCGTTAAAGACTAAAAAGTCGTCATGTTTCTTTACGGTTGTATATCATTTGAAATAATTTACCATTCAATTGTTAACTTTAAGTAAAAAAAACATCGTTTAAAAATTAAAAGAAGATAATTTGAATATCTTTACTTATGTTTCTTTTTATTAATAATAACAATGTGTCAATTTTGTAACCAGTGTTTATTAAAAAAATAAATTTGCTTTCGTATTTAACAATTGTTCTTTTTAATCTCTTTGAGAAAAAAAATTATTCGCCGCTTAAAATATTCAATAATAATTAGATAATTTAATAATAATTACAACTAATTATTATTTTTTTTCAAAAAAAATTTCAAAATATTTTTTCTTTAAATTAAAAAACAAAAATTAAAAGTTATTAAGGAATATTAACATTTTTTCTTTTTTTCAGGGAAAATTTCAAGCCGATAGAAATCAGAAGATAAGCATCTCCTAGTTTATAATACCGGGCAAATAATTTCTTCTTCATTCTCATTTAATTCGTCTCTTTTCTGTAAGTAAATGCATTTATTATTTTTTTCTTTAGAAAATTAAATCTAATTAATTGTAATCATTTTTTTAAATTACTTCCATTTTAATAAATTACATTTAATAATAAATTAAACATTTTTATGATTTTAATTAATTTTTTTTCTATCTATATTAGAATTTTTCTTTCTCTCTTTATTAATAATAATAATATTTAAACATATTTTTGGTTTTGATTATAAATTATTTTTAAATCTATTTATATTACAATTTTTCTTCTATTTTTGTTAATTTACAATTTACAATATTAATTTTCGTCTTTAGAATAAAATTAGGAATTTAATTTTTGTATTTAGTGCGAAGGTAAACAAATTTTTCTCTCTCTACATTTCAATAATTATTTTATGAGTTCATTCATATTTATTTGTCCCCCTTTTTCTCTCTCTTTCTATTTTTCTCTTCCCATCTCAATTCCGAGTATTTTTTGCTTTTGAGTTCTCAGCTTGGAGCAAGCGCGCGCGCTTAAAAAAAGCTCAAACCATCGGATTCCACCAACACGAAATTTCTTCAGATCAGTCATTTAGAAGCTTTCGTTTTATCTACTTTATGAAACAGAGAAGGATTATTTTATTTTAAATATTGAAAATAAAAATTTTCCCCTTTTTTCTCCAAAAAGAAAAAAACAATGAAATTCTTTAATATCGCGAATTTTTTTCTCTATTTTCCAAAGTGTGGTGAATTAATTAATAATAATAACAATAATAATTTATAATCAGAGTTGAAAGTATTTTATTTTATTTGAAAAATTTTCTTTTCTTTTTTTCTGTAATTTTCTTTTTTCTCGCGACTTCAAATATTTTTCACTCCCAACAAGAAAATTAAATTAATTTCAATAGAAATTTCAATAGTTTACAAAATTAAATTAAAACAGAAATTTAATTTTAATAGAAAAAAGTGTAAAGAAAGTAAAATTCTACAAATAAATAAATATTAAGTTCTAAAAATTAGTAATTATAGAAATTAGTGAAAAAATTAATTAGAAGAATTAAATTGAAAATTGAAGTAATAACTAATAATTAGTAATAAAATGTGATTAGTGTAATAAACGATTTAATTAATAAACAAAAAATTATTGTTCGTCGTGTAAATATTATTGACTGTGGCAATATTAAAATTTGAAAAAAGTGATAATTATATAAATTAAATGAATTATTGTTCGTCGTAGAAATATAAATGAATGTGTCGATAATAAAATTTAAAAAAAAGTTCATTAAATTAATAAAAGTAATCAATAAAAAATAGATAAATAAAAACAAATACGAAATAAATAATAAATAAGTAAAAATAAATACGAAAATATTAAGGAAATAAAAAATACCTAAAATAACTACGAAATAGATAACAAAGAACAAAAAAAAAATACGAAATAAATAATAAAAAATAAATGCGAGATAAATAATAAATAAATGATCATTAAAATAGTTAATTAATTAAATATGTCATTTAGTGAGAAAATTGATATTAATTGTGATTATAATCAAGTAAATAATGTGGCGGAAGACGAAAATAATGAGGAGATTGAAAATCATCAAAATTTCAAAAAAGATTCACGTGTTTCGGGCAGTGAAACATTTAAAAAATTAAAGAAAATCATAAGTCACGTTGGTCTTTTAATTGCATTGATGGTTTATACAGCATCAGGTGGTTTGGTACGTATTTTCTTCCTCTCCCCCTCTTTTAATTGTTCTGAAAAGAATTTTTTTTCCTTGAGAAAATTTTTTTATTTATAAATAAATAGAAATTTATTTATAAATAGAAATTTTTTTTTAATTATGTACACAATTTCTTTTTGATGATATTGAGAAGAAAAGGAAATATATAACAATTTATACTTTCAGAGAGTTTTCTATAACAATTTCCGAAGGTGAATTACACAATATTCACCTTCGGGAAATATATTCAACATATGTGAGAACATTAATATTTATACGAATATTTATACGTTTAACGATCTTCGGCAATAAATATTATTATGAACTGTGCGTGAAATTCATCTCTGAATATTTTGTGAAATATTTTTTTTTTCGCAATATACTTTTTGATCTTATGAATTGTTTATAATTTCCATTTATTGGTTTTCTATTCTCACTCTAATGGAGATTTTAAATTTATTTATTTTCGTTTGGTTTTCACTGCGATTATTTATTATTTATTTCTATTTGAACGAGACTTTTCGGGGAAATTAAAAATTAATTAAAGTTTATTTTTTTATGTCAATTGCGACAAAAATTAAATCGAGAATTTAGAAAAAAAAGATAAAATAAAAATAAAAATTTATTTTAATTTACTGTAGGTTTAAAAAAACTGTTTATAGTCGTTATTTATTTATTTATTTATTTATTTATCAACGGGCTTTATATTAAAAAGAAATTATTTTAATTCGACAATTTTTTTTTGTTTTTACTTTTTGTTTTTTTTGCTGCTTTTTTTATTGTTATTTTTTATTAATATTAATTATTATTATCTATTATTTTATTTTTTAATTGTTTTTATTGCTTTATTATTATTTATTTATTTTATTGTTTTTTTTTCATTGTTATTATTTTTTTTTTATTTTTATTGTTTTAATTCTTGTCTTATTATCAATTTTATTTTCCTTTATATTATTTTTTTTTTTTTATTAAAACTCTTTTTAGATTTAGTTTATTTATTGTTTTTAATTTCCGTTTATTAATAATTAGTAGGCAATTCGAATATTTTTATTTTTTTATGTGTTATAATTTACACTCCGCAATGGATTCCGAGCCAATGATCGACAGCTATTTTTGTGCCCACATTTCTTTACAAATTTTTATTTCCTTTGCGATTTTTATTTCTATAAAAAAATTAATTAAAAACAATTTTTTCTTTCATCTGTTTCGAAAATTGAAAATTTTCGATTTATTTTTGAAAAAAGAAAAAAGTAAGGAAAATAATTTAAATTTTATTTAATAATTGTTATTCAATTTTGTAAAATAATTGTTTATTATTTAAAAAGAATTAAAATTTAAGAAAATTCATCTATTTATAAAAATTTTATTTTATTCTATATTTTTTTTATTTTTATTCAAAAATTCGGAAATTGGGGTAAATATTTAAAAATAGCAAATAAAAATGAAATGATTGTAGAATTAATTTTATTTCGATAATTTAGTGTTTTTTGTAATTTTTGATTTTAATTTGATTTCAATTTTTCACAGGTTTTCCGGGCAATTGAACTCCCAGCGGAATTAGATCGATTAACAAGACTGAGGGATCATTTAATTATACAGAGATTCCAATTTATTAATTCTGTTGTTAATAGCACCGATGTTATAAATTTCGCCACACTGGTAAGTAAACTCAAAGAAAAATAAATAATTTTTCGAAAAAAAGTTTTTTTCTTATTTCATTTAGGATTCAATTTAAATATAGAAAAATAATTTAATTTTTATTTTTTTAATTCATTTATTTTTAATTATTTATTTATTACTATTATTATTATAAATTGTAGAAATAATAATTTTCAAGTAATTATTTATTTAATTACCATTATTGTTATAAATTGTAGAAATAATTTTCGAGCAATTATTTATTTAATTACTATTATTTGTTATAAATTGTAGAAATAATAATTTTCAAGTAATTATTTATTTAATTACCATTATTGTTATAAATTGTAGAAATAATTTTCGAGCAATTATTTATTTAATTACTATTATTTGTTATAAATTGTAGAAATAATTTTCAAGTAATTATTTAATTTAATAATTAAAATATTATTAAAAATGAAATTATTCTGGTGATTTACAGGTGGATTATAAACTGAAGGATTATGAATCCGCCGTTCAGAATGCAGTGCAAGATGGACTTTTTATAAATTTAGTTTATGAAATTAACGATCCGGAGAATCATGATAAAAAACCGCCAATGAAAACTGACAGATGGAGTGTTTTGCAAGCAGTTTTTTTTGCCAGCACAGTTTTGACTACAATTGGTAACTAAAAAAAAAAATTAATTAAAAAACTTTTTTTCCGATAAACGAGACAAATTTTTCAAGAATTTTTTTTTTTTAATTCCATTTTAATTTTCCAATAATTTAATCAGTATGAATGCTCGAAATATTTCAGTCTAAAAAATATTGAATAGCGATTGAATGCATTGTTGCTAAAATTATATATATTATTAATTTTTATTTTTCTTTATTAGAAATTCCATACGAATTCAAAATTTGGAAAATAGCTGAAATAATTCACATTTTTTAAGTAATAATTTTGAGTCTGATAATTAAAATCTATTTTCATTTTTTAATAATTCGAATTGTTTGCCAGGAAATAATAAAACGAATACATTTTGACAGGAAGTTTTTAGTAAAAGTTGAGGAATAGTTTATTTTTAAATTATTCTTTTTCTTCTGGCGAATAATTGGTTTTCTTAAATTTTCGTTACTTGTTGAATTTTTACAAAATTTGTTTTTTTTGTTTTCTTTTTGCTGATTTATTTTTTCAAACGAGACTTTTTTGTTTAATTGAAAATCAACTGAACTTCTTTTATCGCAATTGAAAAAATTAACTCACGTACGAATTTAGAAAAAAAATAGTTAAAGAATCGTTTATTTTTAAATCAATTTTCTTTTTGGTTCATATTCTATAATTAATTTTTCGAATATATTTCTTTACTTTTTTTTGAATTTTTTGTAAAAATTGTCATAATTGTATTAATTATATTGTGAAGTGTCTAGTTAGATATTTTCTGCTCTCTATTATAATTCGATAATGAAACGTCTTTTTAATGTCTTTTTAATTAAAATGCCATTTATGTAAGACAGTCTTTTCTTCTATTAATTTCTTTGTAATTTGAAATCTTTTATTAACGTATGGCATTTTATTGTGAAAAAATAATTTAACAATAGAGAGTTCAAAAAAAAAAAAAAAATAGTAATTGGTAATTTGAGATAAAATTTCCTGTTTTTCAAACAAAAGAAAAAGTACTTCTGCAAGAAGATGATGCAAGTTGTTGCGTAACAAGCCATTATTTTTCCTATGGATAATAAAAATTGGAAAAATGGTATTTGTCACTTTTTTCCCAAACAAATCATAGATTTCTTAAAAAAAGAATGGATCAAAAGAAAAATTCCAAAAATACAGTTATCATCGTATCTGTTGCACAAGTACCTTTTGAAATGAACTTCGTTTATTTAATCTTTCTTTTTTTATTTTCCTTCTTTTTTTTTCTTTCTTTACTCTTCGAAAATATGCAGAACAGAAGGAATTTTTCCTATGAAAAGCTTTCGTCGTCCCTTGCATATAAGGATGAAAAGTTTTTCATCGCACTTTTTTTCTCTATACTTTTGAACTCTCGCGTTGAATGTGAAATTATGACCAATCATTTTTTTTATTCGAATTTATAATGAGAAGTTCTCTTTTAGAATTAAATTATAATCTGGGTATGGAATTACAAATTACAAATTACAAAGATTTATAAACTTTATAAAGAAATTTTTCAATTTTGCTATTTATTCCTTTTTTAAAAATTTATTTTACAAATAATTCTTTTTAGTTATTTTTTAAAGAGAGAATATTTTTATTTTATAATCCAAAAATTTGTTTTATTTATTTTATATAAATACAATTTTTGTATTTTATTAACAAAAGCTTGTTTTTATTTATTTTATAAATATTTAATTAATAAATGTCCACTAACTTCAAGAATATAATTCTTTTTATAGTTTTTTTTATTTTTTCATAGTTTTAATTTATTTTTCAATTTTTTTTTTTTACTTATTTTCTGAACAAACTTTTATTTATTTATTTTGTGAACGAAATTTTGACTTTTGTCTCTTCCATTTATTTTATAAACAAAATTTTGACATATTTATTTTGTAGGTAAAGAAAATTATTGTTTTAAATGTATGTTATAAAAGCAATTATTTATTATTATTACTATTTATTTATTTAATTATTTTTTTACTTATTCATTTATTTATTTATTTACAGGCTATGGAAATATTGTACCTGCCACGGACTGGGGAAGGATATTTTGCATTCTCTTCGCTCTCGTTGGAATTCCTTTGACGCTGACAGTAATTGCCGATTGGGGCAAACTTTTTGCAGAAGGTGTCAGTGAAATTGCTCTCAAGATTAGATCGAATCTTCCCGAAAGGCTTAATTCCTGTATGCCTAACAATTTGGCAGGAAGACGTTCACTGGGTTAGAGTTTTTTCACATTATTAATTATTTTTCAATCGAATTTAGTATTTTTTATCTAATTCAATTATTTCTATTTTTTTTACTTTAATTTGATTTTTCTTAATTTCGATTGTTTGTAAGTCTGTAATTTTAATTTTTTTTTCAATTACTACAAAATTACGATAAACGTAGAAAATTCTTCATTATTTTTCTTTAAGAAAAAATTCTTAACGAAAAATAATAAAGAAGAAAGATTTAAATGAAAATAAATTAAATTAAAAGAATTAAAAGAAATTAAATTAAAATTGAAATAAAAGAAATTAATTTGAAGTAAATTGATTCACTCTTTAAAAAAAATACTTTTGTCATTAATTTCTTTATCTGTTTTTAAAAGAATTTTCTTTCCATTTTTTCTTAGTTTTTATTTCTCGGGCGTTTTTTTGCTAGTTTTCTTCTTAAATGAAGAAAAGATGTCTCTTTTTTCTTTTTAAATATTTACCATTAATTATTAAATGATAATATTGAAATTTTACAATTGTTTTTTCCTCCCTAAAAATTTAATTTTCTCAAGTTGGAAAATTTTTTTTTTTTCAGGAGCCTTTGCTGCGGTGGTCTTGTTATTTTTATATTTGGCGTGTGGCGCCGGAATGTTTATGTTATGGGAGGAAGATTGGGGCTTTTTCGAGGGCTTCTACTTCTGTTTTGTGACAATGACGACAATTGGATTTGGCGATTTGGTGCCAAGTAAGTTTAAAAAGATACAATTTAGAAAATGTTTTTTTTTCTTTTTTCTCTATTTTTTTCTTTTTCGAAATTGTTTTTTCTTTATTTTCAATTTTGTTTTTTAAAAATTTACAATTTATAATTGTATTATAATTTTAGAGAAACCAAAATATATGCTGCTTTGTACTCTTTACATTTTGGTTGGTCTCGCGCTGACTGGGACAATAATTGAATTAGTTAGACGACAATATGCCCAATCATGGAGGAGATTACAGGCCCTGAGTGGACCATTGACGGAAACTTTGAAGAAAATTGGAGAACACGCTGGTGGTGATATGTCCGCTTTTCAATCTGATCTCAGGTTTTCAAAATTGTTTTCAATTTTATTTTAAACTTCCTTCAAACTTTTTTAATAATTCTCTTCAAGTTTTTTTTCCCTAAAAGTTTCATAAAAGTTCTTTTATCAAATATCTGCAATAAGAAGTATTTAATTCATTTATTTATGTTCTTTCAAAAATATTTTATTTATTTAACATTATTATATAAAAACAAAAATCGTATTTTAGAAAAGAAATATTAAAAATAAAAAATATATAATAAGTACAGTAAAAATATAGTAAATTTCTCTAAAAAGTTGTTAGAAAATATAAAGAAAAAACAATAAGAATCAAAGTTTGGAAAAAATAGGTCGAATTTTTTTTTCTGCATTATAAAAAAAATGTGAATCGAATTTAATTGAAATTATTGAATTTTCAGGAGGGCACTGACAATAATATCGATGCCACGTTTAAAGCGTTGCGGAACGGACGCGGAAAATTCAAAGGAACAAGAATGGGAAAAGGCCGTCGAGGATATTCTCTGGGATATTGCAAACGCTTCGCCTTCTTCGCAAAAAAATCCCATTATGCAAATTGTCATTTACGAGTCGAGCGTTTAGACGAAATTCTTCCCTCGAAACGCGAGTAAAATTCCATTTTTATTTATTTATTTATTTATTCAAACTTTGTTTTTAACCAATTTTCAATTTTAACCATTTTTTTTTAAATTAAGAAAGAAATCGTTTTCTATCGAGTGAAAATATTTTAAACAGAAAAGGAATAAATTAACACGACAAAAGGAAAATTTGAACGAAAGAAAAGTTCAATTTAATTAATTAAATTAATTTAAAAGATCAAACTAATTTTTAAATTGCTTTTATTTTAAAAATTAATTTTAAGAAGTAATTTTAAAAATTAAAGCAATTTAAAAATTAAAGTAACTTGAAAATTAAAGTAGCTTAAAAATTAAATTAACTTAATAGTTAAATTAATTTTATTATTAAATTAACTTGAAAATTATTAACTTTTTGAATTTTTAAATCGTCTGAAGATAAATGATAGTCATTGAAAATGTTTTATACATAAAATTGACAAACTTAACGCGCATGTTTCTGAAATGATTTTAAGTTTAGCTGCTCATCTGTGTGTCCGTGTGTGACGAGCAAAGTCTACGTCGCGTTTATCGATCTCGTTCTCGTTTGTGATTTTCATTCTCAGTTTAGTGAGAGAAAAAAAAAGGAAAATTTTCACCCAATCAAGAAAGGCTACTTGCAAATACACATAATGCAAGAATTAAATAAGGAAATGACAACACCACTGGAACGACCGGCTGGCATCACTAAAATCGCCTACAGAGTTCGTATTAATAATAGAGACGATATTTATAGCTTCACACGCACACTGTACGCAATTTAACCCTTTAGACCCTTGTATATTTACATATATACACAATTGACCCTGACACTTGCCAAAAAAGCAGGAAATAGTTTAAAATCGCTTTTTTTTAAAAATTTTTTCCCCACAAATTATTTATTTATTAAAATCGAATAGTAAATCTTTAGGTAAATTAGAAAGAAAAATTTTTTAGAGAATTTTTCCGAAGTTTCCATATTATTTTTCCTTAGGGATGTAAACTTTATTTTTAGAACTGATTTTCAAAATTAATTCTCCAAATTTAAAATTTGTTTTCATTTTTTACTTATTTACTTTTTTTACTTTACTTCTTTGCTTACAATACTTTTAAAAAAATTGCACATAAAAAATAAAATAAAAAACTATTTGGAAATAATTTTAAATTAGTGTTACTTGAATTATTTTTAATTAATTTATTTTGCAAAAAGCTATGGAACTTTTTTACGAAGCTATTTAATTACTTTTCGTAAAGCTTTTAAATATATTTTTTACGAAACTATTGAATTAATTTTTATAAAGTTAATGAATTGTTTTTTACTAAGCTACCGAATTATTTTTTTACGAAGCTACTGAATTATTTTGAATTTTATTTTCCAAATTAAGTTGCTAATTAAATTCGTGCGTTTTTTTTTCAGCAAGCGAGCGTTATGACGAGATGTGAAAGTCCGACGAAAAGGAAAATTATCGCTGTCGCTAAGGAGGAGAGTAAAAATTTTTTTCAACTTCCTATTATTGAAAGTATAACATCAACATTTTGCAATGCTTACACAACGATGAAGCAATCGAATCAAACAATTACCAATATACTTGACGGAACTGAGAAAAATATTGGCAAAGGAACCGAACTAATAGGAAGTAGCATTGAAAAACTGCCTTCTATAGATATATCCAATGAATTTATTGAAAATTTGAAAAATAATCTCAGGTAATGAATTTTTCATATTCTTCTCCACGAAAAAGTAATTTTTAATTTAATATTTGTATTATTTTTAATTAATTATTAAAATTAATTTTTATTCTGGGAAAATTCAAATTAATTTGTTTATTTTTTCTAATTAATTAATTCTTCTTTTTCTTCTTAACTAATTAATTAATTATTAATTAAAATTGTTTAAAACTCTTTTTTAATTAATTAATTAATAGAAATAATTTTTATTTATTTTTTATTAGGTAATTAATTATTTATAAGAGATTTATTTTTGTTTTGTACATTTATTACAATGAAATTTGACGAAACTTTTAATTGTTTCAATTTTTTAAATTATTTTCTGGAATTTAATTATTTAAAAAAAAAAAAAATTTAACTACAATTTTTCAGAAAACTAATTTTTTTTAGAATTTCTACGTTTAATTATTCAAAACTTCAATAATTTATGATAAACAAATATTTACAAACTTATTGTTTTCTATTTTAATTGAAATTTCAAATAATTTCAACTTAAATTTCAAATTCAATTAACTTTAAATTTTGAACTTGAATTATTTCTAAAATTTACAACTGCAATTTTTCTAAAAGTCAATTATTTTTCAAAAATTTTAACTGAAATTCTTTTTTAAGTAAATTCTTATTGGAATTAAATTATAATTCAGTTGAATGATTTGAAAAATAATTCAATAAATAATTGAATTATTTAAACACAAAAATTTTTGTAAAATTTAATTATTTATCAAATTTTTAGTTACAATATTCTTAAAAAAATACAATAATATCTATTTAAAAATGATTTTTTGAAAGTGAGAAAATAAAATTCTTAAATTATAAAATTTATTTCAATGAAATTTGAGAAAATTTTCTATTTTTTCCATTTTTAAAAATTTATTTCAATGAAATTTGAGAAAATTTCCTATTTTTCCATTTTTTAAAATTATTTTCGGAAATTCAACTATTTTCAAAAAATTCGAAATACCATTTTTTAAAAACCATTATTTTTCAGAATTTCTAAATCAAATTTTTTAAAATTTATTAATTTTTGTTTAATAAATATTTTGAATACTTGTTATTATTTATTTGTCCACCAAAAAATAAAAATTTCAAAATACTTTCAATCTAATTTTGAAATTTAAATATTTCCAAAATTTAGAACTGCAATTCTTCCAATTCTTCAAATATTTTCTAAAATTTTAACATAAATTTTTTTTCAAAACAATTCTTTTAAAAAATTTCTACGAGACTTCAATTATTTAATTTAAATAGAAAAATAAGTGATAAAATAATTGATTATTTCTAAAAATTGCAACTGTATGGATTTTTTTTAATCTTTAAGATGAGACAGAAAATTTTTCAATAATTTGCCAGATTTAATAAAAAATAAATATTAAAAATTTATAATTAAAATTTGTTTTGCAGACAAACATATTTTTCAACGAAGGAATGGTGCGAGGATATTATTATGAAAATTTCAAATGCCTTCAATCAAATGACGATAAAGAGTGACGAGAAAACTGAAATCCAAAAAATAGTTAAATCCAAAAGTTAAATATATTTAATTCCGATAAATTTAAAAATTTCTATATGTATAGAAAGTATTTCAATGAACAAAAAAAATGATATTTATGAAACTGTAAAAAATCTCGAATAGGTATTTATATATTTTTTCGAATTCTTTTAACGATAAAAAAAAGAAAACGAAATTTAATTTTAAATCAATTTTCAATATTGAATTCAAATTCTCCGTATTTATGAACGGAAAAATTTGTTTTTTTTAATACTTGACGAAATTTGAATTGAATTCAAATTCTCGGTAGTTTTAAACGAAAAATTTTTTTAATATGACGAAATTTGTATTTTTTTCTTTAAAACTATTTTTGAACTAATGAAAATATTGTTTTTAAAGAATCGTTTCAAAAAAAGGTTTTTTGAAAAAGTTAGAAATTGTAATTTTAAAAAAAGTTTTAATCTTTTAGTTTTTTTTAGTGTTATTTATTTTTTTAGCTTTTTTAGTTTGAAATCAATTTTATCTCAAATTTCAAGAAATAAAATTATCTCGAAATTTAGAAAAATATGGTACTAGGCAAGAATTTAATAGTAAATTTATTATTTAAATATTAGATAAATTTTATTTAATTTTCTCTAGAAAACGAATTATATTTAAAAAAAAAAAGACTTCTATTTTTAAATTTATTTATTTTAACGATTTTAACGAATTCCCCTTTCGAGGGTCATTGATAAATTATCCAAATAACGGAAAATTTGAAATTGAATTTTCCACTATTGTATTAAATTGTCAATTTTAATTAAGTATACAAAATTTTTACCAGTTTGTGAATTTTTATTTTCAAGGAATTTTGAAATTTGTAATAAATTTATTTTCGTTTCATTTACACATGTATAGAATTTCTTAGAAAGAAATAAAGCACAATTTCATCTTAAACTTTATTTTTGAATACAAAATTCTTTTGTATTCAAAATTAAATTAAAAAAACGTAAAAATGCATTTGAATTTTCGCGCCAAATTTTCGATAATTGAAAGTCGATAGCAAAAATGACGTATATAATTTTCTCGGGCGTGACGCAGCTTCCGGTAAGTTCCTGTGTGTTCCGTGAATTGCTAGTGGTTGCCGCCAAATTATTACATTTTTACAAGCGCTTGCCCTAAATTAGTGTCTCGGCAGTGTTTATTATAATTTCATGTGTTGCGCAGGTTTTTTTAAACCTGACAATTTTCCCTTTATCAATGCGTAAAGTAAACGAAAATTGTTAATTTGCGCATTAAAAAAATTTTAATTAGCGGTCGTTTTTTCGTTTCACCATTATCAACTAAACGGAATGCCAAATATTTGTTTCCTGTGTGCCAGTGACGAAGGAATTTTCCTCGACATATCGGAGGACAAAACCTTTTTCAACAAAATTGAAACATGTCTATCATTAAAGGTTAGTTGAAATTAATTTTTAAAAGTAGAGGAATTATTATTTTACACGGGAATTAGAAATAAATGTAGAAAAAGGAAATTTTTATCGAGGGATTATAGGTTATGTTATTTCCGCAGTCCGGGCGGTCGGGACTTTTTTGAGAACTGCAGTCTGGTGGCTGAAAGTTGAACGTACGCGGAACTATTAACGATAAATAACCTTGTGAAGCTTGGTTTATTTTATATCAATTTTTATTTCTTTCGGTGCTTTCGGTCAACAGAAGTTTGATCTATAAAGGGTTTGTGATTATTGTTTATTGTCTGCTTATAATCGTCTTATTTCTTTTCGCGAATTTGGCATTTTTTTCCGACAACAAAATATTCTCCCTCCTTGTTTGTTTTGTATTCGTCCATTGAGCCATTAAGGTTATGATTATGATTCTGTCTCGTATATTAATTTTAGTTTTTTTCAAACAAAATATTTCATTGCATTTGTCAATTAATATTTGACTTTTTTCCCCCGGGTTTATTTTTTCTGCTGTGATCAATTTCATTCGCATTTCATTAATTTGCGGGAAAAATGAGGTTAGGTCGATTATCATTATAATTGCTGCGCGATGGGTGATTGAATCTTTCTAGGAGTTTGGCGAAAAAAAACTCGTTTTTGATTGCACAATTATTATTGAAAATTCGTGAAAGCGATGCGTGAATGTAATTTCAAATTGAAGGGTATTCTGGAAGGATGGATTTATTCAGAATCTGCGAATTTTTTTTACTCGATTTGTGACGCTTCGGTGTTGAAGATTTCAGGATAGGAGCGCATGCATTTATTATTACTGTGGAAACAATCTCTTTTTTTCCTTTTTCTTTACTTTCAAGCGCTACTTGTTCTTTATTGTAACTGTTCTTTTTTTTCTTCATTTATATTTTGCTGGAGGTAAACGAAAATTGAAAATCTTTAACGTAAGTTCGTTTTTTGCTAAAAAAAGAAAAAAAAACAAAAGTTGACTCGTTCTCCATATTTGTAAAATTACGAAAAGCTCGAAAATCGTGTAGGGTGTGAAATTTTTTTTGTTTGAGGATAAAATTTGCAACTTTAGAATAAAGTGTAATTTTTGAAAAATTTTAATGCAACGGAAATTTGTGATTATTACTAATTACTGATCATTTGAAAGATTATCGATCTGGATATTTATATTTATAGACACGAAATGCTACTAGTTTCTAAACAATAAAATACTAATTTATTTGTCAATTCATTAGGTATTAATTTTGATCACATTAATTTCGTTTATATTAATTTTGTTTATATTTTATAAATATTAATTTTCGTACATTATTGATTTTTCGAGTTTATTTTTAAATGACCGCTTTCAAAGCATAATTAAAAAAATAAATTTTTTTTTCTTCAACAGGCTTCTAAAGACGATGCTCTTTCGACCAAGATTTGCCACAAATGCGCATACGAAGTTGATAAATGTTACGACTTTGTACATAAATATAAAGATTCACGTAAAGAGTTAGAGAAGAGTTTGAAGAAGAGAAAGTCGAATTGCTTCTTTTGTCAGGAACCGGCCAGGAAGGGCTACTTTTTTAATTTGAAAAAAACCAATCAACTCAACGACGCTTTTGACAAAATTTACTATCTCTTTGATGAGGTGAGTTTATCTTCAGAATAAATTGATTTCTTCAGGGTTGCCACAGGTCAGGGAAAAGTCTAGGATTTTTTTTTTATTAAAAGTAAAGGAAAAAATTACATTATTAGAATTTTATAAGAAACTTCTGAATTTTTTTGTCTTTTTTCGTTTGCCTCATAAACTGTGAAATTATTACTTAGAAATTATTTAATGAATAATTTTACTTGAATATTTCAAAATTAAATTAGTTTTAAAAGAGTTGCGTTTACAATTTTCAGAAATAAATGAACTTCAAAAGGTTTCAATTTAAAATTTTAATTTTCAATTTTGAATGAATTTAATTACAATTTACAAATTTTGAAGAACAAATTTTTTTTGTAAACACTTTAATTTCAATTTTGTGGGGAAAATTCAATTATCCTTAAAAATATCGAAATTCTATCCAGAAATTAAATTATTTTCGGAAATTTTAATAAAATTCTTTGCAAAATTCAATTATTTTTATAAATAACAATATTCATCACAAGAATTCAATTATTTACAAAAGCAATCAAATTCTTTGCAGAAATCCAATTATTTTCAAAACCTTTAATAAAATTCTTGGGAAAATTTAAATAATTTTCAAAGAATTTCAAAAATGTACTATTTTAATTCAATTTTCCAAAAGTATTCAATTATTTTCGAAAATTTTAATAAAATTCTTGGTCATATTTCAATAATTTGCAAAAAGAATTTTTTTTAATCTACTGTTTTAATGAAATTTCCAAAAAGAATTCAATTATATAAAAAAAATTTGATAAAACTCTACGCAAATAAAGTATATTCAATTATTTTCGTAATTAATAAAAATTCAATCACTTAAAAAAGAATTGGCATACATTTTTTCGAAGAATTCAATTATTCAACATTTTATTATTAAATTCTTCGCAATATTTCAAATATTTTCATAAATATTAATTATTTTATAAAATCCACTATTTTTATGTAATTTATCAAAAGAATTCAATTATTTAAAAAAAAATATGATAAAATTGTAGTAAATATTAAATTATTTTCACAATAATAAAAATTTTACAGGAAATTCAATTATTTTTACAAGTCAATCAATTATTTAAATTTTTTTATAAAATTCTAGGCAATAATTCAATTATTTTCATAAACATTAAAAATTTTTACAGGAATTCAATTATTTTCATAAATAATGACACTCATCGTAGAATTACAATTATTTTTAATACAATTTTAACCGAATTCCTCGAAAAAAGCAATTATTTAAAAAAAATTTGTATTTAAATAATGGAATTTTTGCGAAGAATTTTATCAAAAATTTTGAAAATAATTGAATGTTTTGAAAGAATTTTATTAAAAGTTTTTCAAATAATTGAGTTTAATCGAATAACTTTATTAAAACGTTTGCAAATAATTAATTTTTTTTAAAGAACTTTCTCAAAATTGTTTAAAATAATCGAATTTAATTAATATTTTTAAAAATAATTGTATTTTTTCTAGAAATATTATTAAAATTGTATTGAAAATGATTGAATTCATCCGAGAAATTTTACTATTTATAAAAGTAAATGAATTCTTTCAAAAAATGTTTTCATAAGAATAATTGAATTGTTTCGAAGACTTTTATCAGAATTTTTGAAAATATGTGAATATTTTGAAAGAATTTTATTGAAAATTTTATTTCAGAAATTATTGAATTCAATAGAAAAATTTTATTAATTAAACGTAGTTATAAAAATAATTCATTTTTCTTATGAATTTTATAAAATCTGTTGAAAATAATTGTATTCTTTCGAGAAATTTGATTAAAATTGTATTGAAAATAGTTGAATTCTTTCGAAGAATTTTATTATTAATGAAGATAATTGTATTTCTCCAAAGAATTTTGTCCTTCAGGAAAATAATTGAATTCTCCCGAAGAATTTTATTATTTATGAAAATAATTGAATTCCTCTTAAAAATTTTATAAAAATTGTTGTACATATTCTATAAGTGAATTTTTAAAATTATTTATAAAACTTGAAGAAGTCGATCTGTTCATGTTTTATAATAATATTTTTACAAATTATTGAATTTCAAAAAGGTTTGAATTTGAATCTTTTGAAGAATTTTGATTCCTATTGAAAAATAATGGTTAAATATTTATTTAAAAAATAAAATGTAAAATAAAATGATGTTCTCGAATGACAAAAAAACAATTTGTTTTCAGTTGACTGATGAAACAGACATTTTTATCTGTTTAGTTTGCCGTTATTCGATTGATCTACTTTTTGATCTTCAAACCGTCTCCGAGGAAGTTTCCGAGAAACTGCACAAAATTATCGACGAAGGGATTAAAGTCGATAAATTATCAAAGGTGTCTATTAATAATTGAATTTTTCTACTATTTTCTACTGTTATTATTATTATTATTACAATTAAAATTAAGATTTTGCTTTTTTGTACTTGACATTGACATTGGTATTGTTTGGCAGACAAAGACAACGATTGTGCGTCGCAAAACGACACGCGTGAGGAGTCCGAGGATTGGATTGCAGACATCGGACACGGAGAGTGACACAGGCATAATGGCGCGTAATTCCAGAAAGACGGCGAACAAGGTCGAGAAGAAGATGAGGAATCGTTTTTGCGACGAGTGTCAGTCGGAAACTGAAAAAGGTGTCGATATGTTTCGCATTCATCGTACAGGACGAACAGTGTGCAAGACATGTTGGATAACAATGGACCCGGAGAAAATAACTGAACGCAATAAACGTAAGAGAAATTCCAGTGATGCGGACATTGTATCGTGTAAAGTGTTTCTCAAAGACGTTCTACGAAATTCCAGTAAACGCGAAGTAAAACCCTACCGAATGGTTAAACGTAGCAATGACGACGATAAAACCAGTCAAATCAGTTACAAAAATACCGACGGCAACTCCTCCTCCGGCAATGAGAGTCGAACAAGTACAAAAACAAAGGCACAATTAAAGGAAATCCCAGATACTCGCCTACCATCGAAACGAATTCGCAATCCCTCGAAACGTGCAAGTACTATCAACATATCCAGTGACGATGAGGAGAAACCAAAAGCAAAACGCTCCACAGCAACGAAAAAGGAGACGAAAACAAAAAAAGAGGACGAAAAAGTGACCGAAAAACCGAAAGTCGAACGACAAGCGAGAATTCGAAAGAAATCGGAAACAGTTGAAGTTTCCACCGGAAAGAAAAGTAAAAATCTTCAAGTAACCACAAAGTCAAAGAGAGATCGAAGCAGTTCTGTCGAATCAGTAGCGAGCAGCGTCCGATCGCGATCTACACGTTCCGTTGACGTCGAACTACCGAAGAGAAATTCCCGCAAACGAAACGATTCCACCACATCCGTGAGTTCAACCGCAAGCACACAGAGACGAGCCCAAACTACGCCAGTCCGTGAATTCAAAAGTCCCCAAAAAGTCACGAAACCCCCGACAAAGAAATCAAAAGTCGTCAATAGTAAAGAAAAATCCGAAGACGAAAAATTTTCCTGCGCCGCTTGTAACACTGAATTCGAAACTCGTGACATTTATTCAACACATCAGAAAACTCACCTCAAAGATTTCGACATTAAATTACAACGTTGCGCCGAGAAAGTTATTCCATCCTCCGAATCCGACGAAAAATCCGACGATTTTGTCCTACAAGTGAAAAATAGCTCCGACTCGGATCTGAAACAAACGACGGTTAAAAAATCCAAAACAACCGCCAAGAAGCGGGGAAAATCCAAAAAATTCAGTAAAACATCCGAAGAAAGTAACGAAAAGGAAGAAAGTGAAGTCGGAAATTCACAAGAAATTTCTTCTCAACAAGCGGAAAATGAAGATAAAAATTCGGAAAAGGGACAAGAGTTTGTAACAGAAAATGTGGATGATAAAGAAGAAGTGCCGGAAAGTTTAGACGCTGAAAGTGCGGAAAAGAGGAAGGAATCCGAAGTTGAAAAGGAGGACGAAACGGGAAATATCGACGATCAGGAGAAAGAAGACGCGACAGCGGAAGTCGAAACCAATGAGGAAACGATTGAAGAGAAGAATTCGCCAAAATCACGAAATCGAAAATCATCAGCGAAAGTGCAATCTAAAAAATCCAAGGACAATGAGGAATTGTCTGCTGATAATTCTGATGTAAATAAAACACCGCCCAGAAGTCGTTCGCCTAGGAAAAATAAATCACCTGCTAAATCGTCGCCAGTTAAGGAGTCCAGTAAATCGCCAGAAAAATCATTGGAAAAATCACCAGAAAAATCGGCTGAGGAATCAAATGATAATTCGGCTGAGAAGTCGAACGAAAAATCGGCTGATGAATTAAATGAAGAATCGGCTGAGAAATCGAATGAAAAATCGGCTGATGAGTCTAATGAATCAAATGAAAAATCACCGAAAAGGTCAAATAAGAAATCACCCAAGAAGTCACCTAATAAATCGCCTAAAAAATCACCTTTAAAATCCGAATCTTCTGCTGTCGACGACCAACTGATTGACAATGGGGACAAATTATCGAGAACGGAAGAAGAATCAGTGGGAAAAGAATTATCGAATTCGGAAGATTTGGAGAATAGAACAGAAGAGTCTACGGAGAATAGAAATAAAAGTCTGGAGAATACGAAAGATTCTGTTGAAATTAATCTAGAGAATACGGAATCAAGTTTAGAAAATAAGGAACAAAATTTAGAAAATACTGAAGAATCTTCGGAGAATATGGAAAGATTGAGAAGCGATATTTTAGAGAATACCGAAGAATCTTTGGAGATGAGAAAATCTTTAAACAATACCGAAAACTCTGAGGAAAATACCGAAGAGTCCCAAGAGATTAGAGATTTAAACAGAACCGAGGAATCTTTAGAGAAAATCGAAGAATCTTTAGATAATAGAAAAGAAACCGAAGAATCAACTGAAAACAGAGGCGAAAAGGATTCTTTAGAAAATACCGAAGAATCTTTAGAGAGTACAAAAGAATTACCCCTTGAGAGTACAAAAGGATTATCCCTGGAGAGTACAAAAGAATTATTATTCGAGAACCCAAAAGAATTATCGGCCGATAATTCCAAAGAATCTGAATCATCACTGAAATTAGCAGTCGAAGATGTGGATAATCCAAAAAGCGATGAATTGACAGAGTCGAAAAATGAAACAAAGGACTCGAAATCGATGCAAAAATCGCCGAGACGGAAACTACGACGTGATAGTGGAAAAAAAGGGGAACAAGAGGAAGAAGAAGAAAATATTGAGGATCTATTGCAAGGGGAAAATTTACAAGTGATTGACGAAATTGGAGAATCGAGTTCGTTGGAAAAAATCGATGAGGAAAAAGTGACGAACGAAGAAAAACTCGACGAGGAAAGTCAGGACGATTTTACAGTCGCCTATACCGGAAGTTCACAAGAAAGTCTAGAAATTCCCTCCTTGAATTCCGAGGACTTGGAACAATCAACATTACCAACTATGAAAATCGACGACGATGATGAGACAAGTGAAAAAAAATTACCAACGCCAACACGTGACGAAAATAAAAATTCCGAAATCGACGATATCACCGCAACTCAAGTATTTTCGGAAATAAATCCAATTATTAATCCCGACGAGGAACAATCGTCATCATTGCCGCAGGAAATCGAGGACGTTGTACAAAATGGTCTCGAGGAAATTCGTGAAAATAAAGAAAATAAAGCCGAGGACACTGTCAGTGAAGTATTACAAGAATGCTTCGATATTGCGACAAAAGAAAAGGAGCAGGAGAAAAATCTGTTTCTCCCATCGCAAGCAAATCTCGAGGACATATCGAGTGATGCATTAAATGGCGGCGATATGCCATCATTGGAAACAGACGAATCCGAAGTCAGTAATTTGTGAATTTTCAAGAAAATGTAAATTTTCTTACATGTTTTTTTTTCGATTTTTCCTCCGGACAATTTTGTGTAAATTTTTCAGACTCTCTATAAAAAGTTCGCGAAGTTCCCATTCGTGTTTTTTTTATAACACAAAAAAAAGGTACGAGAGATTTCTATATAAATATAAATATAAATAAATATATATAAAAAGTATATATAATGTAAACTTAAAAATAATGCAAAGAAGTTAATAGAAGCGTCATTAGTTACAGTAAATTACAAATTATAAATGTTTTTATATTCGTTAATTTAAAAATATATGATACACTATAATACACAAGTATATTTGTAGTTTTTAATTATTTTGTAAATTTACAAAAAAAAAGAAAACATTTTAAACGAAATTTGTCAAATTTTGTAACAAAATTTGAATTTCTGCACGAAAAAACTAATAACCAACAAACGGAAAAATAAATTACTAAATACGTAATTTAAAAATTTAGAAAAGTTGTAAATTTTTGTAAATTTATAAATTTAAAAATTAAAAAATGAGTTACTTAAAAAAATCCAAATTTTATTGTTAAATTTAAATGAAGAAATTCGCAAAAAATGTTTATTTACGAAACGACAAATTTTTTTAGAGAAAAAGGAATCGAAATTTTATTGTTGAATCTACTGTAAAACAATAAATTGATAAGAAAATTGTATTTACAAGTGTAAATTTACAAATTTTAGAAATTTAGAAAAAAAACTTTTTTTTTCAATAGTAAATTTTGTAAATTTTCAAAATTTGGTAAAAATGAAATTTCCAAAAGTTAAATTCAGAGAATGTAAATTTACAAATTTAGAAATGCGAGGAAAATAATTTTCGAATTTTATTTTAAATTTAGTGTAAAAGAGAAGAAATTCGCAAAAAAATGTTTATTTATGAAACAACAAATTTTTTAGAGAAAAAGAAATCGAAATTTCATTATTAAATCTACTGTTAAACAATAAATTGAAAAAGGAAATTGTATTTACAAATGTAAATTTACAAATTTTAGAAATTTAGAAACAAAAAAAATTTTTTTTCAAACTTTATTGTAAATTTTGTAAATTTCTTTTGAAACTTTATGTAAATTTTGTAAATTTACAGAAATATTTTATAAATTTTGTAAATTTTCAAAATTTGGAAAAAAATAAAATTTCCAGAAGTTAAATTCAGAGAAAGTAAATTTACAAATTTACAAATTCAAAAATAATTTTCGAATTTTATTGTAAATTACTGTACAAAAAAGGCCGAGAAAAACAGTTCAATTTCCGAAAGTTAAATTAACAAATTTAGAGGAAGAAAATAATTTTCGAATTGTAATGTAAATTTACCTTAAAGAAAGGTCGAAAAACAGTTGAATTTCCAAAAGTTAAAACAGAAAGTAAATTTAAAAATTTTATAAAGAAAATAATTTTCGAATTTTATTCTAAATTTACTGTAAAAAAAAGTCAGAAAAACATTTAAATTTATAGAAAGTAAGTTCACTAATTTTAGGGTGAAAATAAATTCGAAATTTTATTGTAAATTTACTTAAAAAAAGTCGGAAAAAAATTGAATTTACAAAAAGTAAATTTTCAAATTGATATTTTAATGAAAAATTTCGAAAATTTACAAAATTTATAGAAATAATTTAATCAGATTTGACCTAAAAAAATTGTTTCACAAGTACATTAATTAATTTAGGATCGAATTAATATCGTTTTTCAACTAACTGCGTATTTCTCATGTTATTCGAATTTAAAGATTCTTTAAATGTATAATTTCCAAATAATGAAAAATCTTGAAAGAAAATTCAAAATCTTTAAATAATAAAATAATTTCAACTAATTAAAAATCTTCGAAACAATTCTAAATTTAATTAATTGAATTTAAAAAAAATTTGAATGAATTTCGAAACTTAACTTTTCTTGACAAGAAAGTAAGAGAGAAAAATGTATTTTTAAAACATAACAGCGAATAAGTTTTTTAATATTCAAAACTACAATCAATATTATTATACGTAAGAAATAAGAACATTTTTGTAAAAAAAAAATAATATACTATTATTTATTATATAGTAATCGATAAAAATATTTTGAAAATAATTAATTTAAAATTAAAATTGACGTGTAATTAGAAATTTTCTTCAATTCAAAACATTAAAGACCTTAATAATTTGTAATTTAAATTAATTAAACATAAAAATATGTAGTTAATGAAAATTTTAAATCTGGACTTGTTTGTTGTTAAATGAAGCCAGATATTTCTTTTTAAGTTGTTGGTGCAGAAAAAATAAAATAAAATATACATAAATAATTAAATAAAGTGACTAATATAATCTAAATCCTTGATTCAGTGATGATTGATGATAGATCCTGGATTTAAAATGCGAATCTTTAAATTCTCGTATTTTACGCCTACTGTTGTTTGATGTAAATAGTAATAAAATCTCTCAATTTTTTCGATATATTAAGTTTTTTTATTTTTATTATTATTTTTTTAATTTCGATATTAATAATAATTCACTATTATTATTAATATTACAATCATATTTTTTTTATTATTATTTTTATTATTATGATTATAATTTTTATTATAATTATAATAATTATTATTATATTATTATTATTATAATTATTATTATATTATTATTATTATATTAATATTATTATTATTATTAAATATTACTTATTGTATTTCTATTATTTGGATATAGAATGCATGAAGAAGATGAATGAAAATGTGATGAAAAAGAAAAAAATGTTTCGAATTCTTTTCTGAATAAAAATCCCCAAAAGTGTGAAAAAAGGGGAGAGAGGAAAAGAGAAATAAAAATATAGTTAGAATGTAATTTTTCAGTACAAAAAGTACTTGTACGACTATGAAGTGAATGTAATAAAAAAATGTAAGTAATGTAAGCATGAAAACAATAATTTTATTATTATTTAATAGTCAGTGAATTCTTTGAAAATAATTAAATTCGTAATTTCTTCAAATATTTTGGAATATATTAATTTTTATTTCGTCTCTGAAATTTATTATTATTTAAATATTTTCTTCTATTTAAAAAATAAACTAAATTGATTTGTCTTTTTTTAAGGACAATTTCAAAAAAAGAAAATCAATGACCAGTGCAATCGATTTTCGTATTTTTTTCTCCTACTAATAAAAATAATTTTTCTTTTTTTTTCTTATCGCAAAGATTTTGGAGATGAATTTTGTAATAAATAAGAAAAGACGAAATTGCTATTAATCTTTAGAGATAAATTGAATTTTCAATATTTGTATAAAAATACTCGAATTTATAAAAATAATATTGTACAAATTTATTTTTCACATTTAGTGTCTCTATAGATTTTCGGACAAACATTGCATTTTGTTTGTTTATTTTGAAATATATTCATTAAATTTATATTTTGCTTTGAATATATATATATATATATATATATATATATATATATATATATATATATATATATAGAAATATTTGTATTGTGTTGTTATTAGTTAATTAGGGTTTTAAGTTCGTCTTATTAATTAATTAGTATTAATTATTAGTTTTAGACATTAACTTTTTAATGTGCGAAATTACATGAATTATCATTTTAATTAAAAAATTGTTTGGTAGTTTTTAGTAATAATTAGTTTTTAAATCATAATTAATTTTGTTTTTAACAGAGTTGTGAAAAAATACAAACTTTCATTGTTATTTCAATATTCTCCCGCAGTTTTATTTCTAGTATTTAATATTCTTCTCATTTGAATTCTATTTCCAGTGATTATTCGTTCATTTTTTATCGTTCGTCACAAAATAATTGGTAAGTATATGTATTGATTCCTATAATTATTACTTATATTGTAAGAAAATTTTTACACTTGGTCCACTTGGTTAAAATTTCAACAAATTCGAGGTTATGTTGATAACAATGTCAAAAAACTTGCGTCAATGGTAAATAATTGAATAGCGAAATGAGCGAAATTAAAGAAAGAAAATTAAAATGAATAATGCATAATTTATAGGAAGCTGTACAATAGTTTTTATTTTCTATTTCCGTATCAATTGAATATATAAAAGTAAATATTATTCATTACGTTAATTTGGAAGATTTTATTGAAAAGTGTAGAGATCCGCAAAAACAACGTTAATATTAAAGCGAATTTGCTTTTGCTACTGGAAAATGACATCTATTGCGAAAGACTCTCCGCGACTGTCTACCAAAAAGTGCGAACATCGGCAAGAACGCTTTTATATTAACGAGAGAGCCCGTAAAGAGCGCGCGACCAATCACAGAGCGCCAGCGCGATCTTACACTCAACGGCCAATCAGCGCGCGGCATTTGGGCCTATAAAGATAGGCGCTTTCCCCCTCTACGCTCACTTTCCCCTTGGGCGCCGTTGAGTGAAGACCTGCGCTGCTGCGAAAAATGTTTTTGCACTACAACTGGCGCTGCAACTTGTTCTACTATTAGAACACTCTGGATTAGCGAAGATTCTCTTTCGTAATCTGCCTTTCCTTCTTCTATTGTGACATTCTGGAGGACTGAAGATATTCTTTCCTAATAAGAATGAACATTTTTCCTAACGAAGAACTGAAATTGGCGGGCGCCATTTTCCACTCAACGCACAATCAACACCGGGCATTTTTCCACTGCTCGTGTTGAAAGAACAATGCATTCGATGTGACAATTGAGCGGAGTCGCACTAATTGACAGCGAGTGTCAATTATCGATACTTCGTTTTCGCAGAGGTGTCACAGTCCCTAATGTAAGTATTCTTCTCTTTGTAAATTAATTACTTTTCACTACTGTAACAAGTGGTGTGTAAATACTTCGTTTTTTTTGTTTCGATTATTGAAAATTTGATTCTTTTATATTCGGTTTGGGAATAAATATTAAATTACAAAGTTATTATTGAAAATTCGTTAGGAATCTTAGTTTTAATTTTCTTTGTTCTCTTGAATCATTTAATTTGTGAATAAGCGGTAAATTGAAAAAGATAGTTTTATTGCAAAAAGGTAAATGTGATTTGTGTGGTAATTTTGCTATAAAATGTAGAGGTAACAACACGATTAATATTTACGGTCAAATGGAATATAGTTTGGACAGCATTCAGAGCAGGACTACGTCAGTGGAAGAAATTTTTCCCTAATTTCAAATAAATGAATGCTTTACTGCTTCTATTTGAAAAGCGTTTTTCTAGAATTGATGTTGAATTTGACTTTTATCTAAAAGGTTAGAAGTTCTTAATGATTTTCAGCACATTTACTATCTGCATTGTGGTAGAAGGTAAAGGACAATTGTTCCTCTATTTGATATAGAAATAAATATTCGAACTTGAAGCGGATAATTTTCTTCGTTAAGAACAATAGTTGTAGTTTAATAATTAGTAACTGAAACCGGCAGAGGAAGCAGTCGGTCAGTTTCAGAAAAGATTCACCAGGAGGCACAAGTGTTTTTTATTTATTATCTGTCAATTCTTTTACTTTTAACAAAGCAATTTATAAATTGTTCTTTCATTTTTTTCTTTTCAATTATTTATTGTAACACAATTATCAAAATTATTTATTTATTTTTAATAAAACAATTATAAATTGTTTTGTTTTGTTCTAAATATAGATTCAATTTCCGTTACTATTAGTTAGTATTTTCTTATTGGTACAATTATTTACTTTGAGAAAAAAATACAAGAGGTAAAATATTCGGAGAATCGTAAATAGAAAAAATGAAAAAAACTACACGGAAAAGGAATTGTGTATGAAAATCTTTTTTAAAGAGAAACACTTTTTAGTTATTTCGGTTTAAACGTAGAAATTACGCGCTAAATATGGAAATAATTATAAAAAGGGGGAAACTTTGTGAATTAATTTCTATACTTACAAGAAATTTAATTCTTTTTCCCTTTCAAGCTCAGTAATAAATTTTGAACAATTTCAAAAGTTAGCATTGCTCTACAGCGATAAATTTTCTTTTTTTCAGTTCACGTGGTAATAATAAACCAAAAAAAAAAATGGTTTACATCAAGACTGGAAAGATGATGTGGAGAAGAAAAGCGGTCCCTGCACACTGCCGTTTTTTTTTTATTTTTTTAAAGTAGTTTATTTAGTCTATTATTTTTTTTAGTAGTTTCTTTAGTCTATTTTTTTATCTTTTTTTTATTAGTTTCTTTAGTCTATTTTTTAAATCTTTTTTTATTAGTTTATTTAGTCTATTTTTTTAAATACTTTATTTAATCTACTAAATTTTTTTTTTTAATTTTGATTTTACGGTTCCGTGTGGCCCTCGACCTGGCGCAGAAGTGCGATCAAGAACCAGGGATCTTCGAGGGTGGCCCAGAAAGGGCGATGTCGCTGGATCCCATCGCCACAACGTGGGACCAACATCCACCGAGGGATATCATAATGTGGACTATCACAAACTGTGATACCACATGGTCTCAATGAGTCGATTAAACAATCGACTCATGTATTTTACATACTTGACCTTCCCTGTTTAATGCACTCTTTAAATTAATTTTTTAAATTTCAAATTAATATAGAGTCAATTAATTTAGATAAATGAAAATCAATTTTTTAAATATCGCTTCTAAATTATAAATTTTGCAAATATTTTCTCTTTTCAAACGCGAATTAAAATTTTATATTTCTGGATTCGAAAGTTAAATAATTTGTATTAAATTTAGAAATATTTTTAAAACAGGGAAGGTTTAGTATTAACAACATAGTGACGCCATTGACAAAATATATTAATTTTGTGGTAATTTCTATTATTACGAAAATTAATATTTTTGTCAGTGTTTTTTTTTTATTTTCTTGATATTTGACTTTGTACATTGGAACCTCGATAGAGTGACGTTTTGATATTATACTTTAAACTTTAAAGTATAGACAAAAATAGTTTAACAAATTTTCGGGGCTACTAATTGCAGATCTCCAATATAGTATTACTTTCTATAATTTTCCAACTATATTTTCAAAATAGATGACTGTTCTTAAAATTCAGACGAAATTACACTTTTTTTTGTAACAAATGCTTATTTTAATTTTTTTATTTTAAAAAAAACTGAAGTTTAATGTTTTAAAAATTATTTTTGAATAATTTTAAGATATTTAAATTTTCGAAATAAATATAAACTTTTTTTAACAATCTCCTTTTTTTGGGATTATCATTAAATTTTTATAAAAAAAAAATATTTTTATTTAAAATTCTTTAAAAATTTGATTATTTTATGGTCTTTTATAAAAAATCTGATTGTTTTTATTTCTTGAAAGTGGAGTTAAAGCACTAAATGTACTCTATGGAGGTTCCAGTGTATGTAAATAAATTGTATTTTTTTCTTGTTTTTGTTTGCATTTATATTATTTTCTTTAGCTCCTGGTACGTTTCAGCGATTCCACATGCTAAAGTTGTGTGGTTTCGCCTAATATCCCTAGTTCAGGTACTCATTTGTACCTGAGCTCTATTTTATATTACGTTTGCGATTTAAAAGTAGGTTTGCATTAAATAGTCGATTAAATAAATGAAAAATAATCGGGTAAGCAGGCTAGCACTTTTTTTACAGGCGGTTTGTTATTATTTAGATATATAGGTTTGCATTAAATAGACGCGCTTAGATAAACGAAAAATTATCGGGAAGGTAGCAATCGGGTAGGAAGGATTAGCAGTAGATTAGAAAAAATCGAGAATATTTTCGGCTCATAATAATTTGAGTCACAGTTTCTGGAAGCTTCCAGAACCATCAAAGGATCTTTTGGCTCAAAATTTGAGTCACAGTTACTGGAGCTTTACCAGTAATATGAGTATTTTGCATGAAACTTATTTTTGTCACTATGTTGTTTAAAAATGTTCTATTTTTATGATTGATTTATGTGAATTTTTATATATTTTTTGTACTTGTTGGGATAATTTTTTATTCCTCAAGTTGAAGTGAATATATTTAGGGTTGCCACATGTCTAGGTAATTGTTTGTCTTATAAACTTTAAAATCATAAATAATATTAATAATAATAATAATTAAACTTTAAAGAATTTTGAAATTGAATTTCTTTAAAATAATTTTATTCTTAGCGAATAGTCATGAAATTATTACTTGAATATTCCAAAAATAATTTAATTTTAGTACATTTACGTTTAAAATTTTTATAATTACATAATTGAATCGCAAATGATTTCTTTAGAAAATAATTAATTTCAAATCTTGAATAAGTAATTTTAGAGAATAGTTGCAGTAGTCATTTTTATATAGAGTATTATTATGGAATTTCAGAGGGTTTGAAATTTGAAGTTTTTGTAAATCTTAATTTCTATTGGGGGAAAAAAATTAAATTTTTTTGTGGCAACCCTGATATTTTTCTCTTCATTTATTGATTGTGTTATACAGTAGAAACTCCATTATTCGAACAAATTTTCGGTTCCCATTTTTTTAAATTTTTTTAATTTTTGTTATAAATAATTTTGTTTATTATTTTTATTTAATAATTTGATGATATGATTATTTATATAAAACGTTTATTTACGTTGACTTCAAGCCTTTTAATATATATTTTCAATGTTTCAAATAAATAAAAATGTCTGTCATTATAAGTGGATAATTATTAAATTTCGTGAATTCTAATATCCGGATGCCTACTCGCATCCATTAGTCCTGATAATGGAGTTTCTTCCGTATAATTGTTATTTATGTATTAAAAATGTATTATAAGCGTATGTTCGCATGAATAGGGTCCATTTTTGCACTATTGCCAAACATGAGCATATTCTTGATTAAATATTTAAATTTAGAATTTTAGACCTCTCTAGGTGCAAAATTCGCTAAGTTATATTAATTCAATGTTAGAAGTGTCAAAAACCTAATTTAGAGATTAAGAAACAATTCAAGGTCAAATTTATTATATGCCACATTAATTAAAATTTGAAAATAAGATCATTAGTTGTTCTAATTGCGACAAAGTTTTAGTAAACGCCTTATTTAACGTAGGAGACATTGTAAATTGGTTTTCAACAATAAAAAGAAAGAAAAATCGAAATCACTTGTAAAAAATTGCGATTATCTTAAAAATTAAAACCAACAGAATGGGCCGTTTTCATGCGGACGTACACATTATGTTATTTTCTTGAGCTCAGGTGTCGGATGCGTCTCGGCACGTTTCGGCGATTCCACATGCTAAAGTTGTGTGGTGTCGCCTATCCCTAGTTTAGGTCTTTTGCAATTGCACCTGGGCTTTGTTTTATATTATGTTTGCGATTCAAAAGTAGGTTTGCATTAAATAGTCGATGAAATCAATGAAAAATAATCGGGTAAGTAGGCTAGCTCTTTTTTACAAGCGATCAGTTATTTATAAATAGGTTTGCATTAATTACACGCTTAGATAAACGAAAAATAATCGGGCAGGTAGGATTAGCAGTAGATTAGAGAAAATTGGGAATATTTTCGGCTCATAATAATTTGAGTCACAGTTACTGGAAACGACCAGTACCAAAGAACATATTTTGGCTCCGAATTTGAGTCACAGTTACTGGAAACGACCAGTACCAAAGAACATTTTTCGGCTTATAATTTGAGCCAAGAGTTACTGTAAATTACTAGACGGAAAGCCACTAACCATAGTGACAAGTTTTTATAAAAAATTCAAAATTTTTGGGTATTTTTAATATGAATTTTAATCGCATTTTACATGCCATATAAGACAACTATTGCGAGCTTTGAGCGCTCGATATATATTACTTGTATATTTAAAAAGGAACTTAAAAGTTAAATTTTATTTATTATAATTTAAGAACACTCAAGTGTTTGAGATTTTTCGTCTGAATATTCGTAACATTCTTCTGAACTGGAACTTTTATAGCTTTCCAAACTGCTTGAATCACAATTAACACAGACATCATAACTATTTATGAAAAAAGAAAGTTTTAAATTTATTATTATATTAGCAATTGAATTTTTGAGTATAATAATAATTATTGAAAGATAGCAGTAATTTTTTTAAAGAAAATTATTATTTTCTGTATAGGTAAAATATTTTTTGATTGTAGGTGTTTAGAAAAGGTATTTTTTTATTTTAATAGTAATTTAATTACCAATTTTTGCAATCTTGGTTGAAATAGTATTCCTTCTCGGTAGTTGAATCATTAGAAGAAGGACTAATGGTTGTAACGTCATCAGAATTTGTTTCGGATGTGATTGAATTCCTATATTTTATAAATTAATATAATTGTTAAAAAATGTCAGTAATTTTGAAATAAAATTATTATGTTCTGTATAGTTTAAATATTTTCTGATAACACTTTCGAAAAGAGTAAATTTTGTACATTTCAATAGTAATTGTTTTTTAAAGTTAATGTCCTATTTTTTAAAAATAATGTTTTTTATTACCCATTTTTCCAATCTTTGAGTTGATTTTCGGTAGTTGATTCATAAGAAGAGGAACTAATAGCTTTAGCGTTGTCAGAATGAACTTTGTTACGGTTTGATTCCATTTCTCTAAGTTTATTTACGTTTTTATCTATTTCATTCAAATTTTTTTTAATTTCATCATAATTAATTATTCTTTTGAATTTGTTCAGAAATTTGCCACTTTCATGTTTTATTATACGATAATTTTCGAGGTTATTATGTTCCGTTTGCACTTCATCTACAGTTGTAATTATTTTTTGCATATTTGAAATGTTCTTGAAACTAGGCGAATTGGTAATTTGTGTTTTAAAATTACTTCCGAATTGTAGAATTTCTTTGATTTTTGAAATTATTTTCGAGATTAACTTGTTCAATTCATTGAAATCATTTTTACTCTCTTCTGAAGGATTAGCTTTATCCATAGTATTTTTTTTGTAAAGCTGAAGAAAATTGTTCATTTTTCTTATTTCTGTTTGAACTCTATCCATTAGATTGTTGATATCATTAACTATAAACAATTAATTAAAAATTAAGAAATGTGTTAGAATTGTGGAGATTTAAAATTTTGAAGTATTAGATAAAATAAAATTTTTCTTTATCAAACAATATTACAAAAATGTAAACTTAATAAAAATCCCTTTATAATAATTAAAATTAAATAATAAATTTATTTTGATAATTTAGTCTCGTGGTCGCGATGTTTGTCAGGTTTGTTTAGGTAAATGTTTTTGTAAATTAGTTCAGTTTTGGAAACTTTAGTTCCGTGGGCGCGAATTTTGTAACGTTCGTGTTGGTAAATGTTTCTGTAAATTAGTTTAGTTCAGGAAAATTTAGTTTCGTGGTCGCGATGTTTGTCACGTTCGTTTAGGTAAATGCTTCTGTAAATTAGTTCAGTTGTTCAGGAACATTTAGTTTCGTGATCGCGAATTTCGTAATAATATAATAATAAAAAACTCACTTTTTTTGTCTCATCTTCTGTTTTTTGAGCATCTAAATGTATTGAAATAATTAGGAAAATGACAAGCAATTTGAGAAATAATGAAAAATAATTCATTGTTATTTTTTCCGATAAAAATCACTCAATTATGGTAGCATAATGTTTGATTCTTCCTTTTTAGATGAAAATTTATCATCGTTGAAAATTGTTTATATATTTAAAAAGAAGAACGTGAGCAAAAATGAATTCATTTTGATCACGTTTTACATATAACAAAACCGCTGACATTTTTGTTATAATTTTGGTGCTCATTTCATAAACACTTTGCCTTCCTCATAATGATAATAATAATAATAATAGAAATATACGAATAACTTTTTATAAATATGGTAAAAGTGATTAAATTTTGGTTAAATCAATGTATTTTTTTAATACATTACAAGATTGTTATAATAGTTTAATAGTTAAAGAAAAGTTTTCAAAAAAAAAAGTTGAGAAAATGTCATTTTCCACAATTTTTGATTTTTAAAATACCAATAATTTCGAAATTTATGATCAAATTAGGTTTAAAAATAGGTCAATCGAAACGTTTTTTAATGCTCTACAAGTTGGTAACGATAGTTTTAAAGTTACTTTTACATTTTTCAACAAAATTTCCAAGAAAGTCATATTTTCCAAAATTTTAGATTTTTAAAAATTTAATATCTTCGGTTAATATGAACGAATAATGTTCAATGATGGCTTAAAAGATGCGTCTAAAAAACTCTACAAAATTATAGAAAAACAATTATAGGTGTCCTAACGTTTTTTTAAAGTTATGGACAAAAAACGTTTTTTTGCAAAATTAAAAATCCAAAAAAAATATAATTAAACTTTATTAATCTATCCCAAAGTAATTAAAATTCTTTGCAAAATTCAATTATTTTCATAAATAACAATTTTCATCAGAAGAATTCAATTATTTTCATAATTTCTTTAAAAATTATCGTCAAAATTTCAATTATTTTCGATAACTTGACCCAATTTAATTGATTGTACTTTAAAATCAATTGAGCTGCTAGATCAAATTTTAATTCTGTTATTAAAAAAAGGTTCAAAAAATCAAAGGGGAAGGCAATATAAAAAAATATATATAAAAATAGGCATGGTAATGAAAACAATAATGGAATTTAATAATTTATTTGGAAAACATACAACAAGATTTGGTTTAAGCGCGTGACCAAAGGCACACAATCTTACATATCTCCATAGTGGGTATATATATATATATATTTATAATATATTACAATAATTTACAAAAATGAATCGTAGATACTCTTTTTTTTGCTTTTATAAATATGAAACGACGCGCATTGTATTAAGTCGATCGATGTATACAAAGCGTGTTAAATATTAAGAATGTTTTCTGTTAATTAGATTTTTTAATTAAAATTTTTTTTGACGAATTTACGTTCGTTTATATGAAAACTGCTTTAATAATTCATTCACTTATATATATATTATATATTTATTATTATTAATAATATTTACTCATTTTATACTTAATTTATTTATACGTTCAGTATAGGAAACACAACACTTTTCATAAAATGCTTTTTCACTTTAAAATATTTCTACTGCGCATTGATAAAAACTTTAACAATATATTATTTTTTTCTAATCAAATTCATAATTTGTAGAATTTAAAAAAAACACATTTTTTCCATAATTCAGAAAATCTAAATTCGACAAACAATTTTTGTTTCAAAAATTTGAACTCAAAAAATATACTAACAAGAAGTGACAAAAATGAAAAATATTTTAAGAATCACAAAAAAAAAATAGAAAATTATTTGGTACATTGGCTACTTATATTCAAATATTGAGTAAGATTTGAATTCTTAGTTTTTAAACAAAGAATTTTTGTTCATTCGTAATCAACATTTTCCTTTCCTTTCATCGTAACATCAAATAATCTTTTTATTTGTTTTCCTTTAATAATGTATAAAATTACAACAACATTAAAAACAATGTTTTGCTAAAATGATTAAAAAATATTTTACAATATTAATTAAACATTTTATTGCAATCACTTATATTTCTTATCGATTTTTTAAATAAACTGTATCAATAAAAGTATTATTGATTCAAAAAAGAAAAGAATTAAATACTTCATTTAATTTAAATTCTTTTTTTATATATATTTACAGTTTTTAATTATAATAGTAGATAAAAAATTTGTTTCATAAAATTAATCAAACTTTACCATATAATTAATATTTTAATAATAATAATAATAATAATAATAATAATAATAATAATAATAATATCAATAATTAATAATAATGATAACAATATAAATAATGATAATAATATTAATATAAATAATAATAATAATAATATCAATAATTAATAATAATGATAACAATATCAATAATGATAATAGTATCAATAATAATTATAATAATAATGCAATAATAATAGTAATAATAATATCAATAATAATAATAATAATAATAATAATAATAATAATGATAATAAAAAAATTGTTGATTTAAATAAAATATTAAAAGATTATGCCAGAAATTGGCAATTAACGTGAATTAAATTTTTTGAACACTCAACATACACACTATTTTCAATCAAATCAAGAGCACCATGATATATACAATTTTTTTTATAATATATATAGTTTATAAAAAACATGCAGTAAGGGTGAAAAAGTAGCAGCGCATATTAACAAACGCATTTCGTCACGTTTATTCGGCAGTACGAATTTTCACGTCTATTTTTGTTTATTTTATTATTTTATATCATTTTTGGACTATATTTCAACTTTTGGTATTGTTTCACAATATTGTTTGCTTTTTAATTGGAGGGGAGTAAAGTGAGTTGTTGAAAAAAATTGGTAACATGTTGGACGCCGGCGTCCTAAAGATATATTTATTTAAAAAAAAAAAAATTTTTACAATGGGGAGTATTTTTTTGTTGTTGAAAAATCAGCACTTTTTCTCTATGCATATGAAATTATCGTTTTTTGTTTGTAGAATTCATTTCGAATTAGTTTATTGTAGAAATAATGCTATGATTTGAGCATTATTTCCACTTTTTGTGTGATGCGCGCGCAGCACGCAGGGAGAGGGGATGACTCTCTATCCCCACTTCTTATACACTGCGCTGAGAACACAAAACGTCGTACTTTTAGTGCAATTAATACTTTTATTTTCCTTTCCCTTTTATTTATTTTTATATATAGATTTAATTCCTATTTTTATTCGCGCACAAACGAAATACTTCGTATGCATTTCTCGTAAAATGTATTTATACTTTAAGAATTGCAAAGAGGACTTTGATTCTCTATTAGAGAATACTATTCGTTTTTTTTAATTAGCGTATTATATTTACAGAGGAAAAATTTATAGTAAAAATTGATGTAACGAGTTATTTTTTTCTAAATTATTATTAATCGATTTTAATTTTGGAATTTTATTCTTCTCTTTGGACCATGTTGATTTTTTTGTCTGGGATTATTACGTAAATGCCCATTAAATGAAAAATTCCAGTCTTTAATTATTCTACTCTCTTGAATTGGAAAAACGACAAAAGCTCTTTTTTTAATTTCTATGTTAGTACATTTTAACAATACTAACGAATTATATTTTTAATGAGAAATATTTGCAGCAGATAAAGGAACATATTTTTTTTCTTGAACTATTTAGAAAATTGTAAATTTGAGAAATTTTTTTTCTAACCAATATTTTTGGGGAGAAATCTTAAAAACTAGTATATATATTAAAAATCGTGTTTTTTCGATTAAATATAATCGATAAATTCATTAAAGAACTAGTTTTTGAAAAATTGTGTGAAAAAATTTTGAAAAATATTTGACGAATTTTGAAATTGTGTAGCAGTCTTTGATAAAAATTTCTTTTTTTTTTCTTTATTTTTGGCTAATTCCGTTTTTTTGAGGGATAAAAAATTGTTGTTTCACGTGGGCTATATTGTATATTATAGTTTAGGAGAAGCGAAAATATAGCCTGAGTTGATAACAAGATATAACGAGTGAAATAATGACGAATTTGAAATTTGATTTCAAGTTCGATGCATGACCGCACTGATCGCGTATTTCACTTTCATTTCGATGACTACGTACACAGGACATTGGTCTTTTTCGTTTTAAAGTGCTATTCACTGCTTTCATACATGCCAATGACATTATTGAATTGTCCTCAATTGTTTCTGTGTGCATTATTTTGAAATTATTCTCCTCCATTTCGGGACATGTTGTGTCAATTATCAGCAGTAACATGTTACTTAGTTCGACTGGTTGAATGACGTAAGGCCGGGCACACCTGTCGGAATCCACGTCGTAATCCCTTGTGTGCGTGTGATTCAAAAGATACAAATCCACCTGTTTCGAGAAAAAAAATTTTCTGTTAAAATCATTTTGTAATTTAAATCCAATTTAAAAATAAACACTTATTGATATATTTTGAAAATTAGTATTTTCCGTTTTTATTTGAATTTATTTTCGTATTTTTTAAAATCGTCGGATCAAATTGAGAATCAGTATCGAAAAATGACAGAGAAACAAGTTTCAGACAACTTTTGGTGAGTCTATATAAATAATTCGGTCGCCATATTCCATCCACTATTTTAGATTTAATAAATTCAACATCGACTTCGGAGTCTTTAAGCCAGGGTGTCTAATCGTCAGGGAAGTTAGGGAAAAGTCATGGAAAAGTCAGGGAATGTCAGAGAATTTTATTGAAAGTCAGGAAAATTTCTAAAAATTTATACAAAAATTAAAATTTTTGTGAATAAAGAATTTTTTTAGTCTAACAAAACTTATAAGATTTTTATTATTGTTTGTTTCTATCATTAGATATTGATTTATTGTTAAACATGTCAGTAACCATATTTTTGTCCCAAGAAAGCGGAAATAAAATTAGTAAAAAGTCAGCAAATTATTTTCTCCATCCTTGTTAAACACTCTGCTTAAATAAGTAAAGTGTTTTTAAAGGGCCCAAAAATAATGAAGCTAAATGCAGTGAAAGAGAAGAAAAAATTATGAATTTTTAAAATTTTTTCGAATTTTTGATAATTTTAGATTTTTTACCAAAAATTGGAGAATATTGAATAAGTAAAGTATTTTTCAAGAGCTCAAAAATAATGAAGCTAAATGCCATAAAAGAGAGGAAAAAACGTTGAATTTTAAGAAATTCGGTTTTTTGAATTTTTTCGAGTTTTCGATAATTTTGGATTTTGTACTCAAGAGTCGAGATTATTAAATAAGTAAAGTATTTTCCAAAAGCACAATAATAATGAAGCTAAATGCCATAAAAGAGAAGAAAAAATGTTGAATTTTAAGAAATTCGGATTTTTGAATTTTTGATAATTTTCAATAAATTTAGATTTTTTTACCAAAGATTCAAGACTATTAAATAAGTAAGGTATTTTCCAAAAGCAGAAAAATAATGAAGCTAAATGTCATAAAAGAGAAGAAAAAATGTTGAATTTTAAGAAATTCGGATTTTTGAATTTTTGATAATTTTCAATAAATTTAGATTTTTTTACCAAAGATTCAAGACTATTAAATAAGTAAGGTATTTTCCAAAAGCAGAAAAATAATGAAGCTAAATGTCATAAAAGAGAAGAAAAAATGTTGAATTTTAAGAAATTCGGATTTTTGAATTTTTGATAATTTTCAAAAAATTTTGATTTTTTACCAAAGAATCGAGACTATTAAATAAGTAAGGTATTTTCCAAAAGCACAAAAATAATGAAGCTAAATGCCATAAAAGAGAGGAAAAAACGTTAAATTTTAAGAAATTCGGTTTTTTGAATTTTTTCGAATTTTCGATAATTTTGGATTTTTTACTCAAGATTCAAGACTATTAAATAAGTAAAGTATTTTCCAAAAGCACAAAAATAATGAAGCTAAATGCCAAAAAAGAGAGGAAAAAACGTTGAATTTTAAGAAATTCGGTTTTTTGAATTTTTTCGAGTTTTCGATAATTTTGGATTTTGTACTCAAGAGTCGAGATTATTAAATAAGTAAAGTATTTTCCAAAAGCACAATAATAATGAAGCTAAATGCCATAAAAGAGAAGAAAAAATGTTGAATTTTAAGAAATTCGGATTTTTGAATTTTTGATAATTTTCAATAAATTTAGATTTTTTTACCAAAGATTCAAGACTATTAAATAAGTAAGGTATTTTCCAAAAGCAGAAAAATAATGAAGCTAAATGTCATAAAAGAGAAGAAAAAATGTTGAATTTTAAGAAATTCGGATTTTTGAATTTTTGATAATTTTCAATAAATTTAGATTTTTTTACCAAAGATTCAAGACTATTAAATAAGTAAGGTATTTTCCAAAAGCACAAAAATAATGAAGCTAAATGTCATAAAAGAGAAGAAAAAATGTTGAATTTTAAGAAATTCGGATTTTTGAATTTTTGATAATTTTCAATAAATTTAGATTTTTTACCAAAGAGTAGAGATTATTAAATAAGTAAAGTATTTTCTAAAAGCACAAAAATAATGAAGCTAAATGCCATAAAAGAGAGGAAAAAATGTTGAATTTTAAGAAATTCGGATTTTTGAATTTTTGATAATTTTTAATAAATTTAGATTTTTTACTCAAGAGTCGAGATTATTAAATAAGTAAGGTATTTTCCAAAAGCACAAAAATAATGAAGCTAAATGCCTTAAAAGAGAGGAAAAAATGCTGAATTTCAAGAAATTCGGATTTTTGAATTTTTGATAATTTTCAATAAATTTAGATTTTTTACCAAAGATTCAAGACTATTAAATAAGTAAGGTATTTTCTAAAAGCACAAAAATAATGAAGCTAAATGCCATAAAAGAGAGGAAAAAATGTTGAATTTTAAGAAATTCGGATTTTTGAATTTTTGATGATTTTTAATAAATTTAGATTTTTTACTCAAGAGTCGAGATTATTAAATAAGTAAGGTATTTTCCAAAAGCACAAAAATAATGAAGCTAAATGCCTTAAAAGAGAGGAAAAAATGCTGAATTTCAAGAAATTCGGATTTTTGAATTTTTGATAATTTTCAATAAATTTAGATTTTTTTACCAAAGATTCAAGACTATTAAATAAGTAAGGTATTTTCCAAAAGCAGAAAAATAATGAAGCAAAATGCCATAAAAGAGAGGAAAAAATGTTGAATTTTAAGAAATTCGGATTTTTGAATTTTTTCGAATTTTCGATAATTTTGGATTTTTTACTCAAGAGTCGAGACTATTAAATAAGTAAAGTATTTTCCAAAAGCACAAAAATAATGAAGCTGAATGCCATAAAAGAATGGAAAAATTGTTAATTTTTAAGAAATTCGGATTTTTGAATTTTTGATAATTTTTAATAAATTTAGATTTTTTACCAAAGATTCAAGACTATTAAATAAGTAAGGTATTTTCTAAAAGCACAAAAATAATGAAGCTAAATGCCATAAAAGAGAGGAAAAAATGTTGAATTTTAAAAAATTCGGATTTTTCAATTTTTTCGAATTTTTGATAATTTTGGATTTTTTACTCAAGAGTCGAGATTATTAAATAAGTAAGGTATTTTCCAAAAGCACAAAAATAATGAAGCTGAATGCCATAAAAGAATGGAAAAAATGTTAATTTTTAAGAAATTCGGATTTTTGAATTTTTTCGAATCTTCGATAATTTTGGATTTTTTACTCAAGAGTCGAGATTATTAAATAAGTAAGGTATTTTCCAAAAGCACAAAAATAATGAAGCTGAATGCCATAAAAGAATGGAAAAAATGTTAATTTTTAAGAAATTCGGATTTTTGAATTTTTTCGAATTTTCGATAATTTTGGATTTTTTACTCAAGAGTCGAGACTATTAAATAAGTAAAGTATTTTCCAAGAGCACAAAAATAATGAAGCAAAATGCCATAAAAGAGAGGAAAAAATGTTGAATTTTAAGAAATTCGGATTTTTGAATTTTTTCGAATTTTCGATAATTTTGGATTTTTTACTCAAGAGTCGAGACTATTAAATAAGTAAAGTATTTTCCAAAAGCACAAAAATAATGAAGCTGAATGCCATAAAAGAATGGAAAAAATGTTAATTTTTAAGAAATTCGGATTTTTGAATTTTTGATAATTTTCAATAAATTTAGATTTTTTACCAAAGAGTAGAGACTTTTAAATAAGTAAGGTATTTTCCAAAAGCACAAAAATAATGAAGCTGAATGCCATAAAAGAATGGAAAAAATGTTAATTTTTAAGAAATTCGGATTTTCGAATTTTCGATAATTTTGGATTTTTTACTCAAGAGTCGAGATTATTAAATAAGTAAGGTATTTTCCAAAAGCACATAAATAATGAAGCTGAATGCCATAAAAGAATGGAAAAAATGTTAATTTTTAAGAAATTCGGATTTTTGAATTTTTGATAATTTTTAATAAATTTAGATTTTTTACCAAAGATTCAAGACTATTAAATAAGTAAGGTATTTTCTAAAAGCACAAAAATAATGAAGCTAAATGCCATACAAGAGAGGAAAAATGTTGAATTTTAAGAAATTCGGATTTTTGAATTTTTTCGAATTTTCGATAATTTTTGATTTTTTACTCAAGAGTCGAGATTATTAAATAAGTAAGGTATTTTCCAAAAGCACAAAAATAATGAAGCTAAATGCCTTAAAAGAGAGGAAAAAATGCTGAATTTCAAGAAATTCGGATTTTTGAATTTTTGATAATTTTCAATAAATTTAGATTTTTTACCAAAGATTCAAGACTATTAAATAAGTAAGGTATTTTCTAAAAGCACAAAAATAATGAAGCTAAATGCCATAAAAGAGAGGAAAAAATGTTGAATTTTAAGAAATTCGGATTTTTGAATTTTTGATGATTTTTAATAAATTTAGATTTTTTACCAAAGAGTAGAGATTATTAAATAAACAAAGTATTTTCTAAAAGCACAAAAATAATGAAGCTAAATGCCATAAAAGAGAGGAAAAAATGTTAATTTTTAATAAATTCGGATTTTTGAATTTTTGATAATTTTCAAAAAATTTTGTTTTTTTACCAAAGAATCGAGACTATTAAATAAGTAAAGTATTTTCCAAAAGCACAAAAATAATGAAGCAAAATGCCATAAAAGAGAGGAAAAAATGTTGAATTTTAAGAAATTCGGATTTTTGAATTTTTTCGAATTTTCGATAATTTTGGATTTTTTACTCAAGAGTCGAGACTATTAAATAAGTAAAGTATTTTCCAAAAGCACAAAAATAATGAAGCTGAATGCCATAAAAGAATGGAAAAATTGTTAATTTTTAAGAAATTCGGATTTTTGAATTTTTGATAATTTTTAATAAATTTAGATTTTTTACCAAAGATTCAAGACTATTAAATAAGTAAGGTATTTTCTAAAAGCACAAAAATAATGAAGCTAAATGCCATAAAAGAGAGGAAAAAATGTTGAATTTTAAAAAATTCGGATTTTTCAATTTTTTCGAATTTTTGATAATTTTGGATTTTTTACTCAAGAGTCGAGATTATTAAATAAGTAAGGTATTTTCTAAAAGCACAAAAATAATGAAGCTGAATGCCATAAAAGAATGGAAAAAATGTTAATTTTTAAGAAATTCGGATTTTTGAATTTTTTCGAATTTTCGATAATTTTGGATTTTTTACTCAAGAGTCGAGATTATTAAATAAGTAAGGTATTTTCCAAAAGCACAAAAATAATGAAGCTGAATGCCATAAAAGAATGGAAAAAATGTTAATTTTTAAGAAATTCGGATTTTTGAATTTTTTCGAATTTTCGATAATTTTGGATTTTTTACTCAAGAGTCGAGACTATTAAATAAGTAAAGTATTTTCCAAGAGCACAAAAATAATGAAGCAAAATGCCATAAAAGAGAGGAAAAAATGTTGAATTTTAAGAAATTCGGATTTTTGAATTTTTTCGAATTTTCGATAATTTTGGATTTTTTACTCAAGAGTCGAGACTATTAAATAAGTAAAGTATTTTCCAAAAGCACAAAAATAATGAAGCTGAATGCCATAAAAGAATGGAAAAAATGTTAATTTTTAAGAAATTCGGATTTTTGAATTTTTGATAATTTTCAATAAATTTAGATTTTTTACCAAAGAGTAGAGACTTTTAAATAAGTAAGGTATTTTCCAAAAGCACAAAAATAATGAAGCTGAATGCCATAAAAGAATGGAAAAAATGTTAATTTTTAAGAAATTCGGATTTTCGAATTTTCGATAATTTTGGATTTTTTACTCAAGAGTCGAGATTATTAAATAAGTAAGGTATTTTCCAAAAGCACAAAAATAATGAAGCTGAATGCCATAAAAGAATGGAAAAAATGTTAATTTTTAAGAAATTCGGATTTTTGAATTTTTGATAATTTTTAATAAATTTAGATTTTTTACCAAAGATTCAAGACTATTAAATAAGTAAGGTATTTTCTAAAAGCACAAAAATAATGAAGCTAAATGCCATACAAGAGAGGAAAAATGTTGAATTTTAAGAAATTCGGATTTTTGAATTTTTTCGAATTTTCGATAATTTTTGATTTTTTACTCAAGAGTCGAGATTATTAAATAAGTAAGGTATTTTCCAAAAGCACAAAAATAATGAAGCTAAATGCCTTAAAAGAGAGGAAAAAATGCTGAATTTCAAGAAATTCGGATTTTTGAATTTTTGATAATTTTCAATAAATTTAGATTTTTTACCAAAGATTCAAGACTATTAAATAAGTAAGGTATTTTCTAAAAGCACAAAAATAATGAAGCTAAATGCCATAAAAGAGAGGAAAAAATGTTGAATTTTAAGAAATTCGGATTTTTGAATTTTTGATGATTTTTAATAAATTTAGATTTTTTACCAAAGAGTAGAGATTATTAAATAAACAAAGTATTTTCTAAAAGCACAAAAATAATGAAGCTAAATGCCATAAAAGAGAGGAAAAAATGTTAATTTTTAATAAATTCGGATTTTTGAATTTTTGATAATTTTCAAAAAATTTTGATTTTTTACCAAAGAATCGAGACTATTAAATAAGTAAAGTATTTTCCAAAAGCACAAAAATAATGAAGCAAAATGCCATAAAAGAGAGGAAAAAATGTTGAATTTTAAGAAATTCGGATTTTTGAATTTTTTCGAATTTTCGATAATTTTGGATTTTTTACTCAAGAGTCGAGACTATTAAATAAGTAAAGTATTTTCCAAAAGCACAAAAATAATGAAGCTGAATGCCATAAAAGAATGGAAAAATTGTTAATTTTTAAGAAATTCGGATTTTTGAATTTTTGATAATTTTTAATAAATTTAGATTTTTTACCAAAGATTCAAGACTATTAAATAAGTAAGGTATTTTCTAAAAGCACAAAAATAATGAAGCTAAATGCCATAAAAGAGAGGAAAAAATGTTGAATTTTAAAAAATTCGGATTTTTCAATTTTTTCGAATTTTTGATAATTTTGGATTTTTTACTCAAGAGTCGAGATTATTAAATAAGTAAGGTATTTTCCAAAAGCACAAAAATAATGAAGCTGAATGCCATAAAAGAATGGAAAAAATGTTAATTTTTAAGAAATTCGGATTTTTGAATTTTTGATAATTTTTAATAAATTTAGATTTTTTACCAAAGAGTAGAGATTATTAAATAAACAAAGTATTTTCTAAAAGCACAAAAATAATGAAGCTAAATGCCATAAAAGAGAGGAAAAAATGTTGAATTTTAAGAAATTCGGATTTTTGAATTTTTGATTATTTTCGATTTTTTATTAAAGGGTGGAGACTATTAACAGGGTGTCTAACGGTCAGGGAAGTCAGGGAATGTAAGATAATATGTCAGTTACTATATTTTAGTCCTAAGAAAGCAGAAATAAAATTAGTAAAAAGTCAGGGAATTATTTTCTTAATCCTTGTTAGACACCCTGTTTAAGCTAATATTAGATTAGAAGTCTTAGACCCCAAAAATCCCCAAGCAACAAGTTTCGACAAATGTCTTGGATGCTACTACTTAAAAGTTCCAATAAAATCTTCTATTCTTCAGGATGTTGTTTAGCAACATCCTAGCTACATGTCAGGTGATTACTAGCTTATAGAAAATTTTTAGAATGAGAGAAAATAATTTTTAACGTCCTTTTTCCCTAATTTTGATTGTCGTCTTATAGCATTTATAGTTTTAAGTAAATTGTTTTCTTATAATTACCTCCTTGTCACAAGATTGTGGCCTCGTCCTTTTAATTTTAATTTTGTCATAATATCGAGCTTCCCTTGTCTCGTCTGACATTTGTGAACTATCATCGGCAAATTCTTGATTCGAATCTAAATCCATATTTGCGTAAGCATAATCGCTGTGCCAGATTCCAGCTTTTGCAATTGCCCATGCAGCATGTGCAAAAAACCATGATGCTGCTGACCGGAGAAGTTTCCATGGCTGAAATAATTTTTTATATATCAAATTCCAAATTTTGTTGTTGTTTGTAAAACAATGTAAAACTTAGAAGAAGCGGACTGTAGCGCTACGATTAAGGAGATAGGAAAAAGAATAAGGATATAAGGATAGAAATAGGAGAAGGAAGTGATAATTAATTTTAAAGATAATAAAATAGCATCAGTAATGATGTTGATAATAAATAATGTAAATACTTTTAGTATATTACTAACAGTTATCAGAATATTTCCATCGTTGCTTTCTGCTGTAGGTGGAAAGCACACGGCCTGATAATCGTAAATTGTGACCTTATTAAAAATTCCCCTGTGTATCAGGCTTCTCATTATAGTGCCGCGGACTTCACCGAGAAATTTAGCCGCATGTTTTTCGTCATTTGACGCTAAAATATATCCATGATTGTCTATGAGATAACAAGCAACGTCTGGATGCTTGCAATTTGCTGTACAATTCTCGCAGGTGTCAGTTATATTCTGAAATAGACCCTGCAATGCCGAATGTAAAAATTGAAAACCCACCACACCAACTGGTGCTTTTAATGCTCCAGAACCTAAAAAGAAAATCTTTGTTTTAAAAATATTGCAACAAAAATTCCTCCATACTATTTTGAATGTACCTACCAACAAATACAGCACGACTGGCAGTGACCAATGTACTATTATTAATTAAATTTCGATGCTTGTGAATAATTGGTACAGAAAATACAAAACTCTCCGGATGAACATAGTGTTGTTCAACAGCTCTTTTATACCAAATTTCATCTATTGCCCGAGGGTATTTTGAACCAAAACTCTCCTCCTTCTCCTTGACGTCATCATCCAAATGAAACTCTTGCCATCTCGTTAGACCACTGTGCGTCGCCATAAAGGAGACAGTGAATCCAAAACGTTGCCAGAATTCTTTCCTGCGGGGAAAACAATGTTAAAAAGACTCAAAAGAAAATCCAATGTTAATCTCGCTGCAAATTTTTATACTTTGACAAGATATATGTATATAAAAAACAAAAAATTATTTTTTCTTTACTCAAAAATACATTCTAAAATTAAATTTTCCAAATATTTTTGTACGAAACAGAACAGTATGTTATTTAAAAAATCTTCTTCTCCCTCACTTCTCGTTCGTCCTGTAAAAAGTCTCGTTTTAAAGCAAGCCAAATGTACACATTAATATACTTTACAAAGGAAAATTTAACGCAATTACAAATCTGAAATTTTCGCAAAAAAGCGGAGGAAATTTTATAGATATAAAAGACGGAGCAAGGGAAAACTATTTTTATTTTTTCCCTTTTATCCGTCTTATTAGATATTGATTATAGAATATTTCATATATTTCAATAATTAACGCTGTCATGTTAAAAGTGTATCATTTTTTTACCATGACCGAAACACTGGCATTCCTTCCCTTCATAGAAATTTTCTATTATCTTTTTCTTTTATTTAAATTAATCAGCAGAGGGTTAACAAGAAGTTAAAATTTTATTTTAAAGGATACTAGTGCTTCGTTCACGTAATATGCATGAATGCGACATTATTAAATACATTCTAAAGTAACTTTGCAGAATAAAAGAAAATGTGCACAAAATTAAGAAGTATATAAATATTAGCATATAAGTATTAGGGTGGTTTTGAAAAAAGTTTTTTATCGAACTAGGTCCATAAATTTGCTTGAAGTCCGTAAAAGACAGTTTTTTTGAAAAAAAGTCCGTAAAGTCCGTAATTTGATAGAAAAAGAACGAAAAGTTCGTAAATTGTACGATATAATTTGGAGAATTTAGAAATATTAAAATTTTTCTTCGAAATTCAATTCAATTCGAAACTTAATTCTGTTTAGCCTTTTGAAAGAAATAAATTTCTTTCTCACCTCTGTAATATTCATATATTTATATACCTTATAGATAAACATGGTAACAAGAAGATAAATAGATTTATAAAATGACAAAGGAGAATATAAGAAAAGAAAAAGATAATTGAAATTAACTAAGTAATTCGCGTGTTAATTAAATCTATAATAAAGAACGTAATAGGTGCGATGTGATGACGTTACCTGGGTAAGAGTTTCATCAGCCTAGTTAAAAGTCTGCATGGCGTCAAAGTGGTAAGTATTAGTAAAAAAGAACAGGTGCATTTCATCTATCCGTTATACAATAAACCAAAAAATGTGCATTAAAAACGAACTAAAATAAATAAAAACATTGAAAAACGTATGTTTGTGTGTATGTGTATTCATGTTTCTACAATATCCCTTTTTTCAAAATGTTTTGTTAGTTTCAATTTAGTTTTTATTTTTACGCTTGCAAATTTCTTCGTAATTAGTGATATTTCATTTCTTCTTTGATTCTTTAAAATAAATATGATTTATGGTAGTGCAACTATCATCAATTTTTCTGTAGCAACTTTTTCCCTGAATTGAATTTAGTATTAACGAAAAAAACAAGAACGTTTTTCCTTTAGTCTTATCGACAATGAATTTACACATTAAAAATTGAATAAATTTTTGTGTTGTGTGAGAAAAAATGTATTAAGAAAGTTCTTTTCAATATAAACTAATATCAAAACAATATAAATGTAGGTTTTTAAGGGGCGGAAAAAGAAAATTGCTTACCCTTTTTCGTCGCGAGTTGATGAGGCATTCGCGAACCATTGGGTTACCTGAGCATCATGCACTAAAGTCAGTAGAAGACGCCGATCACAGTAATAAGAATCTACTGTTCAAAAATATTTCTTATTAATTTCATTTTGATTTTTTCTATTCATTTGCTTTTTTTGTATCTTTGACTTTGAAATCAAAGAGATTATAGTTAACACTATACCTGACTTTGAACTAGTCTTTGAACTGGTATTGGATTTCTCCGGTGGTTGTGATCTTTGTTTAGCATCAATCCACCTCCATGGAGGTTCCTGTTGTCGAGTTCTATTTAAAAAGTGCAAAAGTTGATCTTCCGGTGATCTAAATTCAAATTCCCCATCGTAATGGTATCTGGAAGGAAAAAATATCGGTCATGAGTTAAAAATTAAGAGTTCGGACTAGCGTCGTTTCCTAAGACTCATCAATTGGATATTGAAATTGAAAAATAATTTATTCAAAATAGAAGGAAAGAAAATTATGCCCGGAAATGACTTTAATCCGGACTCTTCGAACACCTATTCGGTTATTATTTTCTATACACTATAATTACACTTTGTCCACAACTAACTTGCAATAAATCCATTCTGGATGAACTCGCCAATTATTTCCTGAGAAGTAGGCGAGCACATTTGTCCCTGAAAGAAAGTGAAAAAATTAAGAACCATGCCTTTATAAACATTAGTTTGTAAACACAATTTAAAATTTAAAGAAGGTTTATTTTCTATTAATTGTTAGGTGAACATCCTTTTTACCTTGAGACAATAATCTTTTGGTTTCAACAGCAGCATGAACTCTGTTATTACCATTCTGATCATACTCGGGTAAACTGACAACCACAGCAAACGTTGTATTCTCAATTCCCATGTAATCGTATTTTCTCCTTACTCTGCCGACCCGTTGCTGAAAAAAATAATAATAATTACTTTATGCAACAAAGGCGTTTCATGGTCACTTAGCCGGTGCATGCTAAGTTCCTCCATATAACAAAAATTTTGGTCTACAAAATGGCCATTATTGCCCTAGGATAATAATGGGTACTTTATTGCCTTAGGGTACTAATGAGTACTTTATTGCCCTAGGGAAATAATGGGTACTTTATTGTCCTGGAAAATTCTGGAAAAAGCTGAAATTTTATATTTAACATTTTGTGGCAACCATGAATCCCTCAATTATATGTTCAATAATTTTTTTTAACAATTATATTCATAGACTAACCATATCGTCGTAATGGTATCTCGTGTGAAGTGTCACGCTACCGCTCTTTTGATTAATCACGTCATCACGAAGCTGCAATTAAACACAAAAAAGGGTAATTAAAAATTGCACCTTAATTATTTCTATTTAAAACATCATTTGCAGATATTAATTCTTTTTATTGAGATAGAAAAAAGAGGGGAGAAAAATTAAAATATGAATTAGTGTAAAAGATGCAATTACCGCTATTAGAGCATCGTCAAAATCACGTGGACCTCTGTCTTGATCCACCAATTCGACCTCAACCATATCCACACTATTGTACGCTGGTTTTAAAATATTCTGAAACTTTAAAAAAATATCTCGTAGTTATTAGAAATCCAATTCTCTGATAGTAATTTAACTTGTCGATTAGGGTTCATGACAAGTATAATATTGATTCTTGCTTGAATTTTATGTTTGGTTCTTAAATTATTTTTGAATTTAAAACTTACCACTGGACGAAGGTCTGGATGTGTCAGAATATAACCATTATTTGTTACAAGAAAAGCGTAACCATTGACGCCCAGCTAGAAGTAGTGGAAAATTTTTAATAATTTATTTGTTTATAAAATTTATTACATATTTATTTTCTATAGAAAAAAAAAGAAATTGTTTATGCACATACCGTATGGGGCATCATAAATCTTTGTATTTCCGTAATTGGCACATCCGTTCCGGCAACGCCAAGAAGTTTTGCTATTTTCATCTGCAAAAATAATAGTTCGATTACTAAATATCAGAATTCATAAGAAAGCGAAAAGCAAGCGACGAAGGTACAGACAATCGTCGAGTTTCAAGTCTCATTACCAAGAAGCATTAATTTAATAATAATGATAATAATAATAAGAATAATAATAAGAATAATAATAATAATCTACCTTCCCCAAAAAATGCTAAAAGGAGTGAACAACAGGCCTTGAAAATATCACGAAATTTAATTTAATATTAAAAATATTTAACTTTTGATAGTAATAATAATAATACTAATAATAATCATAATAATAATAATTAATTTGATAATTATAAATAATAATTTATTAATAAAGAAATAATAAAATGTTTAACGTCCAAATAATTGAATAATAAGAAAAATAGAAAATATTTTTAATTAAAATTTTTAGTAAAGGTAATTTTTAAGGAAAAAGTAATTAAAATAATTAATTACTATATGTTAATAATTGATATTAAGCTAATTGTGCTATAAGTTCAATTTGTTGAATTATATATTCTTTTTTTGTCCCTAGAATTGAATTTACTTTTTATCAATTAATTGATATTTTTAAACAATGGTGATTGTAGTCATAGTTTTCGAATTCAATAAGTGTCTGCGTGATATTTACAAACTTGTAATGAATTTTCTAATAATAATCCACACACGTCTATATGAAGAAATAATAGTGGTAGCGATAATACTAATAATATTAATAATAAAAATTTAAAAAAAAGTAATAGTAATATAGTAGTAGTAGTAATAGTAGTAGTAATAGTAGTAATAATAGAATAAGTAACAATAATAAAACCTTCATTAATAAGAATTTTGATGGCTATTATAAAATTCACTACAGTGTCAAATAGCTATCTATATATATTTATATATAGTTAATAATTAATTATATGCAAGGAGCAGAATAACTAAGAATTAATAATAAGTATCGTACTATTGAAACATTTTTTTCTTTTTTGATAAAAAAATAATTAAATTTTATCAAATAGTAATTTTGCATCTACTTTTCTACCTATAGAAAAGCAAAAATTTGTTTTAAAAAAAAATTATTTTTGGATTTTTCTTTAATATATAATTCTATATAAAAAAAGGATTTTTTATGATTTTGTTTCGTAATTAATGAGCGAAACCTTTCTACTTCGTTAATACAATAATATACAGGATGACTATTTTTACCTAAACCTACCTAATTAAAAAATTTTAAAAAAAAATGCTAAATTTTTAAATATACTATCTATCTCAGAACAAAATAAGAATTATTATACCAGAGACGAACTTGGACCTATAGATAAAATTATGTAATGGATGAAACTTTCTCAGATAACGTAATTTAATAAAGAAAAAAAAACAAAATAAAAAGAAAAAAAAATAATGTGAATAATAATTAAAATAATAGTGACATTTGCACAGTATGTATATGTAGCGATAATCTATAGAGATTTATATTTTGCGAAAGAGAAAAGAGGAAGCTTTCGTCATCTGATCAAGTTTTTTTTCTTTTTTTTTGTTTTTTTTTTTTTGGTTTGCAAAAATTAAGGGAGCAAGGGTATTCTATATGCATTGAAACAAGTTCGCTTTTCATTGCTTTTTTTTAGCTGCCAACCTCTCTTGTCTCTTCGACCCAGTAGGCCTCTTTCACCAGGACCTGCTCAGTGATGTTCTGTGGACAAACAGGGACTTAAGACCAATCAACAGACATATTCAAACTCACAGATTGAATCATTAATCCCGATCGTACGCACAGTTTCGTTCGCCACTCTTTGTTTTATTTGAAAGTTGTTTACAATTATGTATGTATATATATAATATAAATATTGTGTATTTACAACAACGACAACAACAAAAAAAATGCCATCTTATGTTTATTTTTTTTGGAAAGGATCGAGAGACACTGTCCAACCGTAAGTCACTTGAAAAATTTGAACTACTTTTTTTCTACTTTTGGAAAAAGATACATTTGAATTTTTATATTTTTTTGGATTCACAGTTTTTCTAAAGATGTCAAATTGAGTCAAAAAAAACTTTGCTTCCCAACTATTTTGATACTTTTTTCGTCTCAATTTGATATCCTTAAAAAAACTGTTAGAAAAAATTTGGTTTTTGATTCACGATTTTATTTGGGAAGGAACTGTTTTTATTGAAAAAAAATTATCAGTGGGAGGAGTCTTAAATTGTCACGCCTCTTTGGGAGGGGACTTTGTAAATATGACCGCCCTAAAGTGGGAGGAGCTTTCAATCTACACGCCTTCTCACGAGGAAGTAAATTGCCCCGCCCCTAAATGAGATTAGAGGATCTTTTTCAAAGTTTTCAAGACTTTTACATAGGAGGAGCCTTCCTTCTTATGAATAAATGCCTTATGCGATAATAATAATTACTTATTATTAATTAGATAATTGTCTAAATATGAGGAGTTTTCTCTAAGTGGGCGGTGCTTAATTCTTATAAAGACACGTCCCTAAGTCGCCGTTTTTATAAAGACGGTATTATTAAGGACACGCCTCTAAGAAGGAGAAGACTACCACGCCTTCTTTTGAAGACGTAAATTATCACACTTGTAGGTTAGTGGTTTCATTCTTAAATGCCTTTTCTTAGAGAGGATTTTCTCAAAGACGATTTTCTTAAAGACACGCCTTGTAGGAGAAGTTTTCTATCATATATTCAGAAGTGCTTTTTAATAGTTACGCCCCTAAGTAGGTGGAGCTTTCAACGAATACTTTGATGTAGACACGCCTCTAAACGAAGAGAAACTTCTAAGCAAAAGAAACGTAGACAAATTTCTTTGTATGGAAATAGATCTTGATAAAGACACGCCCCCAAAGTGGGAGGAGCTTTCTTTCAGTACACCTCTTTTAGAAATAAAGACGCCTTATAATCTGGAAAGCGTCCAGACACGTCTACTAGAGGCGTGTTTTTTCGAAAAAAGAGGCGTTTCTAATAGGGGAATGGAAGGAACACGCCTACCAGAGGCGTATCTGCTGTGGGTGTGTCCCTAGAAGAAAATTTCGTCGTCGCCACGCCTCTTTTAAGGGTAGGGACAGGATTGACACGCCCCTAAAAGTGGGAGTAAGCAACGCCCAGATACCGCGAAAATTAGAAATTTTTTTTCAGTGACTTAATGTAGGACTGTCCCTTCAATTTTTTTCAAGGTGCAATTAATTAAACACAAAACAATCGTGCACTCAAATTATTATGTACATAGACTTATTTGTTTGTCACGGAAGTGAAGATTGACAGGATGTTTAATGATACTTTTTTTCATTCTTATTGAGTAATGAACATTCTTTCTTTTTGTTTTTCAATAAATTTTTCTGCATTAAATATCCTGATGAACGAAAGCGTGAGTGATCGTACAAAATATTTTTTTTCTTTTTAATAAAAATCTATTTAACTGAAAAGGCAGAAGGCAAAATAATTAATAATCAAATAGTGTTCTGCAACAAACGGTTATTTTTTTATATTGAAAAGGTATCCAATTAAACAGAAATAGTTTTAAAAAACACAATTTGGAAAGTATAGAGCCAAAAGGGTGTGTTTTAGTTTTCGAAAACTTTTTACAATTTCTTTTTTTTTTTTTTTTGTTGGTATTGTTTCAGAACACTAAAAGTGCGAGCATGCAAATGAATTTTGAATATATGTCGATGACCTTATTTGTATATATATATTTTTTCTGGTAATTCATTGACATTAATTTGGTAATTCGAATTTTTTTTTTTGTAAAAAATAGTAAAAAAAAAGTTTCTTTAGGAATTGTTTAAATTAGTTTTTAGCCAATTGGTAAGCTATTTTTTCTCTTCTCTTCTTTTTATCGAAAAAAAATGTTTGCTTGAAGCTTTAATAATAATTTTTGCCATTTTCTATTAAAAATTGACTTCTTTTTTTTATCAATATGGAAGAAAATTAAAGAAAAATTTGCCAACTAAAACTCACCGCGTTGGATCGTGTGTCGTAAACCGGTGTACTGACTGATGTCATTAATCTATATTTCTGTTGACCCTGATAACGGGAATATGTCTCCTCAAATTCATCAATTGAATCATCATCATCGTCTGATGTTTGATTCACCATTCTACTTCTAAGAACAATCATTTTTTGCTGACTACAAAGATTTTGCTCCCAGAGCCAATCAGTCATTTTTGGATCCTCAATGTCCGCATAGACCGGGGTCCAAATTGTTGGATGATCTGTTTTCTTTAGTACCAATGGCCTCGCCATAACAGGTATGTAGTTTAATACCTGAAAATTGATTTGTTTATTTTGCTATAAATATTTTGCTCTAGGGCAGAGAGTGTGTTTTGGTGTCTAGGATAACAAGTGGATACTTTACTCCCTAAGATAGCATATGGGTATTTTGCTCCCTAGGATTAAAAATATTAATATTAGTCTTGTAGTTAGCATTGTAATATTCACCTGTTCACGAACTTCTGCCATCGTTGATAAGTGTACAAAATATCCTCTATTCGCGCATGCCATCCATTTCACTTCCCTGTAATCGGCCACTTCTCTGCCAATGAGATAAGTGAATATTCTGACAGGCATATCCGCCTGATCAGGATTATCAGGATTACTGTACCAATTGTAATATTTAAATGTATCTTTATAATTCTCTGGAACACCGTCAGTAATTAGCATTATTGCTTGATTGCAATCAGCACCCTCCTTACTCGCACGATAGTAAGCCAACATTTCAAAAGCCTGCGACAAAACCATTGAAAAATTTGCTATCCTCTCAGTCGTCATATTTTGTATGCCCTTTTTCAATTCACGAATATTCGCCAAATTCGCCTGTACCAATCGATTACTAAAACACTTAACAACCTGAAAAGGAAAACAACATTAAACCCAATTTCTTTAATATTCTTCTTTCTTTATTTTTAACTTTCTTTTTTAGTTTTACTTTTATCTTAAACTTTATTTTTTATTTCAAGAAACTTACGCTACTGGTTTCATTGGAGAATGTGATGATATTGACAAAATCATTATTTCCCAATGTATCGAGAATATTATTAACAACATGACGGGCAATTTCTTTTCTTATTCCCGTCATACTACCCGATGTATCAACAAGAATAAGAATATCCTTTGGACTTGTTGCCGCTTCAATGTACCAACTTCTTGTGCGACAATCAAATAAATCAACTTCCTCCATTTGCCAATTTGTCGCTGGAAATTGTCTCATAAAACCAGTGGCACTGCCAAAATATTGCCACGATAATGATGGATCTTGTTGATAATTATTTACAAAAATTTTATCCAATTCCTCGGACCATTTTATTGCACGTATCACTTCTGGTGCACGATCATAAACATTTGTTGGCACATGAACAGCCGACATACTTAAATTAACTAAACCACCAAAATGAAAATCATTCGTTAAATCTATCGTATTATTTTTTGCATTCACATAAAGGTAGTCTTTTGTTGGCGTTACGTCAGGCGCTGACTCGGCAACCTTCTGCGCAACGTCCATTATTCGCTGTTGAAGGAAAATAAAAAAAAATTATTAGTTTACCCTAGGGCGAAAAATGATTAGTTTAGTCACTAGGATTTAAAAGCGTCTAGGACTAAGGGTCCTAGGTTTCTTGATTCAGAAAAGTTTCTTATTTCCCTAGTGGGAAAAGTGAACATTTTTTAACCGGTATTTAAAACGGTATGTTTTCTTCCTAGGGAGAAAAGTTACTACTTTGTCCACTAGGATCAAAAGGACTGTTTTTTTCTAAGATTAGTGATTGAATATTTAAGTTGGTAACTATAAAAATATCATAGGGTGAAAAAGAATCACTTTGTCCACTAGGGTAAAAATAGTTTATTTTCTACCATAATGATTATAATTAGGAGGGTAAATAAGAAGATTAACATACCTTAATTGCGGAAATTTTCGACTCCATCATAGCTTTAATATCCTTGGCAATATCTTTAACCAACTGACTTCCATCTTTCGGTTGGACCGTCGCATGTTTGTAGGTATCTTGAAATTTTTCTACGTTTGTGACATATTTTCCGAGTTGTGACAATTCGAAGCCTAATTTTCGAGCCCATACTTTAACTCTAAATGGGGACAAATTTAAATTTTATCATCGACAATACAACAAATCGAATAGCTATCAAATATTTATCCATTGAGTTAATAATTAAACCCAAACACTTGAAAAAATAAGTTTTTTGAAACGGGTAACGTAAAACAAGACAATATTTACAAAACAAAAATACTAGTGACAAAAGAAATTTGAATTTTCCTTCTACTCTATAATTACAAACTTAAAACATGCTCTAAAAATAATGAACCGAAGAAAATTATATATTTAAATAAAAATCTAGAATTTAATTCTCAAAATAAGTAATTTAATAATATAAAAGCGTCTAAAGATAGTATAAAAAAGCCTAAAGAATTAAAATTTACAGAAGACTCATGATTTAAATTAATATTTTCCTCTGTATTTGTTTGTTATTTTTCTATTTCTAGATGAAAATTTGATAAATAAATAAACGATGATGAAACTTACGGGCTGAATGTTATTCGTTCACCTCTAGTTGATGCTTGAATGATAACAAGAAACGCGAAAAACGATAATAGCCAGGACCTCATTACTTTAAAAAATGTCCCGTTAAATCTTGGTAAAACCGAATAGTAACATTAAAAAAGAATGGAACTTGAAATGAAAATATTTTCGAATGACATTCGTCACACGTTTCAACTCTGGCCTATACCTTTCTTTTAACTTTCCGTATATCCTATTGATTACGTTGTGCTGGGCGTGCGCGTCATTCCCGCATTACATATTATGGGTTTCCCCTCGCGTACACACATCCCTTTAATCAAAAAGGCACAGCTGATCGACAATAACAAGACACACCACTAGAGGGAAAAAAAATTCTTGCTATATCCCTTAAAAAAGTTGTTTTTTCATTGGATGAGGTACTTTTTATGAAAACAATTTTTATTGTCGATATTGGAATTGTTACTTTATGCTGTCTGGAAGTGAATATGGCTTATAGGGTTGAAAATAAAAAATTATTTACTTTATGCTGCCTGGAAGTGAATGTGGTTTACATTAAAAAATTTTCGCAGGGTTGAAAATAAAAAATATTGTTCAGGATGAAGAATAGAAACAAAAGGATTTAAACAGATATAAATATATTATTTTTCAACAACTTTACACAATATTCGACAGATTATTATCGTCAGTAATAATAAGGAAACTTGGAGTTTGGATGTCCCTCCACATGCCTCGATTTCGTCCTCTAGAGGATGCTCCGTGAAACAGGACTCCAATCGTCGGCGTGATAAATCATTGAGAGGTATTTTGTGGCAAGGTCTACCGTCACTGGCATTCGTGAAGGTGTCAACTTCTATTATTTCTGGTTCGATGCTCAATCGTAGTTCGCAGGTACTTGGCAAAACGTTGACAACCAATAGCAGAAGGTTCGTATGGGGTACCTTGAAAATATTCTTTTGTTAAAATCAGTAGACCTCCAGTGGACAAAAAATACATTCACGTTCCTTAAACGTTTCATGTCTGCCAAATTAACAATTTAAAAACGTTTCTATAACATTAAACTTTCGTAAACTGTTAATTTGTCGAACATTAAACTTTTTAGAAACGTTCCTCGAAAATAAATTTTTCTTTGACCTTTGGGTTATTGTCGGATTAACCGCAATTAATTCTTTTTCGTGTTATAAAAACATTTGTGTTTTTAGTCAAAAGAATTCTAAAGAAGCTGGCATTAATTATTCATCATTAAATAGTAATATCATTTTATGGTAACTTCTTTTTCTTCTTATTCTTCTTTTCTGAAAAAAAAGATTCTCTTTGTGCCTATACTTACTTTTTGAGCATAGAAGGGCCTGGAGCACTGAATTGACGAATTAGTGACACCTTTTGCAGCTTCCGCTTGATCCATAATGTAGAGGGTTCTCTTCTCATCGCAAGGATACCTTTGATTTTCCTCATGCTCCTGGGATAAGGGTTCTTGTGGCAAACTAGCCTCAGGAGAATCGTCGTCTTCCTCAGCTAATGAAACCGGCAAATTCATCAAATGTACAGTGTACCACACCACTCGCATTAGAATCCAAGAGAAAAATTTTATTATATACTTTAGAGGATTTATGAGAGAATTTCCGGAACCGGCCTTCACCTAAAAAAGTAAAAAAAAAAAGTAACAATTTTTGTATTTTTTTGTACAAGTGATATTTACTTACAATATTCTCGCAAAATGCCTGATAGTCGTAGATCTCGACCGGACTGAATATTCCCTGAAGTACGAGTGACTGCATTATTGGTCCATGAACAATTCCAAGAAAATCGCCAACAGGATCGAAATCCGCTTCGGCAGTCACTACGTATCCATTCTGATCAATTAAATAACAATGCATCCACTCTAGAGCACAATTTAGATTCTCATTAGTCGTTCTTGAGGTTATGTTCTTAAAGCGTGCGAGAAAAGCTTTCATGGGCATCTGAAAACCCACAACAGCAGCCGGAGCTTCCAAACCTCCGTCCTTTGGAAATATTCCCATCGAGACTGTTACTATAGGATTGACTGTTGACTTCGGAGGTACTAAAAATTCAAAAAAGCTCCGTTATAATTAAAAGTCTTCGTTAAACAGGAAAAGATGTAGAAATTAATCAAGCAAAAGGTGTTTTATTACCAGTTATGGAAACACTTTCAGGATCCACTTGATGTTGAAAAATAGCTCCCTTATACCAAGGTTCATTCACCGCTTTCTTATGCAAATCGCCAAATTCAATTTTATCGTAATACATTCCTTTGCCTATTTTCTTATCGCCGATGTATTGCCATCTTGTGAGTCCACTTTGCGTGGCAATGAAACGTAGAAATACGTTGTATGTTTTTGCAAGGTAATTCATTGGAAATTCTTGAACGAAACTTTGATATGTTGCTCTTGCGTCAAAAACCAAGAGTTGCATTAGTTCCGCGTTGCAGTAATATGATTCTCGATCTAATGTTCTTCGGGTGCAGTTCAGTTCTGTATCGTGCTCGTCGGTGTCGTACTGACTTGGCATGTACCATGGCTCACCACGTTTTGCTGAAAAAAATTAAAAATCAGTTTTAATCCTAACTGGTTAGTGTTCTAATTTGTTAGGGTCATAGCTTTTCTAAGGATATCAAATTGGGACAAAAAACGAATCAAAATGTTGAGCATTTTGATTCGTTTTTTCTCTCAATTTGATATTCTTAGAAAACTATGGTTCTAATTCAGTAGAGTCCTAATTCGTTAGGGTTCTAATTTGGTAGAATACAAATTCGTTAGGGTTCTAATTTGATAGAGTCCTAATTCGTTAGGTTTTAATTTATTAAAGCCATTAGTAGAAATGAAATACTCACTATTTTCCTGAAAGTATTTGATAAAATGCAACAATTCCTTTTCTCCTCGTTCCTTGTGACCCTCTGGATAATGATATCGACAGTAAATCCAACCAGGATATATTCTCCAATATTCTCCAGCGAATAGATCCAAAATATTGATGTTCTTGTTCAATGTTCTGCTAATTTCGTCTCCTACCTGGAATTAATTACAAGTTTAATTATTTAAGACACTGCTAAAAATCGGACTAAAACTTTACACCAAAAAGATTGGAATGATGTTGTTTCAATCTCGAAAAGTGTGAATACTTTCATTTCACTGGCTTGATTAAAAACTTCAATCTAATAAAATCCAAGAATTATAGAATTGTTTATAAAAAAAAATGTTTCACACCTTGATCCAAGTGGTTCCATAATTTGACAATGCGACTGCAATTCCAAACGGTGTTCCAGGCAAAGATCGAAAAAAATAGTCGCGATACTCCAGCGTCACTCGCTTATTAGAGTCATAATGAAGCTTTACGGAAACATTTCTCATACTCCCATTTGCGTGGTCCACCAACATTTGTCTCAACTTCAAAATTTCTTGTCCTGGTTGACTGAATGTTAATTAAAATTGAGTGCAAACGGTAGGATCTTCTTTTAATTTTAGTGAAAAAGTATTGTAATTTTCAAAAAAATAATAAATTGAATGATTTAAAAATTTTTTACCGGGGTTCGCTGTCGTCATTGAGAATTTCAACTTCAGTGAGATCGACGCTATTGTAATTGAGTTTAAGATCGCCATTGGAAACTGGACGTAGATCGGGATGTAAAATAACGTATCCATTATTTGATACTATGAAAACGTAACCATTGACGCCCAATTTGAAGGGTAATGTTAATTTGCCAATTTCATCGAGTGGCACATCAGTTCCAGCAACTCCAAGAAGATTTGCTTTTCTTGTGCGATTATTTTTATTCCCCTTCAAGTCAAATACAGGAATACTGACGGACAGTAAAAGTCTATACTCTTGATACAATGTTGAATTTAAATCCGATGGGTTTGCCCTCACGTCCTCTCCCATTTCCATCTACTTGTCAAGGAAAATTAATTTTCAAAATTCAAAACAAGAATTCTAAATAAAGTTTGATAATTAAATTTAAAATACATAAAATGCATAAAATATACAGATTGCATAAAAATACATATGTATGCATAGTTTATGTATAACGCTACTAGATAGTTTTTTTCGCATTCTCTACGGGAAAGCATCGGAACTATTCTACTTGGATGCATTCAATTTACAACGAAAATTGTATTTGATATGTGTACAATACCAAAAATGTAGGTCCGGACTGGATTTTTAGGTTAAAATAAACTGAGCGCGCCGATCATTAAGAGTGGGGGGTACTGGACTGCGATTGGTGCTCCTGCGTTTCCCCCATTCTCTCTCATCAGCGAACGCAATTTTTTTTTTCTAACTAGTGAAAAATCGTCACAAAATCAAAAATTATTGTTATTAAACAGAATCTGTACATTTTTACTCTCAAAGTTCAATTTTCGTCAATTATTAAATTAATAAATAATAAATAAAATAATTAATTAATAAATAATAAAAATTAATCAACAACTAAAATACATCTTTTAACAAATAAACATTAATCAATAAATTCGTCAAATATAAAATAAATAAAATTAGAAAACTATGAAATAATATAAAAAGAATAAGGAAGAAAAACAATACAGGGAATATTGAGAATTAAATTTTACAAAAAAAAGAGAATGGGATCGAGATTATAAGAATTTTCCTGGAAAAGGAGAAAAGAGAAATAGGGGTTTGAAATGATATAAATGAAAAGAAGAATTTACTAAAGAATAGCACAGGTTCAGAGGGTTATTTTAAACCTGTTTAATGTAGATGGTGTCTTCATTAACTCTCACGCCGAGTTCTTTTCCTTTCAGGTGTTTTTGAAGACGGGACTTTTGATCCTCGTGGTCCATTACCAACCAGAGCCACGTGGACAGTGCCGGATTCTAATGAAATTTTCTCACTTTTCAAATAATCAATAGTAGGGAAAAAGTATTTTTTTCGCTTACATTGATAAAAAAGATATATTTTTATTTATTATAAAAAAAAATATTTTTGTTTATTGTAAATAAAAATATATTTTTGTATATGAAATTCTAATCTTTTATACCTTTTTGTAACTAAATTGAATTTTAGTTAAATTCAAACTAAAGTGGAACCATTTTTAAAATAATAAAAAAAATAAGAAGTATTAAAAAAAATTAATTTTTGAATTAAAATTAATTTTTTTATGACAGAGAAATTGAATTATCTTACCGTGACATCTGCATAAACGTGGGTCCATCTTACCGGATGTTCAACCCCTTGGAGAACTAAAGGTCTCGCCACAACGTTTATATATTTTAACACCTGTTCCCGCGATTCCTCTTGATTATGAATGTGAACGTAATAACCTCTATTTAAACACGCCATCCACTGTATTTCTCGTACTTTCGTCACTTCTTTGCCCAAAAGATATGTGAACACCCTCACGGGAATATTTGTACTGTTATCAGCCCAATTCCACGCTTGAAAGATCTTTAGAAAACAGAATTTTGATACTTAATTTTTAAAAAATTAATCTTCTTCAAGAGGAAGCTGTTTTTAGTTAAAAATTATTCGGTTTTGTTCAAATTGAAAAAATTAAGTTCTGAATTTTGAAAAACAGACAGTAAGAGTCATTTTCACTATCTGTTGTTAATTGAAAATGATTCTTACAATTTTCAGTGTTGGGTCCTTTTTAAAATTCAAGATTCAATTATTAAGTATTGCTTCTTCATAAGGAAGCATTTTTAATTATTAGTAGACTGAAATAATTTTGTTTATTGTTAAAGATATGAATGTTTAATAATATTTTGTTGTACCTCAGTAATGTTGCTGGCAATTCCATCTGTGACGAGCATTATTAATTGATTGCATGGTGTCTGGGGTCCACAACCTCGCGTCTCTCGGTAATTCTTTAGAAGAGTGAACGCCTTGATAAATGCTTCCGTTATATTCGCTATTCCATCCGGTTTCATCTCGAGCATAAGTTCATTGTACTTCTTTAAATTTTCTGGCGTTGCTTGAACCAATCGGTCCTTAAAACATCTCACCACGTCTTGCGTTGTATCGGAAAAATTCATAATCGCCACAAAATCATTGTTCGACAATGTCTCCAATAATGACCACACTGTTCTTCTTGCTGAAATGTTTTATTTACGTTTATTTTCTCCTTTGATGTAATTTAATCCTTAATTTCTATTTCTTCTTTTAAGGGACAATTCCACCGACTCTAATTAAAAATTAATGATTAAATCCTCAACTAGATAATAGTGACCATAGTGACCATAGTTTTTTATTAAATTTTAATCAGAATTGGTGAATTTGACCCCAAGTTGTTTATTTGAAATTTTTAAAACTGAGGAATTCTGAATTAAAGATTTTTTTATAGCGAATATTCTAATACCAAAAGTTCTTGGATTTGTTATTGAAATACTGCAAATTTTTATAAATTCTGCAGATTAGTTTTATAAAAGTACCTATCGATTTTCCAATTCCGGTCATGCTTCCGCTATTGTCAACGAGAATGACCATATCTTTACTGCAAGTTGCAGCTTCAATGTACCAACTTCGAATTCGACAATCGTACGGATCAACTCCCAATTGATTTCTATCCTTTGGATTTAAAGTCTTCCATCTCATTGCTGGATATTGTCTTAGCATTCCCGTTGTTGATCCAAAATATTGCCAGGATAACGCGGGATCTGATCTTTAATTTTTAAAAATGTTTTTTGAAGTGATAACGTTCTTCTAATATTTTTATTAAATGAAAAGTCCATTTCATAATTTCTTTTCATGGTAAATAGTTATTTAAAAGTAAAAATACAACAAACCTGTAATTCTGCCTAAAGGTTTCGTCTAATTCTTCAGACCAACTTATGGCTTCAGCGACTGGATGCGATAAATCATAAACATTCGTTGGAATTTGAACGGAAGAATAATTTATGTTTACAGGAATGTTGTAAAAATGGGAATCTGGTGTCAGCGTCATTTCACTGAAAAAAGTATTGTTTTGTTTGTTTTATAAATGAGCCCCCACAACATCTAAACTTGCAGCAACATTAACAACATTCCTTAAATATTGCTGTAAGTTTAGATGATGTATGGGAGAATTAACTAAAATTCTAGAATAAAACTAAAATTCTGGCAATAAGAATTCATATTCTTATTAAATAAAAGATTGTCCTTATTTAAAGTTTAAAAATTAGTTAAAATACTTAGAACGAAACGAATTAAAAACCAAATTGTAAGCACTGGAGTGGCGCTAATGAGAGTAGAAGTATAATAGCTCCAATGTTAATTGAAAAGATGTTAATTTTCTTTCATAAAAATTGAAATAGAAAAGTTCTTTCACTCAAATGTAGACTTCACCTGTAAGTGACGTTTCGTAAATTTTCAGGTAGCAAAACTTCTTCATCGAGTGCCTCACTAAATTTACCACTGACGTAGGTTATATTCTTGTATTCAATAGGCGTCTCATAATTTTCAGATGCACTTTCTGCCGCTTTTAAAATGCAACGTACAGCATCCATTTTTCGATGCAACATCCGGCCGACACTCTCTCTGATTACTTCAATCAATTCATCGCCCGACTTATGAACCACCTTAGTATTCATTTCTTTGTAACGCTGTAAATTTAGAAAAAAAATTACACGCACTGTCTACATTTTTTATCTTAATTGTTGATTATAATAAATATGTATAATAGTTTCTTCAAAACTCACAGCTTTTAAAACATTTGGCTGCGCCACGTTATTGGCCATTTGAAAAATTTCTTGTCCCAATGTATCGGCCCATTGGTCGACACTAAAATAACATTTTTTTTTTACTTTACAATATATTATTATTAAAGTTTATTATTATTTAAGCTCTGAGTAAAAATCGCATCAACTTTGATGCCTCCTTAAAAGATGCTATTAGAATAAATTATTTTAAAATTTTAAAGATATTTCGATAAATATTAATTAATCCTGTTATTTATTCAATATTAATTAAATTAAAAATTTTAAGAAATTAATTACTAATTTTAAAGCAAAAAGTCAGTTAGTAATTCAAATTAGTAAATATTTTTACTTATTCAAATTTAGAAGTAGATACTAAATGTTAGTTTTAGGAACATTGATTTTGAGTAAATAAATAATTAAATTAGATTAAAGAATAATAAATTCTATAATCATGAAAAGAAAATCTAAATATTTGTTAATCTTACATTTGCATATCCCGGGCGACACATGTGCTTGTCACAAGTAAAATAAGCCATTTGGTAATGACTCCACAAAAACACTTCATAATGCACTAAAAATTCACACACCATTCACACATTGACTATAAATGCAAAGTATTCTCATTAAAAATTTTTATTTAACACATTTTATTTGTTGATTTTTCTTTTAAATCGCGTCTTTTTATATTCAGTTTAAAAAAAAGAATTTCTTCTGTTAATGATTAGTAAAACTAAGTTCCGTAGGGAGCACTACATGGCATACAAACTGAAGTCTATGATTATTTTTGGTCCACGAGCCAGTCCGAGATGCTGGAATACCAACAAACTCGCGTATATTTATAAAATCCTTATACCTATTCACGCCATGACAGCCGAATTTTAATTTTCATGTTCTTTTTATTCCCATTTCAATTTTGAGTATTCTTTTTATTTTTATAACATTATTTTTTCTTTCCTCTTTAGAAATGGAGAAGGATTTTTATTTAGTTAATTTATTATTTATCTTAAAACAATTAAAAACTGACGTATTTTATTATTCGATATTAGTCGATAATTTCTACTAATTGATAACGTATTTAAATTGTTAACTGCAATTAATTAATTTTTTACGTAGTTAATTACGTTTGACTTTTAAATAAAATAAATAAAAGATGTTTTTGATTTTTTTCTTATCAAAAAAGAACTTTTTATGACGAAAATAACGTATATTCAAGAATCTTAGTGACGTATTCAATTTAAAGTGCATTACAATAATAGGAAACGTGCTGAGTTTTTTAGCGTCACGAGACCATTAAATTATTCTTTGTCAACAAAATAAACAAAAAACCGTTTTTTTTTCTTTTTTCATAAAAGACAGATTGCATAAAATCAACTTAAAACAATAGTCAGTAGTTTTCTAGATTTAAAGGAAACTGGGAAGTTCTTCTTCAAGTACATATCACCTATTTATTATACTTGAAAGTACATTATATAAAATATAGAAAAAAAATAATTAGACATAGTTTAATTATAGATATTATATTAAATATACTATAAGTTAATTAAAAATTTAAAAATTAGAAAAAAATAAAAAATGAGACTATTGAAAATAATTGAGATAGAGGAGGAAATTTTGGAGGAAATTCGAGAAGAGGATTTATTTATGAAATCGAGTTTAACACCAACAGAATTGTCATTTATTATCTCGACTGATTTTGCAAGTAAGTTTTTCCATTCAGAACAAATATATTTTGCATTCTTAAAATTAACAGTATAATTGATCACGACTTTGAATTTGTCGAAAATTGAAAAAACCATCTAATGTCATATAATGAGAAATGTAGATAGCCTTGTGCTACTATAACTATATGCAATCATGTTTATAGTTCACAACTCTTCTCACATAAAATAATTATTATAATTTGTTTAATACTTTAGCCGAAATACAACAAAAATTCTATTTTTTAAAAGTATTTTTAATATTTTTGTAAAATAGTTAAAAATTCAAAAAAATAGTGGTAGAAAAATTTTTTATTTTATAAAATTTAAATACTACATTGTCAAAGTATTGCCATAAAATTCAAGTAGCAAACGATGATTTATAGTCAAGTTATATTATGTATATATACACGTATGCACATAAACGCCATTAATTCGTATGAAATGACGGATTAACTGTTATATTATTAACTTTAAATAGTAACAATTCATGACCCTATGTGCAGTTCAACGACTTTTCATTATTAGCAAATTATCATTTTCTACATTTCTTACTGGAAAGAAAAATTAACTAATTAAAAAGGTGAGGAAAAAATTAAGGGACTTGGAAACTTTATAGAAAGCATTTCCAACAAATAGCTATGAAACCTGACTAAAAATTGTTCATGATTAATTATTTAAAACAACCCCTAATTGCTTCTTATTTTACTTCTTATTTCCTAAGAAGAATCAGAATCATTTAAATCGATAGCAAAGGATATTTTGGTCTTCTATGAAATTAGATTGTTTCTTTCCATTGCGGAAGCTGGCTGATAATCATTAATTTAAAACAACCCCTAACTGTTGATTCATTAATCTTCCATTTCCTAGAAAAAAAAATGATTAAAAAAATAAACTGAGTAATAAATGTTCTTTTAGTACTTTAATAGTTTTGAATTTTTCGATGTTCGATAAGATTGCATTATCTCTTTTCCACTATGGAAACTGGTTGATAATTATTCTTCATTAATTTAAAACAACCTTTAACGTCTTCTTCTTTTCTACTTTTATCTAAAATAAACAAAATATATTTGTAATAGTTATACAATACAGTTACATAATTTATTATGGAAAATAAAATTATAAATTTGCTTCTTTATTAAAAGTCAGATAATAAATATTGAAAGAAGTATTTCTTTGAGACAGTATAATATCATAATTAAATAATAAAATTTGGTCAAATGAAAAGTGAAAGAGAAGAGATTTTTTTGTAAGGTCGTACAGTCAAAGTATAAGTTCAAGGGTTCAGTGCAAGTTCATGCAGGCAGAGAAGGTACATAATTAGAAAAAAAGAGGATGTGTTTATCGATATTAATGTTTCCCACCACGTATTGCGTTCACTCATAGTATACAGTGTTTGCTCGGGCTAGATGTCATTTATGAAGATGGTATATAGCAACAGTCATGAAGTGACAGCATTGGCATTAAGTACCTGGCAGCAAGCATAGAAAAAAGTGAGAAATCAATTAAATTCTTTTCCTTACGTTTTGTGTCTTTTTTATTTTCAATTAATATTAGAAAGCAAAAGTATTTCTAATCTCAAAAAAGTAAACAAAAATTTTTAATTTCTAAAATTTAACGCTTACCATATCACTACACTTTAAATTAATATTAGAAAACAAAAATACTATTAATCTCAAAAAAGTGGACAAAAAATTTTAATTTCGGAAAATTAAGGCTTAACATACCACTACACTTTAAATTAATATTGGAAAAGAAAAATATTTTTAATCTCAAAGAAGTAAACAAATTTTTTATTTTCTAAAAAAGTAATGCTTATCACGCTATAAATATAAAGCAGCTTATAATTGATAGATAGTTTTATCTAAACTATTAAATTTATATTAAAGGTGGAAGAAGTTAATTTAATCTTTAATATAATTACTACTGAATGATAAATTCCTTTCCTTTAATTATTAAATTTATAATTGTATCAATGAGAAATTGAAATTTAGAACAAAAATTAAATTCTAAAATAATATATTTTCGTTACGAATTTTTAATTGATTAAGAGATAAAAATAATTTCCAAGTAAGTTAACAATTTTTTTTTGTCATAGACCTTATTTTTAAAAACAGAAATACTGTTAATAAATAAACATTCAAATAAATTCTTTAAGTAAAATACATGAATAATCGTATTGTGTTTCTAAAGAAAAATACAGGTTTTTAATTTAAACTTACGATTAGATAATAATAAGTGCTATTTAAAAAAATTATTTCACCTGTGAAATCTATTTTTTTATTGACAAGTGGAACGTTCTTTTATTGTCATCATAAAGTGATATTTTTATGTATCTTTTACCAAATTTTTTATTTACAGCAAAATTATAATTTAACGAAATTCATTCATGAAACGGTTATTCCCACAATAATGTGAAACAAATAGAAAATCAAGCTACAATTTAATAACCCATTCAATAATAAAATATAAAATTTATTTACTGTATACTTCAAAAAAATATTATTTAATAATAATTTACTTATTTATATTACTTCAAATTAATAATAACATTAATATAATTAATAATTTTAATAATGATAATAATAATAATAATAATAATAATAATAATAATAATAATAATAATAATAATAATAATATAATTATAAAAAAACTGCTCAACAAACAAATATTAAATAATAATAAATAATAAGTTATGAAAATAATAAATTAATAAATGAGAATAATATTGATAATATTAACAAGAACAGTAACAACAATTAAGAAAAATCAGAAATAATCTGTAGATTGATTAAAATCAGATTAATAAAAATATCGCACGAAAGAAGATATTGAAAATCAATAATAATTGTCACCAATCAAGTGATAAAATCAAATTATCAGCCGAAGGGAAAGAAAGAAAAAAATGATAATGAATAATAAATTATGTGAAGCTAATTGACGCGACCTCTGATTAATAAATGATGTATTTAATCGAGTGTCGTGTGAACTTTAGTTGAGGACCACGGAGGTTAATTAGTTCAGGTTACACTCCAACACATCGTATAGTCATTATGCTATTAACGAAACAGAAGAACAATTATTTGGTCAATGGCTATCAAAAGAATTTTTTCCATTCAATTTTTTCTATTCTTCTTCTTCTTCATCATTTAAAATGGAAATAAAAATTATTTTCTTTTTTATTCTAATATATAACCTTCATAATATTTATTTCACTTTTATTATCAATATTATTATTTTTGTTTTCGGAAAAAAAAAATATTTTATAACAAATTAATATTTATCATTATTTTATAGAACAAGAAATAAAAGTTAAAATATATTAAACAAAATTGATGTGGTCTGATAAGGTTCAATTGGTCATAACTGTCTTCTAAATTTTTTAACCCACGCTCACACACACAATGTATCATTTTACTATGTCTCGAAAATTATTTATAAATGAAATGAGGAAGAAGCTTTTAGTTTTATTTTATTTCAACTGTAATTATGTATTCAAAAATGGCAAATTTTTAGTTTTAAAATTTATTTAATTGTGGTTATTAAATTAATACTTGGATTTTATCTAGATTTCAATAATATAAAAATTTACTATTTTAATTTTTAAAAATTTGAAAAAAAAATTTTTAATTTAATTTTTTGGTGTTAAGCTTTTAGTATAGGAAAATAATGATTGCGAAGAACGTAGTTCGGTTTATAATACATTAAAAAAATAGTACTGAATATTTTGGGTGTTATTGGGAGATTTTTTGTATTCTACTATGGAAGCCAGTTGATAATTATTCATCATTAAATATAAATAACATTTAATTGTTGCTTCTTTTTCTAATTTCTGTATTTTTTTCCACTGCGAAAGCTGACTGATCTTAATTATTCATTATTAATTTAAAACAACCCCTAACAGCTGCTTCATCTTTCTTCTTATTTCCTGGAAAAAAACAAAATGTTTTATTGACGAAAAAATAGTTTGATATTAAATATTTCTATTCACTATTAATATTTATTAACTATTATATAATTTCTAATAAAGAATATAAATAAATATAAAAAAATTACAAACAAAATAAGTAAATATATATTTATAAATATAATATCAATAAATTAATGTTCATATAAATATAAATAATATTTACATAGACATAAAAAATATTCCTTTTTAATGTTTGAAAAACATTTTAATTTCCCGGCTCAACATTAGGCGCGCATGAGCATTAGGAGGATAACATTAAACAGCTGATTTCTGTCAGTTCTGCTAGTTAAACGTGTTGTTGTCGTCATCACTCATTACGTTCACTAATTTTGTAATATTGTATTAATCCATTTTCGATGAATTTTTTCATTATTACGTGTATGTGTATGTGTGTTTATCACATAAAATATGCGTAATCGAATTTCTTTCATTTGCGGAATTTCCTGAATCAGAATTAATTACGTTATATCAATAAAAATGGTGCTGTTTACCTTTAGGGGATTTCCAACAATTAATCGATTGTTGTTCTTTTTTGGACAATGTTTCACGTGTAAGTTATAACCTCAAAAAAATTTAATTTATAAAATCTATTCTTTAAAATACAAAAATTGTTTCTTTTATTTTTTTGTCGACTAAAATAAAGTTAATTTAAATAAAATTTTTGTTCAAGACTAGTACTATGGAAATAGAAAAATAATTACTGTATAGTAAAAATGCCCTAACATAGATTTTAAGAAATTTCAATTTCGTTTCAGTTTAATTAATAAAATTAATATAATAATTAGTAAATATTGTATAAGTATTAATATTATATTAATATATTATAATTATAAGGTAGAAATATATACGTACATGCTTGTTAGTTTAGAGGAGGGAGGGGAGAATATATTTAATTTTTGAGTGAATTTAACGTATCTTTTTGTTTATAAAAAGTTAGGTAAAAATTTAAATCTTTTTTGTGAAAGGGAAAAAATAAACTTAACTATACAGAGGTACACAAATTGTTGGTCTTTCCAAGGAAATTGCGCGCGCCACGTTCACTCATAGATTTGAAATGTTGGGGATAATTGTCGTTTATTAGTCCGTGTGCTCAAGATTGCTCGTGCGGAAGCAACGAAAAAGAAATCTCAGGTAAAAACTTGAAACTACAAGTTTATGAAAATATTTAACTTAAAATTTCAAAGTCCCTTAAGAATCTATTGTATTTTTATTTTATAGTTTTTTTCTCCTCAATAATTTTCAGTCAAATTTGTAAATGTTTTCGTCACCGCGTTTCCATAGCGTCCAAAATCAATTATTTTTCAGAATTCTTATTTACTACTCGTTAAAGGTATATTTGAAACTAATACTTCAAAAATAATTAAAATTAAATAATAGTTACTTCTTTTATTTTTCTAATTTAAAAATTTCTTCTTGAAATGAAATAATTTTGAGTAATTACTATTTTCTGAATTGGTAAATAATTAGTAATTAAGTAAGTAATTATGGTCGGGAAATTATATTTTAACTAAGAAATAGAAAAAGTAATAAAACCAATTTTGAATTAAATTTAAACGTTTTGAATAATTTTTTCTTATGTATAGTTTAACCTTAATTGAGGAGAAACATTTTTCTCACCCTGTAATTGGATTTCGCTAAAAGTATTAGTTTCGAATATTACGGTAAATAATTCAAGGCAAATAAAATATGTCTTGTTTATAGATATTGGAAAAATAAATTAAAATTAATATTTATTTAAAAGTTAAAAAATAAAATCGAAATTTAGACAATTTAAATGTTATTTGCATCAAGCTATTTCTGACATTCTGTCCTAATTTTACGATTACTCGAAACTTGCAAACATTTTTATAAAAAACTTTATGTATATCAAAATTTTTGTAAGTGTAAGTAATTTTAATAAGAACAATATTTTCAAAATTGTAATGCTTATATGTTAACGTAATTTTTTAATTATTATTAAGATAAAATTTTTGAATTGTTATTAAGAAAAAATGTTTGTTTCAACAGAATTTTAAATAAAATGTACTTTGACTGAAGAGGACACCGACGTCGGTGTTAAAACGTCTCAATTTAATAAATAAGAATGATTCAAAAAATCTTGAGTTTAATTAAAAATTTTATTAAAAGTTAGAAAAAAAATTGTTTTTAAATTTGGAGGAAAGCGAGTCAAGTTTCCGGATTCCATGCAAAAGGCTATTTTTTAAGGTTATGTAATCAAGGCGTTACAACAAACTTAAAATTAATATTTAAATAACTTACGTGAAGTAGATTAAAGATGCCGGTGGTTGATCCTCTTCCAGAAAAATTAAAATGCCCCATTAACCTTTGTTTTCAGGAAGCTTGAGACAAGCTTACATGTTAATTGGGTGCATTTTAAATATTGTTACGATTTAGTTTTCTAAAGAACCCTTTCTATTGATTATCTCTCTTCAGCTCCTGAAACAAAAAGAAAAATGAATTTAGTGTTATTCGAAAGGTTTATAATCGCAGTGGCCAGTCAAAAATCCGCTTCTAAAGAGATTATTGATTTTGTTATCGATTGATTTTGTTAGAATTTGAATTTTTTCCAAAGTGAACCGAGTTACAGGTATAGAAATATCTACAGCAATAATAATTATTTCGTTTGCAGGTCGACGAGCAATGGTCAACAAACTCTGGCATCGAGTCTCACGAAAATGGTCACGTTTAAAGCCCGAACCGCCGCACGCTCGTCTTTTCTCCGAATGCCGGTATCAGGAGGAAGTTCGTCCATGGTATCTGTACTATCGATGGTTGATGTTCCTCGCATGGACGGCGATAATCGTCTGCTCGATATTTGAGCTCGGTAGCTATCAACCGCACGGCAATAATCATCTCTGGGGTATTTATCTGACAAATTGGGATTTAGTTTTTGGATTGTCACAATCATTCTTCGGTGCCTTGATAGTAACACGACGATGGAAATTGCAAAAATGTTGCAATTTCGATGCAACAAGTCTCGAATTAAGTCCATTGTTGAGAATCTATTGGTTCCTCTATGTGGTCACGTGTACACTGGCATTGAGTGTGACAATTATTTACTGGAGTGTTGTCTACAATCCAAATATTCACTCGGTCGATTTTCTCAATATACTTTTGCATGTGTTTAACAGTATTCTAATGATTATCGATATGTGTATGGTGAAAATTCCAATATTTTTGTTTAGCGTCTGGTGGTGTTTGATTGTGGCGTTGCTCTATGTTTTGTTCTCAGTTATTTATTACGCTGCCGGCGGTGTCGATAAATTAGGGAATCATTTTATTTACGCGATACTCGATTGGAAGAGACCAATGAGAACATTGATTGTCTGCTTGGCGGTTATGACTTTTTTGTTAATTGTTCATGGTGTGTTTTGTCTTCTTGCAAAATTAGCCGATCGTGGTTGTACTCGACGGAAGACTATTGATATTACAAAGACAATTTCAACGAAAAGTGTAGAAGTCATTGTCTGAAACGTTACTTTCAGTATTATTTTAAATGAATTCAAGAGAGAATATTCTTACCATTTAGGTAAATTTAAACATTTAGAGAAAATTTTGGTATTTATATTTCTCGATTGAAAAATTTATTCTTGTGAAGCAAAAGTCCTTTATCGATATATTTTAAGAAAAAAGTACAAGTATTGTTGATCTTTTTTTAATCTATACCGATAAAAGTATTTTTTTCAAGTTATGTTTTTATTCTTTAGTATTGTTGACGAAAAAATTTGATGAAAGCGATGTGTTCAGACATTTCTTCTGCTCAAGATTATATTTTATAATTATGTATATTCTATATACTAAAAAGACTGTCTCAAGTTGCTTTTATTGCATCTTGATAATTAGGAATACATAACATGTAAAATATGTGAATCATAAAGATTTATATATTTATAACATTCCATGTTTTTAATTAATAATAACAATGTCCATGTCAGCGATTTTGAGCGTTTTTTTTATTTTTTTTATTAAAACAAAGTGATACCTCTCTAATTTTTTAAGTAGTTAATAGTCTTTTTTGATAAAAAAAAAAGTTTTGCATACGCAAGTCGAATATTATAAATGTAATCTAACAAAAAGAATCATATTGTTTTATAGTGAAAAAATTGTGTATGTGAAATAGAAATAAAAAAATTTTTTTAAATATTAAAACTATGTTATTAAGTGTAAATTTTAGGGAATTATTGGAATTTGGATCTGGGTGGAAATTATTCATCATTAAGTAAAAATACCCTTAACTGCTGATTTTAGACGAAACCTGTAAAAAATTATTTAAAAAATTTAGATTCCGTTATAACTGTTGTAAATTTTCAATCTTTAGATCATTTTTTCTTCTGTCTAAAGAAATATTTTTGAAAATATGACGCACACGAGGAAGGCAATTAACAGAAAGAAAAATTCCTTAAGCATGCGTTAGATTCCCGGTATAATTATATGAATTAATTATCAGCAATATAAATTTCTAAACATGTAATAGGTTATTACATAAAAAAGACAACGTAATTTCATAGAAAAATATCAACATTTTGTTTTTTATTAATAAAATAACGATTTAAAACGATAATGAGATGTACACATGTGTGGTGTTTTTTCTTATAGGCTCAGTAGTCAAAAGCCTTCGGATCACAGATCATTTTAAAATCTATTGAAAGATCTAAATCCTATAATTGAAGTCTTGTGGATTTTTCCTCAAGCAAATTCGAAAGAAACAAAAAGAAAAAAATTTTAAATCACTTTGAAATTAAAAATGAATTTAAAATCATAATTTGAAAATTAACAATTAAATGTAAATATTTAACGTAGCTTACATTTTTTTAAAGTTGAACAATTTCATACACAAACACACAATTTCAAGTAGAAATAATTTTCACATCAGAAAAACAAATTCAAATATCTTCAAAAATTAATTAAATTTACGTTAACGATAATTAACAATTAATTGACATAATAAATAACAATTAAACATTTTTATATTTTTTTTCTGAGGAAAAATCCTTTACTTTCTCCTGTTCTCAATTTTGCCACATTATAATTCTAAAATTATTCTCTGCTCATTGAAAAATTTTTAAATTAAAAACAAGCATTGAGTCTTCTGCGCCACAATCAAAATATTAATAATATAAATGAATTACACAAAAAATCCTATGAGGATGCAAATAGAAGTAATTTTTCTTCCTTTTTTTGAGATCAAAAACAATTTTTTATGAACAAAGAAACTAGATTAAATATTAAAGAACTTAATATTTTTACGTAATAGCTAAAATCACAGAAATCTCTCTCTCTTTAAACTTACGTAATTGTGTGATCAATTTCTTTTTTTTTCGTCGTTTTACTCAAAATTATTGAATTACGCAATAGTAAAAAAGATTGTTTACATAATAGACAATGTTTTTTTTTCTCATCATAAATTCTTGTAAAATATGTAAATTTGATATTCTTTAAATGTCCAATATTTTCGAAATAGAATGCGCAGATGACTTTGTCGACATTTATATATTTTTTTTTATATATATATGCTACCTAAATAAGTTTCTAACTATAAAATATCTAATAATTGATAATTTTAATTACCAAAAACAAGAAAAAAAAACTAAAATTCCCGACACAAAAGAAAAAGAAAAAATTATCGAACAAATTTGATTTGTCACGATTTGAATTTTTTCCCCCCGTCGTATAATATGCATTCTTTTTTATCACGAAGAGAATTATTTATGATTAATTTTTTTCTATATATAGTTTTTATATATATAGTAAAAATTAATGAACTTATTATCTAATAAAGCATTAAAATACATTATTCTTATTTAACATGAAACTTTAAAATATACAATTGACTCTAAATTGTCTTTGCAATTTAATTGAGTTGAATTATTAAAAAAAAAAATCTTGTCAATTTTTATTGAAGTTTTGAATCGCGTAAAAAATAAGAATATGACTCGTTATTGTTTTCAATATAGGAAAAATACAACAGTTTGCGTTAATGTTTCTTTTCGATAAAAGTTATTTAGTTTTTAGGGTATTTTCAACCTTTGAAGAGGTTTTAAGTTTTTTAATTACGAAAAAATATTATTGATAAAGAAAAAAATTTTCTTATTAGTAAAATAATTTTTATAGAAAATACTTTACTTGTTTTTATCAATTTGTTTGATAAAGTTGTTAGTTTGCAGTTCTGTTTCTTTTCTTCTTCTTTTTAAATGACTTGTGGTACTGCGTCAGGGTTGGGAAGTTTTCTTTAGTGAAAAAAGGTTTCAACAGAATGAAGTTGGCTACGGAAGGGAGAACGAGATAGAAAAGGACAGAGAATACCTGTCCTTTTCTGTCTCATAGCTCGTTTCCTAGAATTTAAGGCCGACGGACAATAGATTTTTAAACTGGAGGTAAAAAGAAGAAAAAGAATATAAAAACAAGTGAAGTTTCAGTAACCAAAGAAACTAATTTAAACGATATCACGCAAATTGATTGTATTCTCCGCAGTGACTGGATCTAGTAAAAGTACCTGACACTCGTCCTGAAAGTACATCGAGGGTATGTCCTCAGTGAAGAGAAAACCTTCACCGAGATCGGACGATCCCAAAATAACGTCCTGTGCGCCAACAACGGCCGTCTCTTCACTCTCGGCATTTTGTTCCTTCAATTTAAAAACGTCCGCATAAGTTAGACCGGTCCTCGCCGAACCCTGATTATTGCGTCGTTGATTTTCAATTTTACGCTTCAGCACCGAAGCGCCGCCAACTTTCAAACTGTCCGTCTCATTGAGAATGTCGTTATTCTCTGACGAGCTGAAAACAACGGCGTCACATGGCGCGACCATGATCATTTGATCATTATTCGGCTGCGACATTGAATAGGGCGTGTAGACAATGAAATCGGCATTATTTGAATCGGCAACATTCTCAGGCAACTCGACTCTAGCGACATCGTCCTCGAGAATCGATGAACCGTGCATTTTTTGTACGTGAGCGCGAAGAGATGATTTTGTCGTGTAACTTCTTGTGCACGTCTCCACGGGACATGGAAGTGAATTTTTTGCTACAATTGCTTCTGTATTTGGCTCAATGTGTAAAGTTGTGTCCGTAGAGCCGAAAATTTCGCGACTTATTATTTCCGTTTGTAATTCGGTCTCGAGATCGAGATCATCATTTTGTTGATTCGCTTCGGATGATAGAAAATCGCCCGGCGGACTCTCGCCTGAGGCGATTAATTTACTTGAATCGACTTTTGAATGGTGTTTCTTGATGTGAACGTAGAGACTGCTCTTTGCTGAGAAGCGTGAATTGCACACGTAGCATTGGAAATATCTCTCCAAAGAATGGGTTAATCTGTGAACAAAAGATTTTTTTCTACTTAAAATCGGAAGAATTTTGACTTAACTCAGGGAAAGTTGAATTAGTCAGGGATATCAAGGAATTCAGGAAAAAGTCAGGAAAAGTAGAATCTAAAAAAAAAATTCTAAAATTCAGAGAAAGGAGGAAAAAACGAACCTGTGCTCTTTGAGATGTTCCGATCGCATGAAAGCCTTTCCACAGGACGCGACTTCACAAACGAATTTCCTATCGTTCGTGTGCTTCTTCTGATGTCGTTTTAATTTACTCGAAGAGGCGAAGGCCCACTGGCAACCGGGAAAGGTGCACGAATAGGGCTTGCAACCGGTGTGAGAGCGTGTGTGCGCCTTGAGACGACAGGGTTTATCGAAAACCTTACCGCAACCTGGCCATGAACATTTGATGTCCGTCTCCTTGTAACTGTGGCAGCGTTGATGCGAGGACAGTGCATTGCTGCTGTAATAACGCTTACCGCAACCCTCGTGTTTACATTGATATGGCGCGTGTCGTTGATCGTGTGACTTCATGTGAATTTCAAGGGCACGTTTCGTTTGAAATTTCTCATCACACTCAGGCACATGACAAATAATTCTATTCGGTCGTTCGTGCAATTTTTTGTGACTCCAAAGATTGTAGATTGTCGTGAATCGCCGTTGACAATCGGCCTCCTCACAAACGTAATCCTTCTTTTTCAGATGCGTCTCTCTGTGTCGTTTTAATTTGAATTCGGAGTAGAAGGCCCAGGAGCATCCCTCAAAGTCACACTGAAAACGTCAATTATTAATTTAGAAACTTTCAATTTTCAATAAAATTTCTCCAAAGAATTCAATTATTCTCAAATTTTTTTTTATAAATTTCTTGTCAAGACTTCAATTATTTTAACATTCTTTGCAAGAATTAAATTATTTTCAATACAATTTTAATAAAATATTTAAATTCAATTATTCTTGAATATTATGATAAATATCTTTGCAGAATTTCAATTATTTTTAATTTGAAGCATGAAATCTATTATTTTTAACAAAATTTCTCGAAATAATTCAAATATTCTTAAAAAATTTTATAAATTTCTTGTCAATTTCAATTATTTTAACATTCTTTGCAAGAATTCAATTATTTTCAATTCAATTTTAATAAAATATCTGAATTCACTTATTCATACAAATTTTGCTAAATTTCTTTACAGAATTTCTATTATTTTGAATCTTCCCCATTAATTCAATTATATTCAATAAAATTTCTCGAAATAATTAAATTATTCTTAAAATTTTTTATAAATTTCTTGTCAACATTTCAATGTATTTTAAAATACTTTGCAAAAATTCCTCGAAAAATGTAATTATTCTTAAAAATTTTATTAAAATTCGTCGAAAGAATTCAATTATTTAATTTGTTGGTAAAATTCTTTATGATAATTTAATTTTTGAGAAACTTTAATTATTATAATTTGTTGAATTTCAAAAAGGTTTGAATTTTAATCTTTTAAAGAGTTTTAATTTCTATGGAAAAATAATAATTATTAAATTTTTTTTTTAATGAAAATATTGATGTTTTCGAATAATTTTACTTTTGAAGAAATTCGTAAATAAATGTAATATAAAATTCTTTTTGAGTATCTAATAATTTTTAGAGTGAATCAGAATATTCTTTAGGGTCAGGGAAAAAGAAAATTAAATTTTTATGTCAATTCTGTAGTAGTAAATAATACCTTGAATGGTCTCACTCCGTAGTGAGTCAGTAAATGACTCTTGAGGGCATAAAGACGATTGAAATAACGATGGCACTCTTTTTTGGGACAAATCCAAGTTTTTCCTTGATCAGCAATTGACACTGGCTGCAGCATATCATCAGTAATACCCAAATCCTCAAGTGCACTCGTTATTAGAATATCATGTTTATTGATTGTCATATTCTCAGCATCATTCTCAATCCCTGCTCCTTGCCACATATTCTGTGCGTCAATTGTCGAAAAATTTCCAGTCGCCTCAATTAATTCCGACGTTTTACCCTGATAAATCTGCTCCTCAGTGCCATTATTAATGACAATTTGTGTTAAATTTGAAATTTTATCTGTCGATATTGCAACAACTGCCATAACACCATCCGACGTGTCAACCATTGCATCGTCCCTCAAAACAACTTGCATGTCGGAAATTTTTTTCATCATATTATTAACATCTCGTGTCTTGAAATTTGCCTTTGGATCAATTTCCGAATCGGTGAATTCATTAAGATCGATACTCTTCAATTCGGTGAGATAATTCTCCGGATTATTGACAACATTTTTCGTTAATGATTCGAGATTTGTGTTGTCGAAATCGCGAGTATGGCATTGTGTGGCTTTATCGCAAAGATCGTGATCGGCGTTTAGTGAATTGGTTTGTTGTTGTTGTTGGACTGGTAAACATGAATCGTGGGTGACATTTAATGCACTGGTCGAGGGTAGAATTTCACCAGCCACCATCATATCGGGTGTGAGTTCCAGTGGATCGAGGGCAAATTCAGGTAAAATGAATTCGTCATCTTTTGTGCATGTGTCCAATAATTTATCGTTTTGAAGTTCATGAAGTATTGGATCGTACGAGAGGGAATTTGAATCCTTCTCGAGAAAATTGTGCGACAATTCATCGGCCAAGTAGCTTGGCATATTTTTCATGCCCTCGAGATCGATGCTCGATACGGAATCAGTTCGGACTTTAAACCACTGTTCAATATTTGCGTCACCGGTCCTTTCCATTGAGTCCATACTTTGCGTTCCCGTGCTATCTTCATTTATCTAGAGAAGAAAAAATGCAAATTTTACTCAATTTCATTATATTTTTGGAAATTTTTTCGTATTTGCAAATTTTCAGTGTAAAAAATTCTTTCCCTGTTCATTTGAGTTCATTTTACAATAAAAAATGATACAATTTTTAATTCAAAAATATTTCCTTTCTACGTGTGAAGTGGTCGAGTTGGAAAAGTTAATGACTGCGAAATTTATCCTTAGGGTTCGATTCTCCTTGATGGCAATTTTTTTCTTGTTAAATTATTAATATATAATTGAAATAATTGAAATTTTGCGAATAATTTAATTATAATTTTTGAATATAGTTGAATTCTTTAAAGAAATTTGTATTTAAAATTCTAAAAAACTAATTTCTAGAATCTATAAAATGAAATTTAATTTTTCAAAAATGTTATTAAAAAATTGATACAATTAAATTTTTATAAACAAATTGTATCATTTTCTAATTTTTATACAATATTTTAATATTTTACAAGAAATTTTAGATTTTACAGACAATTTGAGAAATAATTGAGTTTTTTCGTGAAATTGTATTAAAATTTTCTTAAAAATATTTAAATTTTTGCAGAATTTTTTATTATAATTATAAAAATAATTGAATTCTTCCGAAGTATGTTATTATTTATGAAAATATTTGAATTTATTATAATAGTTGCTTAAAAAATTTACAATTGATTTCTTAAATACAATTTAATAATTTTATTAATAATCATACAATTAAAAAATAAGTTTTTAGTGTTTTTTATTAACAATAAATCTATATATGGAAAACATTTTAATTTATTAATTTTTAATCGAAGAAATAAAACTTATTCATTGAAAACCAAAAGTTAGGAACACACAACTTGGAACCTTTCGCTTTGTCTCAGCTTTAGAATTTAAGGAAAAAAAAACTCCAAAAAATTGAACTATTTTAGACTCTCGAATTCCGTAGAAAACAAAGAAAGACAAGAGAGAAAATCGTAAAATGAAAAAAAGTACTTAAAATGTTGATAATATTTTTATGAAAAGAGAAATTATTGTGGGAGAAAATAAATGAAAACAAAAAAAAAAAAAAAAAATACCTGACAGCTCTCGTCGTTCCACGTTTTCTCAATAAATTCCTTATTAACCATTGTCGATCGACTTGATACTTCTTTTTTCTCATTTTCTTGTTGCACATGATAATAATCGAACGATGGTCCTGGAATAAGATCATAATGTGCTTGATCGACTGATTGTTCACGTAGTGAAATACCGTCCTCGGGAATCAATGAGGTTAACCAGGAACGAGCATTTGTTGCTGTTCGTTGACGTTGAAATATCCGCGGAATTTGTTTTGATCTATAAACCGATGTTGTTCCTTTACGAGACATTTGCGTCTCTCACGCACAAATAGACGAGAAAAAAAAATTTACTCACTATTTTAATTTTGTATTTATTTTTTGTTGAAATTCACAGCAAATTCATATTCAACTTTTTTTTCGTATCGCCAGAGAGACACATAACCTAAAAAATTGCCAATCGCAGAAATTTTCCGGGAATAAACAAAGGGGGGAGAATATTCTCTCCCTTCCTCAAGTGTTAACGTTTGTCGATAAGGTAGATTTCTCTATAAGCTGAATTTTTAATTCAAAAAATATTTCTGCCATTTTTAATCTACTAGTAATTAATTAGTAAAAATTGTATGAATTAGTGATAGTAACTTAACTCTAAGGGAACTTTTCATTCTTTTCTTATTTTTAGAACGAGTTTCTTTTTTTTAAAGAGAATACGAATTAAAAAGAGCGCCTTGTTAGAATTGCGCCTGCACAATATCTATTTACACGCAATTTTGTATTCATTATTCTTCCTTATCAAATTAATTACATATATATTTATTTTTTAATTAATTTAATTTAATTTTTAATTTTAATTATTATGATTAAAATTATAATAATTTAATAAATTATAATAAATTTAAATAATTTAAATAATTATTATAATTAAAAAAAATAAAATTATAATAATAGGTATAATATTAGTTTTACGTCCATCCAATAATAAATTTTCTGTAAAAATTATTTAAATTATTTAAATAATATAACAATTATAAGTTGGTTTTTTAGTTAATTTAGTTAGTTAATTAGTTAATAACTAATATAAAAATATAAAATGCAGTCAAAAATTTTATTTTATTATTCGGAATAAATACTTTGAGATTTTTATTGAATTATTTAATTGGTTTGTACACTCCCTCTCTTCCGGAAGTGAGAATTTTTAATCTCTCCGTCCTTGATAATTTTTTACGTCCCTTACAAGTGTTGGCGAAACTTTCGTCCTCTGAACTCGAAGGACATGGTGAAAATTTTTTTGGCTTCTCAGCGTCAGGTTCAATATTTTTCGTACTAAATGATGGCATTCCACTGGGATAGAAATTTTTATTAATTGGACGCAGGACGTCTTCAACTTTTTTTCCACCTTCGCATGTAAAAGGATTTCTCAAACGTTCCTTAGGTCGAAATTCCATATAAGGAATCCAAAACGGTTCTGGTTCAGTGCACCTAAATTATATTTATTAACTTTAATTTATTTTATTAATTTAAAAAAAAAATATTTTAATTATTATATATTTTTAACAAATGGTTTAATTACTGTATTACCTTAAAATAAGGAATATTAAATTAATATTTAAATTATTTATTTATAATATAATAAATAATTAAACTTTAAATCTATTAAATTAAAATCAAATAAATTATATTTTAAATAAATAATATTAATAATTATGATTGTTATTCTTAGGTATTATTATTAATATTATCATTATTATTATCTATTAAAAAATGGTAATAAAATAAATTAAAAATAATAATTATTTCTATTACTATTTTCATTATTTTTACAAATATCATTTTAATCATTATTTTTATTTTTGATAATATTTAATTTATTTTTAAATAATGTTTATTGTTTTAAAATTCTGAGAAAATTTTAAAACGTCAAGATTCGATCTCGCGATTGCTGAATACAACAGTCGAGCACTTTACCACTAGGCTAATTGGAATTTTTTCTATTGTTTTTATTTTATTTTTTTTTAAATTCGTTAAGTAGAAAAATAGAATAAAATTTTAGTGAAATGCATAAATAAAATAAGAAAACTGACTTTATTTTACAATTATCTCCCTTCGATGGCAGTGGAATATGAACACAAGTGTGACCTCCAATTGCAGTCGCAATTCTTGAACTTAAAACTGCTGTGGGAATTTTATAAGGTGGAGGTGGTTTGGGTTGGGGTTCGCGTTCAGTGCAAATATTCGACAATTGTCTTTTATGTTCGCTAAATAAATGAATATCTTTCTTTGTATAACGAGGATCAGTTAATCTCGGATCTGCTTCTTCACTAAAAATTAATTAGAAAATTATTTATTATAATTTTACTATTAGTATTCTAATAGTTATGATATTATAAAATTATTACTTTTTTGGTAAATTATGACATTAAAATACTTATAAAATGATTTATCAATTTTATGATTTAGTTTAAAAAAATATTAAAGAAATATTAAAAATAATGAACAATTTTATTATTTATAGTTTATTGGTTATATGTTAGCTAATTTTTATATATCACAAAAATGTTTTGCTAACTTTAATTTTTTGTCGCATATATATTCCGATTTACGATTAGAACAATCATTGGGAAGTGATTTTAATTTCGGTTCCCCGAATAAATAATCCCAAAACGATTCATGTGGCTTGCAAATTTTTTCCTTTTTTTTCTTATTTAAATCTGATTGAATGTTTTAAAAATGCGATTAAATACAATTTAAAATTATTTAAAAATAATTTTAATTGTAATTTATTAGTTGTTATTTTTCAATATTATTTTAATCATAATTTTTTTAACTGTCAAATTAGAAAATTAACCTTCACAGTACTTTGAAGAATGTACACAGGGATTATCAAGTGGTCTAATTGAATTGTAGTCACTTTTTGAAATTGGTTCTGACTTTTGCTTTTTATTCCAAAAATATTTTAAATCTCTCTTTGCAAATTGAGCACAAGAATTTTGTCTTGTTTCTAAAAATTCTCCATATTGAAAATTATTCTGAAATTAAAAACAATTTTCATTTTTTTTATAAAAAATATATTTCCAAATTGGTAAAAAAAAGTATAAGGGAATAATAAAAATTGTACTCATTTTACCTTAAATGAATTCATACCAAAAATTTGGAATTTGTTCCGAAAGAGAGCCATGATTACTTTGTCATGTTGTCAACTCTGAAATTATCTCCTAAACAAAATTATTTTGCCAATCGAATTCAATATTTCTACTGCTACAAGATTAATTAAAAGATTTAATTAAACTTTTGATTATATAATTAATAACTATCGAATTATGGAAAACTAATGTATTTAATTATTTATTAAATTATTAATTAAATTGAACATTTCCTTTACTGAAAATAAATTTTTTAATTAAATTACCTTTTTTATTTTAGGTAATTTTTATTATGATTAAAATTAAACTTATTTTAAATTTAAATTATTTAGATTAAAATTTTTGTTATTTAATTCAATTCTAATTTTTTTATTAACTTAATATACTTGTCAATTTTACTAATTATTTAATTTCTTAATTAGTTATACAAAAATACTGAATAATTTCAATATTACTTAATAAATTTTTTTCTTTACAATAATTTTATATTCTTGAAATAATTAAAAAAATTAGAATAGTTAATTAATACAATTTATTAATAATTAATTCATTACGATATTCAAATGATAATATTTAATTATAATTCAATTTCACTTTTATTATTCATCGACAGTTCATAATTGTCATAATAAATAATAAAATACAGACATATAATAAAACACAAATTACTTTTTGAATACCAAATAGACATGATACAAACATTCAAGAAAATGTAAATATCCCGAGAAAATAAGAAATTTCAATTTCAATCTGAGTATAGGAATATTATTTGAAATAGACTCGGCTTGTGCAAATTCAGTAATTATCCAATTGAGGATGCACTCGCGCGCGCGACCGGAAACTACAGATACAGGAAACGTTACCGGATTATTCAATATATATATACAAGTGTGTATATATATGTATATATTTCGATAGTGGACCTGTGAGCAAGGGAGAGTGAGGTAAGGGCTGCGGATGAAACGTAGGCAACCGGTGCAGATTGATTCAGGCCGGCTTTACATTGGCGTCTATACATAAATCTCTTTTCCATCCCCCTTCTCTTGAAACGAATTACAGCAATGTGTATCTCTCAATTTTTATTGGTAAAATTTAAAAAAAGAAACCCAAAAAAAATTATTTGAAAAAAATTAATTGCAGTACTTTTAAATTCAAATTGTAGATACGAGAAATGAAATTGTAGTGAGTTTTTTGTTGCTCCTCCTACTTAAGGCGTGATAAATAGGAAGCCACTCCCACTTGGGGCGTAGCCATCTTCTACTATAGGCGTGGAGAATAGGCGTCACGCCCACTGGAGGAGGGACGGCACATAGCGACGCCTACTTAAGGCGTGACAACTAGACAGTCACTCCACTCCCACTTCGGGCGTAACAACTCATGTAGGCGTGAAGGATTTATAGCCACGCCCACTTGAGGCGGGACGGTAGATAGAAACGCCTTCATAAGGCGTGATAAATGGACAGTCACTCCCACTTAGTGCGTAACCACTCATGTAGGCGTGAAGAATTAATAACCACGCCCACTTGAGGCGGGACGATATATAATAACGCCTACTTAAGGCATGACAAATAGACAGTCACTCCCACTTAAGGCGTAATGAACGAGTAGCCCACCTACTGTAGGGGTGATGAATAAGTAGACACTCCCTCTTAAGACTACTAACTAAGTAGCTCCTCCCACTTTCTTCGTAACCTAAATCCACTCACAGAATATAAATAGAAATATAAATTAAATACTACTAGATTAGTTAGACTCCGCCTCCATAGTAAGCGTTAAAAACAAAAGCTCGGACCCTTTTTTCGGTGGATGTAAACAAACATTCGATAATGTTCAATTTGACTACGCCTACAGAAGAGCGAGGCGGGGCTTAGTTCTTGACGCCCACTATGAGGGCGGAGTTTAACAAATACTAATGATTTCTTATTACAGACATTAAAAAAAGCAGGATATTTGAAAAAATACGAAATTAAAACTATTTTTTTTTTGAATAGCAATTTAATTTGAAATAATTGACAATTTGTTCGACTATTTTCGGGAAAAGTTGGTGGTGAGAAAAAAGGACAAATATAGAAAATTGGATGGTGTTAAAGATTTTATCCTACGCCAGTGGATGGATAATGCCCCCCTTCGCCCACCCTCGTTCTACCCCCTCACCATCAGTAAGTCGCGGTGAGGAAGGGTGTTTACTCAAGACACGACAATTCATTACGTAATTGAATTGAATGAGGCCTCCACCAACCCCGTTTCGAACCGTTCTCCGGTAAACGTCCTCTCCCACATTTCTCTTATTCTCTCTCTCTCTCCGTTTCTCGCTTTCGTACGTAAAAGAGAGACAGGGAAAGCGAGTGAGTGAAAGAGAGATACAAAAAGGGAATGAGTGAGTGAGAGAGAGATACATAGAGAGCGAGAGAGAGAGAAATAGAGAGATAGTGAGAGCAAGAGAGAGAGGGAGACAATCCACCCCCTTGACAACCATACCATTCGAGCCACCCACTCTCGACTGGTGCACGAGTACGTAGCTACCGAATTAAACGATTAGTTAAACTGATTTCGAGTTAGGCGAATGAATAAGTAATCGGATTTCTCGTTAAGGTAATCGCATTGCGTCCTGATTGGCTCCGTCTGCCTGTGTTACAGACCATAGCCCAACTCATTCACCCTCTCACTCTTATTCGCCCCAATCTCACATGATGCCATCTCACTCTCTCATCCCCTTTAGAATTGAAACCGAAGCAAGTGGACAAACTCTATGTATTTTACCACCCTTTTATATTCGTATTAAGCTCATTTTAGTGACATGTTTACTTAAATCAAGAAAACTTTTATAGTATTTATATTTATATTGAATGACCATATAGTTTGTACTTGCGATATTTTTTCATTCACATTGTAATTTCGTTTTCTTTTCCTCCCCTCTAACATTTTGGAAAAAAATTTTAATAAATAAATTCCTCCTCCTCCCCCCAACGTGGACAATGTGGTTTTTTGACGAACACCCCTCCTCCCAAAACTGTCCACCCCCTACAAGAATATTTAGATTTTTATATTAAAAACGAAAGCCTTCTGATAATTTTTTTCAAATTTACCTCTAAAGTGTCAAAGGTTTCGTAACTTTTGTAGTTTTTATTAAAAACAAAAGTCTTCCGCTTATTTTTTCTTTTTCAAAGTTGTCGTTTTTGCCAGTTTAGATTTTTATACTCTTTCAAACCGTATTACTTGGAAAATCTACATTTTTTATCAACATCGTAAAAATTAAAAAAATCATTTATAATAGTTGAATTAGTCACTGTTGACTAATTCAACAGCAATGAATTGTTTATTAAATAAATAATAATAATACTGACTAATTTTTTGTCAAAAACTGCTAATTTATTAGTTAATCGAATTTTTAGGTTATGTTAAATGACTAAAAAATTAGTAGATTTATGTCAACCAAATATTTAAATAAATTTTAGAAAAAATCCTATGTCAATGATGATGTATAGTCATTTTTAATTTTTATTTAATTTGATATACAACCGAAAGATTAAACTTTGCGACGGCATTCTTGGAGACGCCGTCGGAAAATTCGGAAAGTGTTTTCTTTTCTGTATATAAGCGTTCGGATTCCCTGGAAAATTTTAGCAGAAACATAGTTTGAATTCGGTTTTCGGTTTTAAAACTGAAACCGGTTTTTGAATACCGACATTTAAAAAAACGGTTTTTCAAATACCATTTTATTAAAAAAAAACGGGTTCAATAAAATTTGGTTTATTACAAAAATCAGGTTGTTTTTCAAAACAAAAATTTTTTAATTGATTGGTTTTAACAGCATGTGATTGTTAAATTCTCAATGGTAATTTTTTCGACCACTTTTCTCTTTAAATATTTAATAAATTGAGCTGAAATTTAGACAAAAGTCTAAAATATACAATATAGAAGGTCAGTGAAGTGTAAAAATTTTAATATTTTTAAAATTAATTATTACAAATTACTTTTAAAATTATCAGTTGTCACTGTCACTTCTGATCAATTTCTCGTCTTTACTAATTTCAAAGTGTTTTATTATAATTTATTTTTGAATTATCAAAACTTTTGCATATTATTCTATTTAATATTTTTGCCTTTCTTTATTACATTTTAGACTTTCTTACAAAATTTCAGCCCAATTTTTTAAAAATATTTAAAGAGAAAAGTTGTCGAAAAATTACCATTAAATTTCTAACAGTCTCACATGCTGTTAAATGAAATATTAAATTTTCATGTTCAAATTTTAAAATGTATTATGCATTAATAAGGATCAGGGTTAAAATGTTTATTAAAACACTTTTCAGAAAAATTAATTTTTTATTTTGATTTTGGGACAAAATTCGATTCTTTCAAATCGGTTAGATTCGGTATTGCGTTCGAATAACCGAGCCAAAGAAAATTAAGTCTAATTGTACTCTTCCTCGTTTTAGCATATCACAGTTTTTCTGAGGATATCAAATTCAGACAAAAAACGTATTAAAAGTGTTGAGAAGCAACATTTTGATCATTTTTTGTCTCAATTTGATATCCTTAGAAAAAATGAGGTATCAATGGAAATATGATTTTTGTATATAATATAAATTATATTATTCCATACCATTACATTTATGGTATAATTATAGATTAAGATAATATAACTATAGAATAAGTTAAATATTAAGACCCTCCTCCAGGACTTCTAAAGATCCTTGTTTGGTTTTCGGAAAATTTTCAGCAAAGATTTCAAATACATTAAAATTGACTTTGGTACTTAATAATTCTAACATCATTAAAATCTACATCGCATGGAAAAGTGTTTTAAGGATAGAGTAAATTGAAATAATTTCTCCACTACCAGCAGTTCACAGCGCAGTTGAATATAATTCCATTAGGATAAGAATACCGACTCTCGTACGTTCTATAATACAGAATCTGTTGGTTTACTGAAAACCACTAAAATCAACTTGATCCAGGTAATTTTTCCAGTAAAGTGACACAAACAACCCTCGAGACTACATATACGTATATATAGATTTCATGGACAAGGTTTATGGGTTTGCGTTGAAAATCTATAGGCATACGTGCGTGATGGTGGATGACTATATTAGCGTTTTCACGTGCTGTGTACTCAAAGGTAAAACATATACACAAGAGCACAAGGACGACTAGAGTGAGAGTCAGAGTGAGAGAGCTTCTAAATGCGCATCGGCGCTTCGCTCAAGTGGAATGGGAGAATTTCCCGCGCCAACCGGAAAGGGTGCTTTCACCATAGGGGTGGAAATAGCCGAGATGCTAATGAGATATCGCAGTGTCTCCAGAGGCGTAAGGCGTATACGATCGAATTTTCGGGGTGGCACGGAAACGCCTTCGCCGTTCAACGATTGGTCGCCGTTTAAATGGCTGCTGACCCGCCACGCGAGACGCAACGAATATCAACCCCCAAATAGGCGCTACCTGCAAACAACATTGGACGCCGCGAAAATTGCAATTGAGTCGCCGGCCGACGGATCGTCGCCGCGTGTGTGCCTTTCAATATTTTCAAGATATGGAGCAGCTCGCCCAGTTTGTTTCGAAAAGTTTCGACGATAACGCGACACACGAACGGAAGTGCCGCGATTCATCCGCCACGACGATTACATTGAGTGTTGCCCATCTCCTTGCATCGCCGATTGATGACGAGGAACCTCACTCTAAACACCGTAAGGTTTCCCGCCAAAAAAAAGAAAAAAATATCTCCGAGGGTGTCGAAAAATTTAATATCCTTTTTCTAAGAGTTTTCCTTTTTTAAAATAAAACTCTTAAAATTATGAGTTCGGCGCAACAAAAACTTCCCTATACTTCAAAATTTAAAATTCTATATCAAAATATAGAATTTTAATTTTTGAGGTATATAATAATTAAGGGCAGACATCGTCATGAAAATGTAATAAAACAAACGATTTTTTAAAAGTCTTAACTACCCCTTAAGTAACTTATGGTCTTTTTTAAAATTTTAAATTTAAACCGATTTTTAAAATTTCTTTTCATTCTAAATTAATCATTATTATCTCGCTAGTTCTTTATGTTAGAATTTTGATCATTTTGAATCGTCAAACTAAAAATCTATTTATTTATTGTTTTCTTATAATTATTCATTTACTTATTATTATAATTCCGTACTATAAAAATAATATTTTTATAATATTAAAGAATTTAAAGACTTCTAGTTAGTTTTCATTTAAAAAAAATAGTTTGAAAATTAACCCACTTCTAAAGTATACAAGTTTATTAAGTGAAGAAGTCAATGTTGCGTCAGCTTAAGTAGAAAGAGTCAGTACAAGCCCGACACATAGTCTTACGTCTGACGAAAAAAGAACATTCTACTTAAGATGAATATCAACTTTTAATTTTTACTCAAATTTCAAGTAGAATTAAAAGGGGACATCTTTAAATAAGTATAAAACAAAAAAAGTACATAAAAATATTTACATAGAAAATTAGTGGAAAAAATAAAGGATATATATGTACATTAATATATATGTATGTATGTATATGGAAATATTTACATTCGTAAAAAATGATTTCTCAGATGGAAAAACAATGGCAGATTCCATAGAGGAAGTAACTAAGGTCATTGAAGAAATTAATGACGTGAAGGAACCACTATCACCGGAACCGCGTCTAATACCGGAAGACTTGTCTGTCAATACGACTAAGACAAAGGAAAATAGTAATACGGAACTAACTCTTAAAACACCGGAATTAAAATTATCAGTGAGAAAATTGCTTGGTTGTAGTCCATCACCACCACCGATCACTAGGGAATTGTCACCGAAATTGGAAAACGATTATAAAACTAATTTGCCGGCGGAAGGAAAAACTGGCAGTGTTGAGACGAAAATTTCAACGCAATTTTCACGACCCTTGGGAGTACATGAGGACTCTACAAAAGGTGATATAATTGTTCTTAGGATTCTTATAGTGAAAATAATAAAATTAATGCAGAACTCTTTCTATCATTTTATATTAATTTTTAATACAATTAGAACCAAATTTGAATTAGTAAAAATGTATACTAATCTGAATTAGTGGCTAACTTTTTGTTTTTGAATTTATCAATTTCACTAATAAATTACTAGAAATTACTATTTATTTAGTAAACTTTACTAATTCAAAAGCAAAAAGTCAGTTACTATAATTAAAATTATTAAACATTTTTACTAATTCACATTTAGAGAGTTGTTTTGTACAAAGTAGAAATTTATTATAAAAAATAATCTAAAACCATAAATTACAATCTATTAGGCTTTCTGGCATTCTTGAAGATTAAAAATTCTGTAAAATTTCCGGATTTTAAGTTCTAGTATAAAATGGCTTTAACAATGGATATTTAGAAAAACTCCAGTTGTATTATTTTCTCGTTTATAATTTTATTATTCAACGTCAAAGCTCATTACAATTTGAAATGGAAAATTGAATTCCTTAAGCCACCTGCTCATTAGTTTTCACCCAATTGTCGGTTTCAAAATGCATAAGTTTTTTTTAATTTGAATTTTTAAACTTGATATCTAAGAGTTTTTAATATCGCTGATTACAAATCTGTCATCAGTTTTGAAAAATTCAAAATGGCGGATATAATATGGCGGATGGATTTTTAAAAAATTGTTGACCTTTTTTGAAACTTGGTTTCTAAGGTTTTTGGGTTCGATGATAGCGAATTTGGCATCAGTTCATCCAAAAACAAAATGTCGAATGATTTTTTGAAAAATTGTTTCAATTATACCTGTTCGAGGTAAAAACTTTTTCTATATTGGATTTCTGTGGGACTTGACATCTAAGGGTTTTTAGAGTCGCTGATTATAGATTTGAAGTCAATTTTAAAAAATATTAAGTGACCCCAAAAATCTTTAAATCTCAAGTTTCATAAGAATCCAATAATTTTTTAAAAATTTGCCCGCCATATTGGATCCGCCATTTTAAATTTTCAAAATTGATGATTGACCTCGAAAACGCTTAGATACTAAGTTTTACCAAAATGTGATTATTCTTTTTTAATTGTTTCATCCTTGAAAAAGTTTATAAATTGAGTAAATTTTACAGCTTTCTTAAATGTATTAAATAGCTTCAAAAGTGATGCAAAAAATTTGGTTCAATTTACAATTTGATTTACATTTTTCTTATCAATTCGTTCGAATTTGATATTTTTAAAATTAACAGTGTTTTTTTGTTTTACTTAATTTTTACTGAAATATTTATTAACAAAAACTATAATTTCTAACTTGTAAATAAATTCCACTATTAATCTTGGTCGTTGATTTTAAATTTAATTTCAATTTTTACAAGTTTTAATTGGTGGATAGAATTTGGCGAATGATTGTTACAATTTTTAAGGGGAGGATACACCAATATTTTTAACTATATCAAGAAAATAATCTAAATATTGCAAAAAAATAATTATCGAAGTTATTTTTTCATGAAGAATTCAATGGTCATAAAATAAAATCAGTCAGAAAATATTTTGACCTCTTATAAATTTTTATTTTTCTTAAAATTTGGTGGATTTTCTTAAATTCGTGCGTATAATTTTGTATAAAATATATTTTAGAAACCACAAAAAAATTGCTTCAATTGAAATTGAAGTATTGCTCCAACTTGCAGCTTTTCCAGAAGAAAAAAATTTGTTTCATATTGGATTTTTATGAAACTTGGCATCTAAGGGTTGTTAAGTCGTTCATTTTAAATTTGAAGTCAATTTATAAAAATTTTAAATGGCGAACACAATTTGGCAATTGATTATAATATCAAGTTTTATGAAAATCCAACTTTGAGTTTTTTGCAAAACTGATGACAGATTCGTAATCAGTGACGCCATAAATCTTTAGAACCCAAGTTTCATAAGAAGCAAAAATTTTTTAAAAATTCATCCGCCATTTGGGATCTACCATTTTGAATTTTAAAAAATTGATGATAAATTAGTATTCATCAAGCTCGAAAACTCTTAGATTCTAAATTTTACCAAAATGTGGTTATTCTTTTTTAATTTTTTAATTTTTGAAAAAGTTCATCACTTGAGTAAATTTCACAGCTTTTTTGAATGCATTAAATTGATACCGAAAAAAATTTGGTTGAATTTACAATTTACAACGAATTGATTTTTATTTATTGGGGAAGATTACGAAAACTATGAGTGTAAAGGTCAGGAATGAATCTATATCCAAACAGTATAAGCATCGCCCAGGGTTCGATTCTAATTTATAATTCAGAAGCTTGACCAATAAAGCTCAGAAGTGATTGGGACTAAGCGGATCGTTTGCGGTGTAACGACCGTCGACCTTTCGTTTTAGTCACATGCCATACCAGTTTCTATAATGGGCATCATTCTTGTCAGGTGAAATTTTTATCCCACACGTCGAATACAATCAATCCGCGTATTTTCTCCCCAATTCAGTCACTTTTTATTACATCTTTCATATCTTTTTTGATGTTCTCCTTATATTCTCTATAAAAATCAGCCGCAACAATAAGGATTATTTTTACTTTTGAGTAAAACTTGTTCTTCTTAAACGCACCAAATAATCAAAAACAATATAGAAATTTCGGGTTTTTAAAAATATTTCGTTTAAAAATATTTTTAGTGGGGATCGAACCCTGGTCATGAGTTTCAAACAAGACGGTACGATCCATAATTTTCTATAGTTTACGAATAAAATTCGAGCAGCGAAAAATATTATTTTTTTGAAATTTAATTTAAAATCCAGAAAATGAAATCGTATTTGGTACTAAAACTGATTATAGACACACTGGTTGAGGGAAATGAATTTTTTTTTCATCCCCCGACCATATTAAGTGCGACTGGGCAGATATCTCTATAGATAAACTATGAGGTGAGATTTATATGAATTTATGGTTTAATATGCAGTTGTTGCTGCGCACGTTCAGCAGTTGTGTGTATACGCCCTCTAAAACGACGGCGAACGTCATCTCGAGGGGGTCCATAACTTTTCCCGATTAAGCGCAAATCAAAAAGCAATCTACTGCCGGCGCCCCTCCAAGCCAGACATTGCCGCAGAGGGACGATGGTGGGGAAGAGAGTAAAAGTAAAATAATAAATACATCTCCCAACTTTTTTTCGTGCTTTTTTCGAGAGAAAAAAAAATAAAAAGGAAAGTAGAGTCCAGGCAAGTGCCGCAGTACATCAGACTGGTCGAAACACTTTGCCTCACTCGACTTGGATATCTTACGAATTTACGCCCGACGGATTCCGGCAGGAACGGATTTTTCAACTCAATTTCATTTCTCAAAGTCTCGCTGTAAGACTAAATCAAATTTTTTTTTAAATTTTCTTCTTTGAATATTTATTCTTTATTTATTATTCAATTTGTTTCGGTATTTACTTTTCTGGCATAAAATTTGAAGTCCTTTGCGGGCACATTACTTACTGCAACAGTTTAATTCCTCTAGGATTAAATTAACACCAGAAAGGATTAAAATATTCTGTTTTGGTGTTATTTTTGACTACGAAAATCAAAGTGATTCTAAGTCTAAGATTAACTATGGTCAAAGTCTTAGTCAAAGTCCAAATCTTAGTTTTAGTTTAAGTCTTAGTATTAACCTTAGACTACTTAGTCTTGGTCAGAGTCGTAGTCTTAGTCTTAGACTTATTCTTTGACTATGATTTTGACTAAGACTTTGACTAAGATTCGCTTTGACTTTCCTTTACAAATCGTTGACTTAGTTTTGATTTGAAGTAAAATTCCATTCATAGTAAAAAATAACACCAATTATTAGGATTATTTGAATCTTTTTTGGTGTTAATTTAATCCAAAGGTTAATTGGTACGAAATTGTAAGAAACGGAGTAGAGATAAATATTGAAAAACAATAGGGGGATTAGAGTTTTCGTATTTTGGAAATTGAATACTTTCCGAAATTAGATGAGGCGCATATGTGAGTGCGTCTGGAAAGTTTGAATAAAGTGTTGTAGGAAGAATCACTCCGGGTCTGACCCTCGGTCAAGAGTCACGCTCGCAAATATTTATGGTGGCAGGGCTAAATTTTTGAAATATAATGCTCAGGGTGCGCAGAATAGATATATATAAAACTAGTCATGTGTACTAGAGCCAAAAGTTTTTCTCTTTACAATATCGCGAGAGTTGAATATGAGTCTTCTCCTATTTTGTCTTCTTTCTTAATTTGAATCATAGTTAAAAATCATAGTTTTAACCTACAATTAGTGACTGACTTTTTCCTTCTGAATCAGTTCAAAATAACTGATTTTCAGTGAAGAAATAACTGAAAAATTAGTTTAATTTAACTAATAGAATCAGTCAAAAAGAAATTTAGTGAATCATCAGTTATCTTTAACTAAATGTCAGTAAAATTTACTATTTCAACTACTGGCTGGCTTTTTGCTTCTAAATCAGATATTTTTAATTGATTCAAATTTAGAAAGTTCATTCATATTTTTGCTACTTCTAACAATAATAATCTTCAGTAGTATGATTTAATAATAATTTAATTTAATGATTTAGTGATTTAAATATTCCACAGAATTATTTTTAAAATCCACCAATTTTTAAGAAAAATAAAAATTCAAAAAGGATCAAAATATTTTCTGACCGATTTTAATTTGACCATTTAATTTCTTATAAAAATTACTTTAAAAATAATTTTGTGGAATATTTAAATCATTTTTTTGATATAGTTAAAAATATCGGTGAGGACAACGACCAAGATGATTCTAGAAATTATTTAGAAGTAAGAAATTATATTTTTTGTTAATAAATATTATATTAAAAATGAAGTAAAATAAAAAAACGCTGTTAATTTTGAAAACATCAAATTCGAACGAATTGATAATAAATATGTGGATCAAATCGTAAATTGAACAAAATTTTTGGCATCACTTTTGTAGCAATTTGATAAATTTAAAAAAGCTGTGAAATTTACTCAATTTATAAACTTTTTCAAGGATGAAATGATTAAAAAAGAATAATCACATTTTGGTAAAACTTAGTATCTTAGCGTTTTCGAAGTCATTGAATATTTATCTGTCATCAGTTTTAGAAAATTGAAAATGGCGGATTAATTTTTAAAAAATTATTGGATTCTTATGAAACTTGAGTTCTAAAGATTTTTGGCGTAACTGATTACGAACCTATCATTAATTTTTAAAAATTCAAAATGCAGGGTGAATATTTTAAAAATAGTCGGATTTTTATGAAAGTTGGTGTTATAATCATTCGCCAAATTGTCTTCGCCATTTAAAATTTTTAAAAATTGACTTCATATTTAAAATCAGCGACTCTAAAAACCATTAAGACGCTCTCACAGCTCTGCATGCATAGTTGTCATGGTAACACATGAGAGTAAGTAAGTCAGAAAATTCAAATTTCATGTTTTTTCTCTCTTACTCTCATGCTGGCAGTAGAGCTGTGAGAGCGCCTTTAGATGCCAAGTTTCACTAAAATCCAATATGCAACATATTTTCTTTTTCTGGAACAACTATAAATTGGAACAATACTTCAAAAAATCATTCACCATATTGGATCCACCATTTTGTTTTTTGAGAAACTGATGAGAAATTCATAATTAACGACCCCAAAAACCCTTAAATACCAAGTTTTAAAAAAGTACAATAATTTTTTAAGAATTCATGCAAAATATTCGATACGGGTTTTTGAATTTTAAAAAAATGGTGATAGATTTGTTAACAGCGACCGCAAAAACCCTTAGATATCAAGTTTCACAAAAATCCGATTTCAAAACTAATGTGTATGAGGGTTCGGTTTATTTTTAAAAAATATTCTTGGATCAGGCATAGATTTTAATTTTATTTTAGAATCAGAATTGATAATAGGTCGTGTCTGTTATTCCAGTCATATTGTTAATTTTATATTCTTCTATATTCTAACCCCACATAATCTTGGAGTGAGGAATCCAAGGTATTTGTAAGCAGATTTCCCAAAAGCCCCTAAGCAAAATTAATTTCCCTTTCAAAATAATTAACACAATTATTAACTGCTCTACAATCTCCTAAACGTTTAATAAATTTAAAATTTTCCTTCTCTAATAACATCATATTCTTGTTGTTAAAAAAGCACCACAGAGTGCTTACTTACTACAACAGGGTTGTAGATAAGTGCCTATTTTAACATAAACTTTAACTTTTTTAATTTAATTTTAATGTAACTAATATATTTCTTACATTAAAATCAAGATTAAAATTAAATTTAAAAAGATACAAATAAAAAATCTGAAAACTAAAAATTTAGGCCAAGAAAAACAGACAGAAACAAAAAGGAAAAGAATTGAGAAGGGGTACAAACACATAAACAAGACATATGTAATCGAATTAGTGACCCCTTGGGTCCAAGTGTGATTGCTATGAGGGGAAATGGTGGGGGGAGGAAGGATCTCTTCGTGGAACGAGAAGATATTTTCGCCGACGGTGGTTCCAATTGTTGCGTGCACGCAATTTTACACGTAATCGACAAAGAGAGAAAGAGACAATATCGGATGAAACCCAGTTGGACACCAAATATATAGTACAATTGAATATGGTCAAAGGAGTATATGTGTATAAAATGAAATAGTGAAGATGAGGTTTAAAGGGGGGTGGGGGTATAAAATCTCGCAATCGAGAAACTGTATCAAAACAGGGGTTGGAATTGTACTAAAGGGGAGGTATTTGAAACCACGCTTTATTTTGCAAAGGGGGCGTTTTAAACCGCTGTACATATGCGGATGTGGCAGTGGAGGAGGGATGCTGGTGTAATAGAGGTGGGGGAGGGTGTAGATTCAGGGCTACAGATTCAATTACCTAGGTATTCACTAATTGATTAAAGCTCAGTACATTATGTAAATGTGTCTCCGCTCTCTAATTTGTTTCTCGATGAAATTTGACATTTTCGAGAACTTTGTTACTTATAACTTGTAATTACATATAATTCCAATTGATTAATATTCGCAATTTTAATTTGAAATTTAATTCCATTATTTTTCATCAAAATTCTCTTAGTGATTTTCATTTATAATTTTAAAATCGTTATACCATTTTTCGAAACAAAATTAAATAAGGGTAGGAAAAAAATTTAAAAATAAATAAGGGTAAGAAAAAAATTAAGAAAACAAAATTACTTTAATTGGGAGAATAGGAACTTGTAACTGGGGTAATTTTCATTAGACGAAGAACGAAGTAAGGAAAATTTGACTACAGGGCAAAAAGTCACTTTAGTAATTATAAAGTAATTAGAAACAAGTTTAATGTAAAGTAAAATGAGTGAGGTGACAGGGTCAACTCTTTCATAAGATTTCGAAAGAAAATGGGTCTAAGAGTGACAAAGAAGGGACATTAAGCCCCTTGGTAAGCACCCTTGACGAGAAGGGATCGTGATTTATATAATTTAGCAAAGTGGCGAGATACAAGGGAAGTTATACAGTGTTAGTCGAACACCCCCCTTTCCTCATCTTCACTTTAATCACCCAGAGTTTATATGAGTCGAGTTTTTTTCTTCAAGGACGACTTTTTAAATCTCAAACTCAAATTGTTAATCAATACCATAATTTACTAATTTTAAAACCATAATTTACTCTTTATGAGTATTTACACTTTTTTCTTCTTAAGACTATTGTCTTATCTACCATAGAAATTTTTATTTATTTGAATATTAATTATTACACCCATTTTTATAAATAACTTTCAAATATATTAAATACACCAAAATGTGCGCTTAAATATACGAAAAGTTTGATTTAGAGATAATTTCTCCAATTCAGAATGAAATGATATTAAAAGGAAATAAATTGACGATGACTAAGAGAGGGAGCATAGTTTTACGATTTGCCAGATCCATTTTCGCTAATGTCACCTAATCATGATTCTGAACTGAATAACAGAAATCTCCCGCGGGATGTCTGAAGGTCTTAATGATCGTAGTGCGGCGATGTCGTAAAAGAAATGATGTGTGAATAAGAAGAGAAAACTTTTTCTTTAAGGAAATTTTTGAATTTTTATGTAGCATTACGTTTACTACTTGAGAAAAAGAAATTGTAAAAACTTGTCATTTATTTAGGTGTTAATTGTCGAGGGAGTGGGACCGGAAACGGAAAACAGAGAAGATCGAGAACAAATTTCACTTTGGAACAATTGGCAGAGTTGGAGAGACTGTTTGACGAAACTCATTATCCTGATGCCTTCATGAGGGAAGAACTGAGTCAACGATTAGGATTAAGTGAAGCTCGAGTTCAAGTCTGGTTTCAAAATCGTCGGGCAAAATGTCGAAAACACGAGAGTCAGTTGCACAAAGGTAATTGATCAATATAAGTGAAATCGATTGGATCCTTTATTATTTGTATTTTTAGGTCCTGATTTTACTTCCTCTCAAAGGAAGCCTTATTTGTTTAATTTTCCAAACACTTTATTAAGCACCTATTTTTTAAACAAAGGTAATTGATCAATATAACTAAAATCGATTGGATCATTTTTTATTTATCATTATATTTATTATTATTTAGTTTACATAAAAATTCTGTTGCAGGAGTTTCGAGTGGAATGGTTTTGGCACCAAGGAGTCCACCGACGGCATTGGAACCGTGTAGAGTGGCTCCTTACTTGCCGGCTCTAAGATTACATCCTCCAATGCAGCAGAGTGGTACAAACACAACGGTTTCAGTGACCGCAGGATCTGCTTTTGATCCTGCAGTCCTCCATTATGCGGCTGCTGGAGGACTCTTTTGCCTTCCGCCACCAACTCATCCGCACGCTCACACACATCCCCATCCTCATCCCTTGAGTCTAGCAGCATCTCTAGCCGCAGCTGCTGCCCGCTCTAAAAGTAGCAGTATCGCTGAATTAAGACTCAAGGCAAGACGACATCAGGAGGCTCTCGGATTGGACAGGCCCGCGTAAGATTCAGAAAATTTAAAGAAAAAATTTATTCCACCGAAATTGTCATTGGACGCTCCAAAGGTAAATTTTTGTCTTACAATTGTTAGCCAAAATCTGATATGAACGAATTAAATCAGATCCTTTGTCTCGATTGGGTTTCTCTATTGAATTTTCCTCCCAAAGGAAATATTTGTTAAAACGAAAATACTTTGATTTCAATTTAATGTAAATTGCAATTTATGATAATGCTTTTGGAGCATTCAAAAAATCTTCACGTATTTTAGAGGAGTACAAAGTTTAATGATTTAATGTGTAAAAAAGGATAAGATGTAATATACAACACAATTGTAATTTAGAATTTTAGATTTACGGATACAAATACTAATTATTTGGAGACATGTTTTTATTCTCAAACTTTTTATTCTCAAATTCAGTTATTTGTTCTTTTCATGTAGATTTAAGCAAAATATGTAAATAAAAAAATGGCATAAATATTAATATATAGTATAAGAGCGTTTGGTTATTTGCCAATCTGGTTGAGTTTGCAGAAACAGTGAGAGAGTTATCTTGGCCATTCAAGACATAATTCTTGGGGATGATTTAGGGGAATGGTTGTGGGGTGGGGGTGGGGAGTAACTGGACGAAGCACGAAAAAGGGTGGCAGAACGATGCGATGGTCTAGAAAGCGACGCTTGGCTTTAGGGCGCTAATGCAATAACGTGATGCCGCGTGGATAAATCAAGCAGCGAACCGACGAACCGTCCTGCAACATACCGTCCTTAATCGCGTTATACCGTCATCCACGCCATTCCTCTGGGGAACCGTTATTGTCCCATCCGCGTTTACCTACCGGACCTACACAGGCATTAATTCACGTCCCGAATTACTTATACCATCCCGTTTTATGCATTTCACGTCATTAAGAAAATCAAAAACCAAATCTTCATCAGTACACAAATTTGAGAAAATGAAATTTTATTTTTCTGTCGACAGGAATGAAAATTTATTTTCGTGTAACCGAAAACCGTCGTACAAAAGTTTTAATTAATTTAAATGATTGGAATTCGATAATTAATTAAAAATTAGTAAATGCCAAACTTATAATTATGTACCCACGTATATAATACTAAAAATGATAATAAACAAGCAGATATCGTGGCGAAAATATTGCTTCTTCACTAACGCGGGGTAAAAGTGTCGGGATAATAAAAACAGAAATAAAGTTTTCAGAGCAATAATTTCTCCAAAAGTATAGAAAGAAAAGGGGAGACAGTAATTCCTCGCTCATTTTAATCTGAGTTTTAAGAAGTTTTTCTATTGCGCACAAATTGGCCGTCGTTTGCTGGTCGGATGTTATTCAGATGGAGGGGTTGGGGGTGTGATAAAGGAAGCATTCAAGTCCCTTTCGCATACAGCACCTTCTCCCTTTTTTAAAAGGAATGAACTCGACAATCGTTTATATGCGCATTGAAACGAGAATTTCGTCTTGTTTTTTTGGGGTGGGTATCATCATCTAGCCAGAAGGAATTATTTGTTACCGCGTAAGGGAGATGAGTATTGAATCATCCAGTGCTACTACTATAACTCTAATATAATATCCCGCAAGAACCGAAACTATCATCAATTATCACGAAACCGACTTGTCGACAAAATTCACCCTTCAGTAAATTCTAATTAATGACGAATAACAAAGACGTACACCAAATGTAAATCTATTCTTCTTTACAAAACTATTGTTTTTTTTACTAAAAATACAAATTTTTGTAACCATTTTCCTATACTAAAAAATAATACTTAAAATGACATTATCTAACAAAGAAAATTTTTTTTGTATAAACAATTCTGAATATATTTGAAATTTAAGATTTTTAATTTTTAGACAGCATAGAAAGAGATTATAAATATCGAATAATTATTTGAAAATAAGAAATATTTGAATAGACAAATTGAGTTGGGGTGAAGGAACAGGATTCGGTTGGGTGAAAGAAGATGTGATTTAAACTATGGTTGTTGCGCGAATTGAGCCGCGTCCCATTAAATAATAACGTGGTGATTGCCGCTCAGGAGCAACACATGCAAAGACCCGGATAGCCAACGTGTATCTAGGGGTGGAAACTGGAGCCTTTACCCCCCACCAGATATATCATCGCCTGGCAGTTATGTGTGTCATGAATTTTAGATTATCCCCGGATTAGATTAAGGGAGAGAGAAAGAGAGAGAGTTCAGAGGTTTGAACTTGCCCCTTGAGCTGAATCAGATAGGGCAAGTACTATATAGAAAAATATGTACCTTTTAAACGTGTCGGTGTTATTTCAAGAAATTAGACACTGAAAATTAATTTTTAAGTCTTAATTTATATTTGTTACCCCACAATTAATTACGGCTCATATATACTTAGAACTTTCGAAAATTTTACTAAGGATCGGGATTAGGCCTGTCTCAGAGTAAATCTAAGAGTTTGGAAATGTATTGCTATCTTTCTTTTCATCAAAATTCTCAAAACTGTTTACATTTAGATATGCCTTAATACTTCAAAAAAATTTTTACCCAATGCAGACTTTTGAACCATCATTTTTATAAAAAGTAACCATAGCCAATAATCAGCAGAAGATGAAAAATTTTTTTTTGCGCGAACTTTATCTTCTGTTTACTAACAATTGTTAGTCAAAATATTTTTTACTGGACAATATCTTCGAGAAACGTAGAGTAGAATTAAAAATTTCAAAATGGCGGATCCAATATGGCGTCAAATATAAAGAGAATTTGTGGGCGTTGATCATCAATATTTACTGAGTTAATAAAATGCTATTTAATTCATCTCAAGTTTGTTACTCGGGGGTTTTTGGGGTTGCTGATTATGAATCCGTTGTTATTTTCAAAAAATTCAAAATGGCTGATCCAATATGGTGGACATTTTTTATTGCTTTTCAATTTTCTTCGTATTTTTATTCAGAAGATAAATTAAGCAGTAATAAAAATTTCCATCGTATTGGATCAGTTATTTTGAATTTATTTTCTTCTAAATAAAAATCAGAAAGCAAATTTTTTTTCTATGGTTTTCACTTTTCAAAAAAAGTAAAGTACTTTATAAAAAATAAAAGAGAATTCTCTGTAACTTCAGCAGAAAACACTTACGTTGTCAGAAAATTGAATTTGGAATTCAATTATAAAAAATGCTTTTTGTCATCATTAGTTACAAGAGATTTTCTCTTGAAAAAAAAAATTTAAACTAAATTTTAGTAGTTATCTACTAGAATTAGGTTCAATTTTTAAAATGACCAAAAATTGGTTTGAATGACAAGATTTTTTTTCTACAACTACTCTATAATGTACAAAAAAAGAAACATATTGGCAAATGTAAATTTAAAAGAAGAGAATAAGAAAATGAGGAGATAAATGGTATTCGAACGTCTTTTTTTTTTTGAATGCCGAAAGAGACCCGATGCAGAATCAATTCACGTAATAGTATTTGGAATGGGGAAAGGGGGGAATTTTCGTTAAAGTGGAGGTGGAGAGCTGTTAAATCCACTTCTATATGCTTATAGAGGGGTTGACTGGGTTCAAGGATACGGGCCATTACCGCACCTGTCCCTCAAGTTCGAGCTACACTGGATGGTGTATCCTTAATGAAGAGAAGCAATCACTTAAGCCAGCTCGTTCACTCGTGTTGAGGAATACGTTTAGATGTTAGAACTCGTTTTATATCCTACTCTGGAAAATCGAAATGCCATTCGAAAAAAAACCCAATCCAAGTCCCACATGTTGATAATCGACTTCATTTTATTGTCCCTGCAAAATAAAAGAAACAGTAATTTCCACAAATAAAAGAACCCCACTTGAAAACTAACATTTTCCAAAAATAATATAAAATAAAAAATATAAAAAAAAATAAAAAAAAATAAAAGTATATTATACAAACGAAAAGAATATTTTCAAAGGACTTCAATTTTGAACAAAGACTTATAATATGAAATTCTTTAAAATTTATTTCTTTTAACCGAGAACATTAAAAATTATATTTTTCTTCAAGGAATGCGCATAATTTTTTACAACACTGGAGTATTGATTATACATTTCTGTTTTTTAAAATTTTTCTTCTCAAAATAAACAAATCAAAAAATCGCTTTTTTGTATGAATCAATTCTTTTCATACTTTCTAATATCTTATTAATCATTAAATACTGAAAATTACTACAATTATTTCTTAATTATTATTTACGTAATAATAATAATAATAATAATAATAATAATAATAATAATAATAATAATAATAATAATAATAATAATAATAAAGAATAAACGAACCCTGAGAAAAGATTAGATTTAACGTAATAATAATATATTAAGAAACGAAATAAATTTACTTTTATAAAAAAAGTTTGAATTTACAATTTTTTACAAAATTCTTTTTTGTTGGTTGAGTAAATTTATATCATTTTTTATCCGATAACAAGAAGGGCTAATAGATTTTTATTAATAAAACGAAATGGTAAAACAAATTTGGTTTCTATATAAAGAAAAATTGTTCTAATTAAAATAGATTTTTTCAGTTGCAAATTTTTCTATTTTTCATTTGTCGGTGAAAATGAAAATTAGTTTAAAAAAATTTACAAAGAAGTAGAACTTTTTTTTAATTTAACAAATAAAAATCCGAAATCATTTTCTCAGTGTAATGACCCAAAAAACAAATGAGCACCAAGAAACAAAGAGACAAAAAAATTGCTCAAAAGTTTTATCGCCGATTTCGGTAAAATTTACAATAAATAAATTTTTAATTCGATTTTTCATTTTCTTTCGCTGAAATTTTAAATTATACTCGTAAAAAAAAGAAAATTTCAAAATATTACCGTCAGCAATGGAACTGTATTCGAAAAAATGCAAATCGAAAATCTAGATGTCAGAACCGATTTCGAAAGGTAAATGGCTCAGTCGGTTAAGTTTCCGGACTTTTCAGAATCGTTCAGGTTCGAATCCCCCGACCGGCTATTTTTTTTCTTCCAATTTTACCTTTTCTAACGATTTTACTACAAAATCGTTTTCGAAAACGAAAAAAATTCAAAATTGAAAATTATACTCGAAATTAAAATTTTAATTAATTTAATATTTAAGCAAATTTCTTAAAATTAAAATAAAAAAAATCGGCGAAATTACTTTCGAGCTTTATGAAGAAATTATTAATAATAATAATTTTGGAAATTTTGCTTTTATCGGAAAAGAAGACCAGACAAAATGGTATAGGTGACAATCAAAACCATGTCAAAATTGAGTTTACAAACTCTTGGCCAGTGTTAAATGATCTTGCGCTTAATTAATGAGCAGCAAGAGAGAAATAATTGTCGGTATTTTTTTTTAACTTTTTTTTTT